AAGATGGGGGTCGCATTAAGGATATATAAGGATTTGATTCAGAGACATGGCAGTGCCGAAAACTGTTGCATTGATAATTATAGTACCGGTATTATGGTGAGAGAGTTGTGCAGGATAGGTGAGGTTGAGAAAGGTCTGCGACTGATAGAGGCCAGGTGGGGAAAGGGTTGTATACCGAACATGGTATTCTATAATATAATCATAGACGGATATAGTAAGAAAGGTGATCTTGAAAGAGCTAACCTGCTTTTCAAGGAGTTGAAACGGAAGGGCTACTTGCCCACAGTGGTTACATATGGAGCAATGATTAATCTGTTTTGCAAGGAAGGGGATTTTGTGAGTACTGAAAGGCTTTTAAAAGAAATGGATGCAAGGGGTTTGGCAGTTAACGTGTGCATTTATAACAGCATTTTAGATGCAAAAATAAGGCATGGTCATGTAGTTGAAGCAGCAAACACTTTGAGAGAGATGATTGAAAAAAGATGTGAGCCTGATATTATTACATATAATACATTGATATCTGTTGCATGTAGAGATGGGAAGGTTGAAAAAGCAGAAATGTTTTTACAGGAAGCAAGGGACCGGAGGTTGCCACTTAACAAGCTAAGTTATACTCCTCTTATTCACATACATTGCAAAAGGGGAGATTTTGATAGGGCCTCTGCTTTATTGGTTGAGATGACACAACATGGACATCTACCGGATCTGATGACCTATGGATCTCTTATACATGGCCTCGTGGTTTCTGGTGAAGTTAATGTTGCTTTAACTGTCCGTGCCAAGATGATGGAAAGGGGAATTCTTCCTGATGCAGGTATTTACAATGTTCTAATGAGTGGTCTCTGTAAAAAAGGAAAGTTTGGTGATGTTAAGCAGTTGCTTGGTGAGATGCTTGACCAAAATGTGGTACCTGATGCTTTCAATTATGCAACTATGGTGGATGGATATGTGAGAGATGGTGACCTTGAGGGAGCTAAGAACTTATTTAAAAACATCATGGATAAAGGTATCAATCCTGGACTTGTGGGATACAACGCCTTGATTAAGGGATACTGTAAATTTGGGGTCATAAAAGATGCAGTTTCTAGTATGAAGAGAATGATGGAAAGCAATATCGCTCCTGATGAATTTACTTATTCGACCATCATAGATGGATACATTAAACAGCACAACTTGAATGGCGCATTAATGATGTTTGCTAACATGATGAAGGGAAAATGTACACCAAACGTGGTGACTTATACAACTCTAATCAATGGGTTCTGTCGTGATGCTGATGTCTCAGGAGCTGAAAAGATGTTCAAGGTGATGCAGATAAAAGGTTTGGAGCCTAATGTTGTGACTTTTACTACACTAATAGGTGGCCTTTGTAGGATGGGAAATATTGCCCAGGCATCCTTCTATTTTGATCAAATGTTGGCGAACAAGTGCTGTCCCAATGACTCTACGATTCATTTTCTTTTGAATGGACTCCTAAAAAGTTCTCCTCCGGTGACTGAAGGTCAGAGTAAGTCCAACACTGAGATCCCTGTCTTGTTGGATGTTTATCAAAGGATTATATTAGATGGTTGGATTCCCATAACTGCTGCTTATAGTTCTATCCTTAGCTGCATTTGCTTACATGGTTTATTGAGGAAAGGATTACAATTAAGAGATCAAATGGTTACCAAGGGTTGCATATCAAATCCTGTCACTTTCGCGGCTTTACTATATGGTATATGCATCGACGGAAAATCTGAAGAATGGAGGAGCATTATCTCGTGCAACTTAAATGAGCATGAGCTATATGTTGCTGAAAAATATTCGGTGATATTTGACCGTTATCTGGGAAATGGAATGGTTTCCGAGGCGTCTATAATCTTGCGCACATTGATTAAAGAGAACAGTTATAACAGCCAAGTAATGTGAAAGTATCAGTGAGTTTGGTGAATCTCTTGGATAATTAGACTTTGATGCTTGGCATGAAGAAACTGTTGAAGGACTCCTCGTACTGGGGTAGACAAATAGACCATTGAGGTCTGGTAGAGTACATTAACTCCTTTTGCCCATATTGAACTGGTACATTAAATCAAATTCAGTGGATAGTTCATTAGAATTTCTTTTGATCTTTATTTTATAGTGAAAAAAATGGGAAGGGGGGGAAGGAGAATTTTCTTGTCATTGTCTTTTCCTTAACACTCAAATTATTGTGCAGGGAAGCCAAAAACACCTTGTAAATGTGTATTTGGAATTCAGAGAGTTTCAGCTGCCAGGAGACCAAAACATTCAGTTTTACACCTAGGGTATGGATCACCTTCTTTTTCTTTTTTCCCCCCTTTTTTGGCTTGCTTTTGCTCAAATGTTTTTTCAGACCTGACTTGGTTCTTATTCAGTACACCATTTCCATCTAGCTGGAAGCTGTTTTGTCAAAATGGTAAACTCCAAATATTGATGTTGTATTGCTGTCTGCTGATTAGGAGGAAGCATCCACATCAGAATGGCCTCCAATATCGGGAGGCAACATTATTGACTTTTGAATTTTGGTGTATGGTTAAAGAAAGACCTGTAACAGAGGGAGTTCATGCTAAGAACTTGCTGAAGCCTTCGAGCTAGAAACTGGACCAATCTGACCTCCCACGGTTTCTTTGGCCTTGGACGAATGGAATTCAATACTGAAGCCGGGTAGAGTCCCGACCAAGGCCAAGAATGTTAAAGAAGCTCGATGATGATCCAAGAATGGATCAACTTCCAGGTAATAAGCAATGGCCTGAGGTTGATGATCAAAATAAGTGTTCGCCGCAGGAAATAAAACAGATGTCTTGTCACAAGATACCTTCAATGTCATGTTTCGGGTGGAGATTTTCCCAGCCACATTGGAGATTTTGGTATGTCTAATTTCAAAGAGTCACCCTGATAGCCAACAGATCTCAGTTTCAGCCAAAGTGCAGATTACAGCTGGTGCGTACAAACTTGAAAAGAAAAGACTGAATAATTTTTGAGAAAGCTTTTGTAGTTATTATACATGGTGACTTAGTGTACTTGTTGGATGAGTGACGCATACAAAACCTTCTTCATTTTTCGCGTGGGCCAAAATATCTTTTGAGAGCATGTATCAGACATATTTACGAGGATTTATCTTTATTTTAACAGCCAAATATTGTGTCCAAAAAAAAAAAAAAATCATGGACATTATACAGTAGTCTCAGAAAAAATATACTCCTTTCCGTGGAATTAATCAAACTTTAAGACATGTTCAGCAAAGACTTGCCCTTTCAAGCCAGTTTTAAGTAAACAATACTACAAAGGACAAAGGAAGGGACCGAAAATGCGACGCAAATCACGAGCACTCGGACGAAGAACGGGAGAATTAGGAAATTTGTAGCATATGCTGTTGAGATCAGAGGTATTACTAACAGCTTCGGGATCAAAAACGTCTTCAACACCATTTGGCCTCAAGTAAATGGCTACAAAAAAAAAAGAAGATATTTTAGTTGGTGAGTCATAGAAGGCTATAAAACAATCGAAAACCCAGCCTCCATATTCATGGGGCTCGAAGTTCAGAAAATACAAAAAATAAATCAAATTGTTCTCCACATATCGAAGTTCAGATTGTGCATAAGAAGAATATAGAAAATGGAACCAACTAACTGTGTTATCTGAAATCATAGTTATCAGATTATATGAAAAAGTCCCTCACGCAGAAAGTGCAAGTAAAAAGTAATAATTGTGAAGTTGTTCTTGCCCCGCATTCCGTTTATGTTGTTGCAGATTGATTAAAAGTAAATGTAGTCAATGATTTAGTTGTTAAATTCTTGATTTTTTGTTTTGCAGTTTGAGTCAAATTTGTTTAAATTGAGTCCTATTTAAGAGTATAAGCCCTACTTCGATGAAGAAAACGGGTTCGTTTACCTCTGGTTCTTCACAGATTTCCACCAATTTTCTTCCGTTTGAACTTTAAGTAATTTTTTGAATTGGATAATATAATCTATAGTTTGTTTATTCAATTTGTAATAAATTAAAATGTACTAATATATTAATTTTTAATCTATGCTAAATGTTTTACTTTTTTGTAAAAAATTGATTTTTAGTCAAAAAAATATTATTCTTTAAATTGAAAAAAAGGATTAAAAAAACTAATATCATTATTGTCAAGTTATATTATTAAAAAATTAATATGTTTATGTAAATCAAACATGAGTTACAAATATACATATCTATAAATTTGCACAGTAATGTTTAAAAATAAATAGTTTTTTTTAAAAGATCATATAATATATTTTTATAGTTATGAGAAATAATAAAAATAAATAGAAAATAGAAAAAATTAAACATAAAGTGTAAAAAGACTGTTTGGTTATTTTTACAAATTGTTAGAATTTTTTTATAATTTTCAAAACTATTAGGGTGTTTTTTATAATTAAAACTAACGGAATTCCGTTAATTTAAACGGAAATTGGTCAATTAGACAAAATCGGCTAACGGTTAGATAGCTTAGGGTAATATTGGCTAATCAAAAAAAGAATAAGGTAAAATTGACAACGCATGTCAACCTTTGGGTAGATCGGTCAAATTTCAGTTTAAAATAAATTTTCACGCATGATATCTTAGCAAATCTCCAAACGATTATTTAGTAATTACTACTATAAACTTACCTTTTTACAAAAGAAAATCCAATTGGGTAAAATAGAAATTGAATTTTAATAATCAATTTATTTAGTACTGAAATTCTACCCCTTTTTTGAATAGGGTTGAAATTGGTTACTGAATTATAAATTTGTTATTGAAATCAAAATATAAATAGCTTTAAAATTTTAGTTTTTTCCTGGATAAATTTTAATATTTAAAAGGAAAAAAAAACCAAAATTTAACCCCAAAGAAATTGGGTTTTTATTGAAATTAATTCTTTTTATTTTAAAAATATAATTTATAAGAAAATTGATAAATGTCCTTGTCCCTAAATTAATTTTATAGCGGTTTGTTTATCAAATTAGGTCATTTTTGAAAATAAAGGGGTAGAATTTGTGCAGAATTGCAATCAAAATGGGTATTCTTGTCTTTGAACACATATTTATGCTCAATTACGCCGTTAAGGGGGTCAGTTTGGTCCTTGACTGGCAGTAAAAGAGGTACTGTAAATAGCTAATTTCTCCGAGCAAGAAAGGCTGGGATCGGATCTTGTAATATCCATTCTTAGCTAGTTTCACAAATCGGAGTAAATTTCGTTCTGGGTTTGTAAAGTAGAGCCTGTAAATTCATGAGAAACAGAGAAAATTGGAGGAAAAAATGATTGCTTTATTGCTGAAGAAACCGTGGGTTAGTGCAGTGTTGCTGATTTGTTCTTTCTTTCTCATCCTTTCTTTGTTCTCTACTTCTTCTCCCTTCTCTGGGGTCCCCAGTAGTTCGTTTTTGTGAGTACACAATCTCTCTTAATTGTTAGTTATTCGTAATTTGGCAATGTTGATTTAATTTTTGATTTGTAAAGTTTTAGTCCTTTTTAATGATTGGTGTGATTTGTGTCAGCTCTGACAGGCCTGAGATTTGGAGTTTGAAAAGAGTTGTTGAATGGAGGCCTTGCAGATGGTGGCTCCAAGAATCTCCTTCACGTTAGTCTTTCCTAAATTTTATTAGTTAATTTCTTGTGTTTCACTTTTTCATATTCAGACTGGAATAGTTATAGAGTCTGCCGACAATGGTTTTAGCAATCTAGATTCCACTATGGATGTTAAAATTTGGCTGAAATTTTGAGAGCCCTTTAGACTTCATTAATCTTTAAGGCATATGACTGTGATTATGCATCTGTAGAATCACAATTCGTTTTTATTAACAATGAATAAACAAAAACAATATTTTGAATGGATTTGCATTTTTAGTGTGTTCTAAGTTAAAATTGGCTGGCTTCCAATGCAGACCTTTGCAATTGGTTTTTTGTGTTCATATGCTGCAGCTCTACCAGCTCAAACTAATGGCTTTATTCGGGTGGATTGCTATGGTGGGCTCAATCAGATGAGAAGGGATGTGAGTACTTATTTATCCAGCTCTTTTGCTGTTTCTTAAATTGTATATTTTGCTCTATTTCTGTTTGGGTTCTTGGTTCTTACCTCATTTCTCTTCTTTTTTTCTTTACCTCTGTGCATTTTTAGCATTGCAATTTTCTTATGCCATCTTGCACATTCTTTTGAAACAATTGACAGTTTTGCGATGGTGTTGGTATCGCTCGTCTGCTTAATGCTACTCTTGTTCTACCCAAGTTTGAAGTAGCTGCATACTGGAATGAATCAAGGTTAGTGACGCCCATATGTTGTTCAGGCAAAATCTGCTGATAGGATTACTTTAAGCAGTGAAGTTAGAGATCCTCCTGATATATAAAGTTCGGGTTAATAGTAGTTACAATATGCATATAAGAATCATACAAGAAACCAAGATAGGATCGCTAACTGGCTTTGGTTTTGTGTATTTTGTTGCTTGGTATGAAGTTTAAGAGCCTCCAGGTCACATTAACTCATTAAGCACATGCTTATGTGGAATTATTACAAGTACTCAACAGAACAACTATTAAGCCTTTGTTCTAGGGATCCTTCCTATCACGCGGATAATGTGTGAGAAATCCTCCTCTTAGGTATCTGTTCAAATGGTATAAAAGTGAACTTGCATATGCTATGGTTTCAATTTTGCTTTTATTGGGGTTTGACAAGAATTTCAAATTGAATCTGCATTTCTACCACAGAAATGAAAATGCCCAAATAACTTTTCAGGGCTCATTTGGTCATTACATGTAACTGAGAATTCCTAGGCTTGGGACTTCCCTGTGACACCAAAAATGAAAATTTTGTTTGGTAGATAAGATCCTCATTACTTATATCTTTCCCCAAAGATATCAATTTTTAGCTTTGCAATGCTTGGAATACCTATTTCTTCCAACTTTGAACATGTTTAGTACAGTTGAGAGGTGGTCTTTAGATGATTACACTTTGTTTGGTAGGCAGATTAGAGTGATTGATCAATTGAGTAAATTCTTTCTTTTTATTTGTACAACATTTATTAATGTCATTGATGTTTTTGTACCTTTCAGTGGGTTTGGAGATGTGTTTGATGTGGATTATTTTATTGAACAAATGAGTGGCTATGTTCAAGTTGTGAAGGAGTTGCCCCCAGCTGTTGCATCAAAGGAGCCTTTTCGAGTTGATTGTAGCAAAAGGAAAGGCCAGTTTGATTATGTTGAAAGTGTGCTTCCTTCCTTGTTGGAGCATCAATATATATCTATTACACCTGCAATGAGCCAGAGAAGGGATAGGTGAGTAATTTTCTTTCAACTCATTCCCAGTCAACATACATTTTGATATATGAATGTAGCCATTGTCCCCTATGGCTATGTTTTCTAACCTCCTCAAATAAACGTAAAATTTTACGTCTTGTTTTGCATTCTTAATTTGTCCACTTTAAGTTAGTTGTGATACTCCACTCAGGTATCCTTTATATGCAAAAGCTGCTCATTGTCAAGCCTGTTACAAAGCATTGCGCCTGACCAAGTACTTGGAGAAGAAAGGCTCTGAACTTCTGCAGGCTATCCCAAAGCCCTTCCTTTCACTTCACCTGAGATTTGAACCCGACATGGTTGCTTACAGCCAATGCCAATATTCTGGCCTTTCGGCTACCTCCATGGCAGCTATAGAGGCGGCACGTGGAGATCGCAAGCCCTTGACTGGTGAAGTGGCTCAAATATGGAGAAATCGTGGAAAGTGCCCTCTTACTCCAAATGAGACTGCTCTAGTTCTTCAGGCTCTATCCATCTCTACGGACACAAACATATATTTGGCAGCTGGAGATGGTCTTATGGAACTTGAAGGATTCACCTCCGTGTACACCAATGTTGTCACAAAATCCAGCCTTCTCAGTGACAGAGACTTTAATAGCTTGCATGGGAACACAAAAGCAGCCCTTGATTATTATGTATCAATCAACAGTGATTATTACATTGCTACATTCTTTGGTAATATGGATAAGATGGTGGCTGCAATGCGGGCTGTGGATGGGGTTTACAAATCGCTTTTCTTAAGTAGGAGGGCTTTTGCGACATTGACTTCTAAAGGGATCAGGGGCGAAAAATTAATGGATGAATTATGGAAGACTCACAGAGATGATTTTGTTATGAGTAGGGGTTATGCCTTGTCCGACTGTTTTTGTGAATTCCAGCTGTAGGTAGGTGTAACTGTTTAAGTGAGTTTTCTGTCAACATTCCTTGAGATTTTGTGATGTTGTACCACGTTATTCATTTTTAGAGCAGCACAGATAATACGTGTAGATGAGAAGATTAGTAGCAACAAATTTTTTAGTCCTGAATTTGGTACTTCACTGGATGCAAGAAGTAGCGGACCAAAACAACTCAGCAATTTTTCTTCAACTTCAGCAGAATTGTAAGAAGCGTTAACAGTTGCAGAATTTGGGCCACTTGACAATCAGCACGCACCCCTTCTATTAGGAGTGATTATTTTACCTTTTCTCCAGTTTCTATCGTTTTTAACGCTCAATTTTTGCTTTCTCAATGTTAGTGATAGAATGCAAAACTCCGGCGACATAATTTAGAAAAGAACATGAGGAAATCCCTAAAAAAACACACTGGGTGGAAGATGAGTAACATCTTAAGACATTGCATGAAACCTGTTGATGCAAGAAAGTAAAACACAGGTATCATATGATATACAAGTTAGATAGTGCGTCAATGTAATGAAAGCATTAGATCTTAGCCCATTATAGTTTGTACACAAATTGGACTACAACAATTTAGAATTTACGGGCAGAAACACCAATCCAACTATCGTTCTCTACAAAAACAATTGTGGATGCTAAATGAAGTGGTGTAAGCTTGAAACAAGAGAATCAAAAAAAGTCTAGCTAGATTGCTTATAGTTCTATAAAATGTTAAGCTTGCAAAAAAAATCTCTAGAATAAAAAAGACAGAAAGCGAGGAACTCCAGGTGTTCTCCTTCCTTCAGCTCTAATTTTCAGCATCTCCAGACTGTGCCTCCTTTTCTGCTTGGGCAGCAGCCATCAATTCATCAAACTTTGCAGATTTTCCCAATACTATCTCAATCTGCAAGAGAAACTTCAACATTTTAATGCTAATCCAACAAAGACCAGAAACTTAGCATTAATGAAGCAAAAATATTATGCAAAGCAAGGATGAACCAAATGTTTAAACAATGATCAAAAGCAAGGAGGGTCGAAACTTGACATGCATCCCAGTTTGCAGCAAGGATAGACCTATCAGACTTCTAACATCAACAGAAAATAAATATGATTCTACAAAGAACTCCAAATCTTCAGCCTCGACAACAGAAATGCTACTTTGATCAGAAGGACTCCAGTCCAGACATTCTTCATCAATGATAAAGAGTGCTCAGCCAAAAAAAATGCAGCATAAACCTTGTCTAAGTTAGCTTACAGCGCAACTAGATTCAACATTATAAGTCATGACGAAACTAAGCTAGTAAGCTATATGAAGTTTTTAGGAAGGTATGCACCCTGTTCAGACACGCGTATACTATTTTAGAAGGTATGCACCCTGTTCAGACATGCGTATACCTTGGCCTTTTGGACAGGTCTTCCTCTAGAATCATCCTTTATTTCCACAGTAGATGTCATAATTCCTGCAAAGATTCTCACTAAGCCACAAAATCCCTTTGCCACACCCATCAAGGAGAAAAGCTAAAATAATCACTCTCTAATATACTATTGTGTATTACAAAAAGTAACTCACTCTTTTCAACAGCAAGCCCATTGTTTTTCAATATTTCAGCAACTGAGACAACTGTTGCAATCGCTGCAATACAAAACCAGAATTAAATTCCACCCTCACAAGCAGAAGAAACAAAAAGTATGTAAATGAATCAATTGTGCATCTGCCATATACAGCAAGGCATTCTGCAGAACTATAACACTAGAAGTGGTAGTCCAAGACTCCAATTAATGAATATCTGAAAAGTTCAAGGAGAAGCAAACATACGCATACTTCATAAACCATCTGTCAAAATAAATATGCTCAATGGATGTTGGACGTGAACTGTTGAGGATTATAGCCATTACAATCAATCATCAGGTGAGATAAGCCTTATATATTCACACCATATACCATAGAAGTAATAATCGATCAGCGGTACAAAATTTTCATAAAGAAGCATTTAAAACTCTAGCGCAGTGCTTCTCAAAAAGATGTAGAAAAGTGGAATTCGTAGATTTAAATCATCAAAGAACAAGAAGAAGCAGAAATAAAATTACATATCCGAAGAAATCAAAGTTTGAAACTCAGCAAATGTTGGACAAATATAAAACTAGGTAATTATATCTTACAACAATCATGCTCAATCCAGCTACTAGAGTTGAAGACGTTCTCCAAATGGAATTATTCAAGAGTTAAATGTAATTAAAGACAGGAAAGAGTGCATCCTAAACAGAAAGCAGTACAGAGAAAAATCTAATATAGGAAAAACATAAGGGCGAGACAACAGAGGAGACTGATACATCCTTGAGACAGGGCCAAACTTAAATTTTAACAAACATCAACACGGTTGAGTGAAAATTGACTGAAAACACAACACGGGGATACATAACAAGACCGAAAAATGTGGATTACCCATATCTTTATGAATCAAAAAAGCCTACAATCTCCGTAATGTTACCACACAAGGTTCCTATCTAGTGTTACCAAAACACGATTGACAACAAGCAATTATCCAAATGGGTGCCAGATGATTAAACAAATCAGAAAGAAATCCAAAAAGAAAAAAAAGCAAACAAAAATAACAAATCAATAACAAAACATAAAGCGAAAATCAAACAAAGGTTTGGCATAAATTCATACCCATCCCGAGCGCCGAAAGTTCAACCTCATTGTGTTGCTGCATGTACCTCTGCAATCGTACATTAAAAGATTATTCCGTCAAATTGCAAATATGATATATCCAGAAATATTCATCATAAAAATATATATGAATTACCTTGGCGAGGTTGACATAGAAAAACAGAGGCTTTTTAGTATTGGAAACTTGAATTCGATTCTTCTTTTGGGAGTCATTATCGATGCTAACGCTGTTCAGTCCATCTGTAATTTCCTCCATTTTTTTCACCCAGAGTTTCTCTCCCTTGAATTCTTCGCGGATAAAATAAATTTCTTCGTTCTGCAATTTTTCTAATCTAGTTAGGGTTTCGATCAATTTTGGGATTTGATGACGAAACTACAGAGTGAGAATTGAGAAGTGTTCGCCACGTATTTCTTTAATTTTTTTTAATTTTTTTTTTCCTGATATCCTCTTTTACTTGGTTCAGCTTCATAGTTACGCTTTTAGTTCAATATACAATGCTTCATCGCAACGCTTTTAGTGCATGTCTACGGCAATATACCCCAAAAGCGTGGTGCGTTAATACTTGTACTGCAGTCCGACGAGATCGACAAAAGTGTGTTCACATAAAAGATAATGCACTTTGAGTTTTGAAATTTATAATATTAATATATTTTTTGGTTTATTGATATCAATTAGAAACTCATAAAGCATTTAGATTATTGGAATTCATTTACTTCGACCTTGTCAATGACCTAACTAAGTATAGATGAATAAGTCTGACGAGCATTTAAATTCACTATGACATTGGTAGATTTTTCGTTTCAACATTTCGGGAATGATATGAAGATTGAAATGGACTGAATTTGATATCATGCATTCCATTCTATACGTCTTTGTTGACTTTCTTTGACCTGACTAATAAATAGATGCTATCTAAAAATCTATTAAACAATAAAACGATTGAATGTTTTAGTGTTTAACATTGAATAGAAATATTTTTCTTATTTAGTTTTTATCAATAAATTAGTCATAAATGTTTAAAACTTCGTCGACTTTTTAGTCAAGGTAGCAAAGTAGACAAAAAAAGTCGACGAATGAAAAAAGTTCATTGTTTTTTCCCTCCTTTTCCTTTTGATGGCATAGACAATTTTTGTTTCAATATTACAGTAATGGTATTTGATTTGAAGTGGACCAAATTTTGATATCATGCTCGCATTGGCTTTTTTTTAACCAGTTTAACAACTAGATACAATCGAAAACTCCATTAAAAAATTAAACCATTGTATGTTTTAATGTTAAATGTTGAATTTTATTTTATTTTTAGTTATTGGTATCAATCAAAAAGTCACAAAACAGTGGCGGAGCCAAAAAAATTTTCAGTAGAGATACAAGATGAACATATATCATTCAATCAATTTTTCTTTAACTTTATATATATATATATATATACGCGTAATTTGCACATGGTTTGCACGTGATTTGAATATAAATTGTACATCATTAATGTCAGTTATATATATTTATGTACAAATTAAAATAACATATCATGATCAAATGAATAAATATAATTGTTAGTAGTGATATTCTATTTTTAAACTACAAATGACATATATTAAAATGATAAAAAAATTTATGTGACTAACAAAATATAAAATATCTAAGGAAATTGATTAAAAAATACGTGAATTAATTTTTAAAACTTTTAAAAACTATAAATTATCTTTGAGATTTTTTAAATTCTATGGGGACACGTGCCCCCGATGCCTCCATTGTAAATCTGCCACTGCTCCCATCCTCAATAGAATCTTGATGGTTCTTCTGGCATTCTCCATTTTTCTGGCCTATCTTTCCAAGCTTCTATGGTTGTGTCGTACTTCCCAACACCGTCACAGGGAAGACCCCGAGGATGACCCCGACTTCGGAGGAGTGGAAATGGCTATGCAAATGGGAATGCATGATAAAGGTCTAGACGTGATCAAGTGAGACTAAAGTAGCTACTATGTTTTTCTAATATCGTAGTTCCTCTATTTTTTTCTAACGTTGTTATTCGTAACTCGTTTTGTTCATCTTCTGAGTGTTGACTTTGATTATTTTTTTAAATTATTATTTTCCGTGTTTGATTATATTGTGATCATTGGTACGGGTTTGATCCTCTGAAATCGAGCTTCTCAACTCAGAAATTTTTTATTTCCTTTTTGGAAATTTATTGCGTCGACTGTGTCATCGACTATTATGTGAAGTGTGAACAAATAAGTCACGAATACTAAATTTATTGTTTTTTCTGAAAATTTCTTTGTGAAATGGTAAATTTTCACTTCAATATCCCGTGAATAAGATGAGAATTAAAGCAGACTACATTCGACTGACAACTAGATGAGATCCAAAGCAAAGTACAGTATATGAGAATGAAATGATATATATATGGAGAAAGGGAAAAAAAAAATTGACAATGAGTTTGTAATTACTCTAAGCGATCAAGGAGTAATTTTAGTACCATCCCAGAATCGCTTATGATTTCAATATCTGATGACTGAGCTTAAAACAACCTTTTTCTCGAGAAAATATAAATGAATAAAAACCAAAATGTGGACGTGTGCCAGAACCAGTGGCGGAACTAACCTTTTACATTTAGGGAGCTGATTATGCAGTAGAATATTGACAAAAATTAATGCAACATTTATTTTTTAAAAAATCTTGATATAATATTTACACTGAATAAGAGTTAGAAAAAGTAACAAGAGACAGCTGAAACATTCATAGTGCCATGCCCTAAAACTGCTGCAAAATATCTTCAATACCAAGAAAACCTCCTCAATGTAACACAACATAGCATTTGCGAGAAAATCATCTCCCATCCTGTTGTGCAAATTATCCTTTATATAATTCATAGCGGAGAAAAATCTTTCAAGTGTAGCTGTTGACAGACCAAACCAATGCCAACTTGATAAATTCGAACCTTTAAATATTTAAATGAAATTGTTCAAGTGGGAGGCGTCAGTGGTTGAAGGAGGCGCTGAGCGCAGTTCGTTGGCTTCAATGGGGGAGCTCACGTTGATTTGTTTTAAGAGTGGGGTTTGGGAATTTTTTTTTTTTTTTTTTTTTTTTTAAGTGTTGGCATTTTTTGTTTTTTAAGAAATAGGAATAAGAAAAATTTTGAGCTAGTTAAGTAGTGGGCTTATGGGCTAAAGCCTGCAAGGGGTTTAAAAAAAATAAAAGGAATTCAATTTGAGCTGGACTGGAGACGAGACTAAAGCATAAAGGGGCTGGGCCAACTAAACTTAAAGACCATCATTCTCTTAAAGTCAAATTATAAATTTTTTTTAAAAAAAAGTACTGTTCATCTTCTTCCTCAAGCCCCCTTCGTTTTTTCAGAATTGGGGGGCTGAGATTTATGGCGGAGGTCATCCATAGGTCGTCCCCGACTTCGATCTATACTGTATGTGTTCATTCGTTTTCATTTCATTAACTTAACAAAAGTATAGTACTCCCTCTGTCCCAAAATTATTGTACAATTTGATATTTCATTTTTAGTACAATTTGAACTAGAAATAAAAACTCAAAGTGGATAATAATTATGGGACGGAGGGAGTAATTTTTTGGAAAACTTAATTTTGTTAAGTGAGTAACCTACAACCGGCAGTATCTTTTCCAATGCCTGATAGTATGTTAGTATTATGCATTTTGAATGGTATACGATTTTATTGATGACCAAAAAAAGTCCTTGGAGTCTATGGTTCCCCCAAACTATATACTTACAAATGACTAACGAGGAACTTTTATTCACATTCTAACTAGTAGTAATAAAAACACAACAAATGAAAATCATAAAGGATCATACTGTAAAAAATGTACAAGCATATATGTCGGGTTTGTTTGTACGAGCAAAAGTGTACAAGCATAATGGATCACACCCCATGTATGAAATCATTACTTTGGCTAATTCAAATTCGAACTGAGTAAATTTTTTAAGTAAAATTTCCCTACAAATATTTTAATCACCGAAACATGTCTATGTCGGGTTTGTTTAATTGGAGTGTTCAACAAAAAATGTGCTACATAATTTTCCTAATACTAATATCTCGATAAAAATCTTTATTTTCATGGTAAGTTCGAGATATTACTATCATGATCAAATTATGATTGTTCTTATCTTATTAAAAAAAAATTAAAAAGACGAAACGAAGTTCTACAATTATTATGTCTTCTGTATGTATTAGATGTTGTGCGTGCGTACATAGTGAAGAATAAAACAATCGATCACATTAATTAAAATATTAATAACTCTTTGGGTACGTTCAAACTAATGTCGTTTTCGTGCCCTCCTGGTACGAACTAGTTGTTACTAGAGTTTTAACTATTTAGTGCATGCTGACTAGCTTGGACAATCTTTTGTTTTACGCCGACTTTTTTTCCCCTTGTCCAAAATATTAAAAGGATACAACCTAATATATACTATACTATATATTGTCTAGCTGATGATCCATTTTGTCATTTATTGGTAGCAAACTATACCAATAACCCAAACCCCTTGTTGTGTGTGTGTGTGTGGTTAATTTTCTGTTCGAATCAATGATTTGATGTGTGCGTGATATGATGCAAGCCATGTTTTTGTTCCTAACATAAAAGATGAGGCACAATTAGACAAAACTATTACGTAACTTACATATATAGAATTAGTTTTAGTGTCTTCCAAGTATGTAAATATTTTACGTATAAAATCTCAAGTTGAGCGGTTAATTTTAGTTATCTCTTGTCATGTATGCTCGAAATTTAAATTATTTAGTCTTAAGTAGTTGGGTATGACATGAAAGATCACAATGGAACTAAAGTATGATCTAATTGTTAAGCAGTACGAAGTGTGCATTCTTGAAAGCTTAAATATAAGCGCACATGTGGTTCCACCTTAAAACCGATTGGTGATAAGGGAAGTAGCACTTGTAATTATATATTGATTTTAAAAGTTTCTGTCGATGTATGTGAGGTAAGGAAAATTGGGCATATCTCAATATATTATTCTCAACATGCACAATATGGCTATTTAACCTAACTACTAACTAGGTTGGATCAAGTCAGGACGGACGATTTCACCATGTTTATAGTTACTAAGTTGGATCAGTAAAATCTTTTCCTGATAAGTTGACCCAATATTTGATCTAAACTTAATTATTGACATAAATTAGGATTATTTGATCACCAAATTTTATCCATAACTTGTTTATTAGGCCGCGAAATCAGTATGATACTAAACGATTCGTTGTTACATTTAATTTATTATCTAAATAAGAGTCGGTGACCCAACATATCTTCATTTTCTCTCTAAGCATATCCAAAAAAATATGTACCATTTATCTTGTGACAGTGAATGATTAGCAAGGTCATTAATTAGTAGTAATTGCCATGAAATTATTGGGACAAAAGAGGAAAGTATTTCTGTTTTCTCTTTTAAAAATTTCCTAAACCAAATTGATGCTGTCTTATCTTGTCCACGTACTTACGTACGTACGTTGCGACCTGTTTGATTTTTGAGGTGGCACTAAGAGTTGGGTGCCCTGTGATCTATAAGGCGGAGTTCAAAAGTTACTTTTAATTACGATTTAGGAAACACATTTGGGAACCCTTCGGGGGGGTTTTTTTTCCGAGATGTTTTTGAGTAGGTATTTTGAATTTTTTATTAATTGATTTTATTTCTGATTTTTATGGGGCGCATTTGAATTGATTACCAAGGAGAGAATGCCATAAAGTAGCTAGTGGCAATTAAAGAGAACGATTTTTATTTTTATTTTTTTAAAAAAAAATCACCTCGATTTTCCATGAACTCAAAATATTAATCACTGAATTCCATTCAATTCTCATAGAATATATAGTAGCGGAATAAATGATACAGACTGAAATATCATTGATGAAGAGATGCTGCTTATCGTTTTTGGTAAAACACGATCATCGATCATCTATCCATTTATGAATAAATTTGTTTTTTTTTTTTCTTTTTTGTCTTCTCATTTGTGATTAACAAGTTGCGTATAGCAGTACCTTTATATCATCATCTGTTATCTGAACAATTTTATGAGACCAAATAATTAACTCAACGTTTTCATGATCTCGTACTTCATCTATTTTGAAATGATTATGTAATTTGATTTTTTTTGGTATAATCATTTATTAAAAAAAATAAATTCAAATTGAACCGTCATGATAAAAGAAGTAGAGGGTTCGACCTATACTTAGCTAAAGCTAATATTGATTTGTCCAAAGACAGTGGACACAAATACGCTGGTTCTTTTGCAGAAAACTCCAAATGGATTATGGTCCTCATTCCTAGGTCTCCACGCTTGAGGGCTATGGAAATTGAAATGTTAGGACAGTGTCGTACGAGATATGATCAACTAGTGGCGCAACTTAATTAGAACAGTTCATGCCAAATTAATTTCGATTGATTCTGAAAGAATATAATTATAATCAGTGGTGGAGCTAAGGGACCAGCAGCAGCGGTAACCCCTTCTCGCCATAAATTTTTTCTTTAAAAGTGTTTTTAAATTTTAGTGTAAATAGAAATTTTCTTAGATTTTCGTCCCTGCAAATTAAAATTTTCATTAGTTTGCCCCTCTATTCATAAAATCTTAGCTCCGCCACTGATTATAATACATTAATGTTATTCATTATCTAGCTTTATGCTTAGAATTGTTTATCTGCATGTTAGGGACATACACATCTCTACTATGCCAAATGAAGTGAATTCATCTCTTATAATCCAATAATTTATCTTTCGACTTCCAAAATAAGAGTCACGATGGTTAAAATATTTTTATTATAACAAATAAAACTTTTATTTCGAGATAAAAGAACACTTCTTGAACTAGTTCGGCAAAAAGATGTTAGTAGCAAAATAGAGGCAAAAGAAAAGGTGATCAACTCTGGCTCTTCAATATTGGAACTCGTTTTATCCTTGCCTTTCTCAATGGTGATGTCTAGAAGATTTAAAACAAATTAAGTTAATAGAGTATACAATGCTAGTGGATTAAGAGTACTATTGTACGTAATCATCCAAAATCCAATGTAACAAATATATATGGAATTGAAAGTGACATCGAGGATTGATTAGTGTATTATTATTACCTGTTCCACACCTAACCTATAAAAGTAATGTTTCAAAGAATTCCTTAATCAAGCAGTTCCTGACGGTCCATCGCTATTAGAAATTAACCCGTCAATTTTTTCAAGTTTATTTTTTTTATATTTATAGTTTTGTCTTACCTGTATATCACCAAAATAATAAATAGTTAAACACCACCTAGGATAATCTTTTCTTAGTTCCCCTTTTATAAATTGCGCAAAAGTGCAGCTCACTTGAAAGTTCACGATTTATCCATAAGTTAAATACTTTGAAGATATGATGAACGTTATTCCTTTGTCGAAAAAAAAAAAAAGAAGATTAAAATCACTGCCTGTTAATATTATTATTATTATTATCTTTCCAGTGTAATTAGTAGTATTAAATGTTTTCCTTGTTATACGTCGTGCAGAAATTGGATACAAATACATTTTTTTTTTTAAAAAAAAAAAACGTGAATAATAATAGTATTAGGAGTTAAGACTCCCCATAATTGGAAATGGACCCGTAAGCCAGTTTCACAACAAAATGTACGTCAAAATATACAAAAGTCTGAGTCAGCAACTTCGAAGATCTACGTGTCATATGAATCTCATGTAGGACACCTGGCCGTCGTCTGAATCCTAATACGTGAAAATCCCCGAAAACGGTTTCTTTTTTTCCTCTGCTCTCTCTCTGGCTCCTCTATTTAGTGTCCCCCAATTTCACGAGTCTACTTGTCAATCTTACCCCATATCTTCCCATCTTTCTCTCAAAAAACTTTCCGAAAATTAGAGCTACTTTCACTAGTATTGTTGTTCTTTTCTATCCTCTTCTGCTTCGATTTCGGTGGTATTTTGTCTTTTGATTTCATAAAAAAAAAATTATTCTTTTTTGCTGTGACACAATATTCACTCGCTTCACTCCTACACAAATTTTTTTTTTTTTTTTCAATCTTGTTTTTTGATCAACGAAAAAAAAATGAAGGATAACGTGATGAACCCATTGGCTTTGACATCCTTGAATCATATCTCGCTCGTTTGCAAATCCGTCGAGAAATCCATGGATTTTTACACCAACGTGCTCGGATTTGTTCCGGTCCGGAGGCCCGGATCATTCAATTTTGATGGAGCTTGGTAGATTCTGATTGGAATTTCTGTCCCCTCTTGATTGCTCTGTTTTTTTTTTTGTCCATATATTTTGTTTTGATCGCAAATTCTGGTTTTTGGGTATGCTGATTTTGTTTAATTTGCGTGCAGGCTGTTCAGTTATGGAATCGGGATTCATTTGTTGCAATCGGAGAACCCGGAAAGCATGCCGGAGAAAACCGTGATCAATCCCAAGGACAATCATATTTCTTTCCAGGTAATAAATATACTTCATTCCTGGTTTGGAATCAATCAAACTGTAGTAGTATCAATCAAATTGTATTTCTTGACCTTCATGAAGAAAAAAATAAATCATGGTTCAGAATGATTACTCTGTACTTACTCTGTGTTTTTTTTCCCTCTGTGTCGTATAGCTTTGGGATTCCGAATAAGGGTGAGGGACCCTGAACGCAAAACTCCTTCGTTCCTCCAGACATCATTAACCTTAGGTTGTACGAAAATGACGGGAAATTAGTAAATTACTACTGTAGGAATTTAAACCCCATTCGTCAATGATTTGATAGCTTGAAAATGACAAACCCCACAAAGATCCCTCACCCCACAAATGAAAAAAATGAGAAAAGAAATCTTCTGATTGAATCATTGAATGGGAGAATGTTTTACGGTTGTAGAAAGTTGCAGTAAAATCTGTACTTAGAGTTCTATCCGCACATATGGACACGTCAAAATCTTCTGCCACTTAATAGGCCATCGGATTCCAAGTTCCAACATCTTACGTTAAAAAACAGTAGTCTTCTTTCCTTAGAATTTGGCCAGAAACAGAGTTTCCGTGTGTCACATGCATTCTTGATTAGGAAAGGAATATTTCCAATATTTTTACAATGGACTCCTAATGTTTAATCATTAACTTCATTTCCTACTTTCCATAAGTAATAGTGACACATTCACGGTCATTAATTAGGGGTTATGAATCTGATTTTGATTTTTTTTTCTTCTTGGAAATACGTTACGTAAATGCCTTGATTTGAATATTGCAGTGTGAGAGCATGGCTGCAGTGGAGAAGAAACTGATTGACATGGAAATCAAGTATGTGAGGCAGCGGGTTGAAGAAGGCGGAATCTACGTGGATCAACTGTTTTTCCACGACCCAGATGGATTCATGATTGAAATATGCAACTGTGATAATCTCCCAGTCATCCCATTGGCAGGGGAGATGATTCGTTCCTGCTCCAGAATCAACCTCAAGATGATGCAATCTCCGCCAGTTCCAGTCGTTCGGCCTTGATCCTGATCATGATGATGATGATGATGATGATGGCGACAAATCACAAGGATTTTTTTTTTCTTTCAATCTGGGTTGGGTATAAAAAACGTCAGAATATGCCAATTTGTCTAGGTCCCTCTACTACTTGCTTTTGATTTTGTGTCATGTTGTCAGTATTTGCTTTTGTTGTAAGTAAATACTGCTAGTTGTGTGATAAGAATAAATTTTCTAGTATGTTTTCTTTTTCTTTTTGAAGTTTATCATGTGTGTTTGTACTTGGGGTAGGTTGTTGATCGATGATGACATTTTGGCAAATCTGCCGAAACTGAAGAACTCAATTTGTACCAATTTGAGTTTAAAGTTTGTTATGAAAACTCTAGTTGTTGCTTTCATATATTTTTGGTCACTGTTCTTAAGCGTCACCATTTCTCCACACACATTATAATAGAGACCTCTTTTTTGGTCTTACTCGACTAGCACTTGATGTGATTGCATCATATCTTGAGGTGAAAATGAAACCAGCTGTATGCATTCTCCTCGGCTCCTCGCACGAGTCGTACAACCGTTCCAAACTACTTGACCTGCCTTCCTACTTCCCTCCTGCTTTCAGTATTAAAAATGAAAACTGAAACTGGACAATTATTTTGAAACATAAAGAATACATGTCTGTAATATTTTACTTGGAAGTATCCTATCTCTCCAATTAAGTATCTCATCTGGTCCTTAATATAAGACATTTTGATATGTTATAAGTTTCATCTATTTTTAAAAGACAAAAAATCTTTAAAATATATTTTCACATTTATTGTGTTTTCTTAATTGTTAGGAAATATTTTTAAGATTTTTTTGTTAATTAAAAATTCGTACTAGGTGAAACTCAGGACAAATTAAAATGCCTTATATTAAGGACCGGAGGGAGTACTTCAGTATTTTCCTTAGAAGTATCCTATCTCTAAAATTAAGTACTATAAAGGATTTGTGATCGCTTGGTATTCAGTCATCGAGTCTTTATGAAAGACCCTATGTTCAAATCTCGTTATATGTTTGAAAAAAAATAAAAAATCTTTTGTTATACCACGTTTTGAAGTATTGGTGAATATGTTGGCACGGGACTGGAGATTTGTACAAGTGATCTAAACTTCCCCGGGGGACAAACTTATGTACGTACTACAGTAAACATATCTCGTGTTCCTTTTCTCATTAACTTGTATATTTGTCATCACAAAATTACCTTCTACTCTCATCTTCCAGAATAAAAGTTTCATTTGTGAAATAGAATTTTATTTGTCTTTTTATCTCAAAATAAGAGTTTGGCTGTTATGAAATAATATTGCTTATTCAATAAAATAGTCTCTGATTTTCGGACAGGAAACAAAGTACTTATTATAATACATTTTCTAAGGCAAAGTCAAATAATGACAGAACTATACACGTGGAAAATAAGAGATAAGACAAATATATTTAAGAAAATTTAGGGGGGTGACCCGATTTTTGGTCTTTTAGAGTCTGTATGATCTGATCTTCCCGTGCGTTTCTTTTCTTGGATCGTAATTAATTGTGGAAATCATAACAGAACACTATTTATGTGCCGCATAAACAATCTTCTAGTATTATTCAATAATCGTTACGTAAGATAACTGTTGCAAACATTTAGATAAAGTCTTAGCTATCTAGATTTAAAAGCACACAATCTAATTGTCAAGACAATCTTTTAGCCACAAAAACGTAAACCTTACCCTCTTCGGTCCTTAATATAAAACATTTCGATTTGTCTGAAGTTTTATTTAATTTTATTAATTGACAAAAAAAAATTAAAAATATTTCATAACAATCAAGAGAAAAAAACAAATGCGAAAATATATTTTTACAGTTTTTTGTCAATTAAAAATTCGTATTAGGCAAAATTTATGACAAATCAAAATATTTTATATTAAGGACCGGAAGGAGTGTGATTTAGCTGGATCTGTACACCTGGCTAGGAATTCTTGAGCCGGATATAGTTGTTAAAAAAAAAAAAACTTAATCCATGATTTTTTTTTCTTTCTTTATGAAATAAACTTACAAATAAAACTATAGAGTTGTGACCGAATGGTTTTAGACTTTAGTTATCGATCACTGTACAACTTTCGAGTTATTAACTGATCATTCAATCGACAAAACTGTTGAATTTTTCTGAGCTATATTAATCGTAATTGAGTTGGGAAAACTAGGAACCACAGCAACCAGTTGTTCTACTCAACTTCGGCTAGTCACATTGAAATCCAGCATGAAACGCAATTAGCCTTTTATGTCATTAATCTGGTACAAGATTTCGTTGGTTACCTTTTATTTATTTCATGTTAGTGGAGGAGACTTTTACAGTACAATAGAGATTGATTTGAAAGTTGTGAGTGCAACTAGCTAGTGCCAAAAAACGTCCTACACGAAAAGAGAAAAGTTAAAAAGAACTAATAAACATGTTACAAGGACAAATAAAATCAGCAAGACTATAGATTTTGGAATTTAATTTCATCAAAATGGCAACTGATTAGGATCAACCTTTTGTGTTTAGCTATATTGTGGAGAACAGCACTACCGGTCTACCAATGTTTTATTTTTTATTTTTTATTTTTATGGAAAGTCTTTTTATTACTCAATCTATCCCAAAGTATCTTGGTTTTTTATTTTTTTTCATTACCAGAAAGTATCTTGGTTTAAAAAAGTGAAAATATAAGGTTAAATACAAATAAAAATATTGGACGGGCTACAAAGGTACTGTCCAACTCCTAAAGCCCAAATTTCATTTCTCCAGCTTGGCTTTAGTAGTAGAGTAGTACTTATATTTCAAACGTTAACGATGGATCAGTTTATTGGATTTGAATCTTCGGAAAAAGGAAGGAAGAAGGGGGAAAAAAAATAACGCTAGGAAAAAGTGCACCCATAATAAATTTCTGATTACAATTTTGATAAAATATATAAGAGTTTTGACGATTTATCTAGCGACTAACAAAAAAAAAAAAAAAAAACTACAACACGGCCAGGTCCCAAATTGCTAGGCGTTACATATTTATAAACTCACAAACAGTTTGAATTCGACAATTTTAATTATACATCTCACACGTACATATTTATTATAATTTGAACACAAAAAAAAAATGTAATTATCAACACATGATACAATCAACTCGTACACAATCTTCTTTCCTTATACAGTTTAAAATAACGATAAAGAAGTAAAAAAAAAAAAAAAAGATTATAACAAGGATAAAATCAGATCAATAAAGAATAGTAGTACACGAATAATCAGGTTCCTCTTCGAAGCATTTGCTCGTAGTTCTCAATGGACTCGAGCCGTTGAAGAAGCAGTTGCTGTCTGAATTTGTTAATGAAAGCTTCGGCGCTTTGATTGATGTCCTCCGTTGACTTTCTCTCCAATGCTTTGTTCTTGTTCGGCTCCTCCACTTTCTTACCTCCAACTATCCCCTGATGCTGACCATTATCAGTACTGGTAATCTTCTTTTCTCGTCGAATCACCGGATCAGCTTCCTCCTTATAATTACCTCCTACCTCCGCCCTCCTCTGGTGGTGGTGGCCGCCGGCCACGGTGGTAGTGGTGCTCTTCATTTCAAACTTCAAAGAATGTACGTATAAAAAATTAATTTGGTTTTTTGGATCGGTAGACTACTTGTTTCTTATGAGGTCGATAGGGTATAGGAGTTTCCAATATTTATATACGTGGGAGATTAAAGAATTCAAGAGGGACTTTCCTTACGTACTTCATTCATTAATGTTTTTATTAAAACATAATTAAAGTGGTATGCTATTCAATTCCCGAAGTCAAGTTGGAGTTTGGAATATTTTTACGTGTCTCTGACATGAATTTTATACTAATAACTTTACTTGAAATGTCCAAGTTTGGATATCTTACTAGTAGTATAACGTTAATCATCTCATAGAAAGAGCGAAATTGAAGATTTTTCTAACCTCGGATTAGAAGGGTCAACTAATGTATATCCGTTGATTAATTCATGCTACTTATGGGTTTAGTCTAATTATTTACGTTTAGCACATCATTTCGGAAATCACGTAGTTATATCATTACGTAGTTATATGCATGCTTATCCACGATATTGTAACTGAAATTGAGAAAAATAATTTTAATTCAGCAGAAATCGATTTATATATACATGCATTGATGAAAATAAGATTGTGATAAGTGAATACACATTGATGAAATCGATTTATACCTACATCCATTATATTCCATTCAAGAATCTAAACTTTTGAGTCGATTGAATTATAACTACTATATGCATTGTAATCCCTCCGGTCCTTAATATAAGGCATTTTGATTCCGTTCTAAGTTTCACTTAGTACGTATTTTTAATTGACGAAAAAACCTTAAAAATATATTTTCATGTTTATTGTATTCTCTTGATTGTATGAAATGTTTTTAAGGATTTTTTGTCAATTAAAAATACGTACCGAGTGAAACCTAGGGCGGAATCAAAATGTCTTATATTAAGGACCGGAGGGAGTACTACATTATATATGGTACTGTATTTAATAAGAATTTCAGTTATTAGATTTCATCAAAAGTAATAACTTTGAAATGAAAAAAAAAAAAGAAAAAGAAGAAGATTATATGAGATTCTAGCAAATGGGAATATTATGTGGATGATGATGATGATGATTTTGTCTCTCTCAAGAAGGGCATGGCCAAAACACGGTAACTATAATTCGGGCAAAGCGGCCGCCTTTGAAGACTCCAAAGACCAACTGTCCTTCGAAATTACGCGCACGAATGTACCCAACATTATTAAGAAACGTGCGGCTTAAGAAGCTGGGGGATCTTCACCGACTGTTAGGCTCGCGCCAAATTTTTGAACTGTCGATAAAGTTTTGCTGCATTCTTAAATAGCAAAACTGATCAAATGATGCTTTTCTTACTCTATAAGATTCAATCTCTCTTGCAGTCGTGCTTACGAAATAATTTCCATTTTTCTGGATTACGAAGCTTAGTGGTCATCACTTATTAGTTTATGTTGAACAAAAAATTATAACAATGACAGAAAAAGTTGCTTAGTCAGTAATTTTAATATAGTGGAGCTGTCAGATATATTTGTGGTGTGACGATTAGGTTATATAGTAAGAATGAGGAAAATTGAAACTACAATGTCAGTGTTGGAGGTTGGTTAGCATTTGATTTTATAATTAGTAAGCGCTCACAACATAAAAAAAAAAAAAAGAAGAAAAAGAGATTGTTGTCGAAATTTATAACCACAAGTCTAATGCAAAATAGTGTCGTATTCTCTCTGTAGAGAGGTCTGTCCCAAAATTATTGTCCAGTTTGAGATTTCACTTTTTTTTTCTTATTATCTTCCAGTTTAAAAAAAGTAAAATCATAAATTGGGCAATAGTTTTACGATAATTATACTAAAAGTAACGACTCAAACTGGATAACAATTTTAGGACATTGTGAGTATTATGTAAAAGATGTATATGTGGCGGAAAAACTCTATCATCTACTACTCCCTCCATTCCGAAATATAGGTCGTTGGGGGAAAACAATTTTTTTTCAAAATAGATGTCGTTTTCGCATATTTAAGTATATTTTGTCAACTTCTTCCAACATTGCCCCTACATGGAAAATTGTAATTGTATTTAAAGTAAAAGTGTATTAGAATTAAATAATATTGAGAAAAGAATTATATTGAGAATAAATGAGGATAGTTTAGTATATAAGTATTTTAACTAAATATTTATTTTCTTCTTAAATTTTGTAAAACTCGTCATACCACATATATTTTAGAATGGAGGGAGTACTTGGAAGATGATGATTCTCGAAGTTTCATAGTGGTGATTGGCAAATTGAAGTAAAGACGGGATGATCTTGAAATTGACAAATCAAATCACCCCGTGGCAGGAAAAGATAATCTTGAGCTTTAAAGAGAAAGAGATGGGTGGGATTGAAATGGCATCTTTCTTTAATTCGTGCAATATAAACCTGAAGTGATGCTTGAGGAGAGGAATGAATGATATACAGGTACATTGCACCCAATCCATGGCCTCCACGGACCATGTTTTCAGCCTGTAAAATCCCCCCACATTCATGTTGTCAGGACTCCAACTGTCCAAGGATAAAGTGTTGAATTGAATGACATTTACCAGCGGCGACAGGTCGTCCATAACCCCGGATCGAATTTTCTTTAAAAGGAAAAAAGAAACAACAATCATCTTTCTCTTTATTTTTAGGAAATGAACAGCACCAAATTGTATGTATGGCCTAGAGAACGCTAGAACTACATATGTATACATTAGATCGTCGGTAATTAATAATCTATAAATTTATAACTTCTAACAATTAATAATTTTTTCCGATTCCAGCTTGAGAATAGTACAAAAAGTGAAAAAAAAATCGATAAAACAATAAGATAATAATATTTCAGAAAATCTCCTATATCTTACTATATTAGAAACAAAAACCACACTTAAGAGAAAGTATCACCATTTGCCATGTGGCATTTCCACATCATATTTTTAAAATAAATTTTTATTTCCACATCTCTTAAATTTAAAAGGCAAATGTAATCTAAATTCACTTCCACCTCCTATTTCCGTCACAAAAAAAAAACCACGGGTTCATAAAAACCCCAAATCCTCATCCCCATCTCTATGACAATCGACTCCTTAATCAATCTCTTCTCCACAATTAAAAAAAAAACAACAAATTCCTCATCAATCATCAATTGAGAATATGTGGTGAAATATGCTCATTTCCTATTAGCATGTTCAATCTTTTCATTAGTGATGATCAACTACATCTTAATCGGATAAAATTTCAACTTCAAAAAATATTCTCTTTACCTCTTTATATAAAAACAAAAGAAAAAAAAATCTCATTGATCTTGCTTCAGCCGTTGTGGTGGTGCCATTACAGGTATTAAAATTTAAATGATTTTATTTTCACAGATCATTGGTTTGACTTTTATTATTTTTTGTTTTTCCCATTCAAGAATAGTGTTATTATTATTATTTTTATGCGTCCATCCCTTACAGCTACCGTAGCCGTTGTCAGGTAGTATGATGTGATTTCTTATTTGGTTAGTTAGCCTAGAATTTTTGTATGATTTTAGTTATGCTTGGATTGAATTGATTGATTGGATTTTTGTTACAAAGTATGGTTTTTTAAATTTGTTTTTTATGTTTCATTCAATTATAGTAGTTTTTCTTTTTTTAATTATGCAGTCTCAGGTTTTTTTTCGTATATGGCCAATTATGAAGTGTGTTTTTTCTTTGTTTAATTGCTTTTGATTTTGTTTCATACTCCCAGTTGACCAATTATTATTATTATTATTATTTTATTTGCAAATTAAGCACGTTTTTTTTGTGTTCGGGGTTTCAAGAATATACTTTTTTGGATTTGGTTTTGGACTTTTTTTAGTTCTTCGTCATATAAATAGTTCAGGTCGCTTCTTTTTACTAATTTATGGGGAATCCTTTTATGAATTTGAGGCGGAGAGGGAAGGAATGATGTTCTACGTTTATTTGTGTTTTTATACATCATTTTTACCTACAGAAAAAAAAATAAAAACTCTCAAATTTTAATGGGCTATCTTTTACTTCTTTTTTTTTTATTTGCTATGGTGAGGTGAGTTCTTTTTTGCTATATCTTGAAACCTATGCAAATTTACAATTAATTTCATTCTCATATTTGTGATCAACCAGTTTCAACAATGAACCAGTTTTAAAATCATATTTTTGATATTTTACTACCTATAAACTTTTGGAAGAAATAGTTCCAACAATTAAGCGTATACCCTTTGGAGGAAGCTAACTACAAAGCTATTATAAATTTCCAAAACTAAGTATTAATTTGGCACAATCAATGGAGAACATCAATAAATTATCGTACTAATATTTAAACTTATTAGGATGCTTTTATATTTTGTCTATCATTTACTTCAAGACATATAGTTGATCAAGTTTATTTTTATTTAAGAAGTAACACTTATAAAATATTTCTAAAATCTTCAAACATTTCTAAAACGTAACGGGTCAAATACAATTTATTTTTTTGCCAAATACAAACATCGCACTCATAAAACATTTCTAAAATTCGTCAAATATTTCTAAAATATATCGGGCCAAATACAAAATATTTTTTTTCCAGATACAAACATTTCTAAGATCTACAGATATATTGGGTCAGGGTCACGCATTGCGCGACCAAACATCACTAGTATCTATAGGTCTCAATAATATCATAAATTAATGAATACCCTAAAAGTAAAAAAATAATAACTGCTATAAATATTTATTAAAATAAGAATTATGAATACTTATTTTTTAGTCCCTATATATGATATGAACTACGTAGGGACTTTTAGTATTCAAAAGAGTTTTAATACTTGATTAATTTGGATGTGAAGACAATTCCAAATTAAGGAATTTAGTGACGGTTCTTTTTTTCTCATAGAGGTTCTATAAATTAATAATTTATTAATTTATCGATTAAATTAATAAATTTTGGTAATTCCAACACTATTAATTTATAGGAGTTTTACTGAACTTTATTCGTGTTAATCTGTATACATTGTTAACCCACAAAAGTACTGTAATCGACTAACAAGTTTGTTTAGTTGATTCGGAAACTAATCTTTTTAAAATAAAAGTTGAAACCAAAATTTTTGAATTGCGCGGAAATTAATTTAAATATGACATATCCAGTTACCGGGAGAGAAGTTTCTAGAAAAAAAAAATTCCTTAAATTATTAAAGGAAAAAAAAAATCAATGTTTGAAGCTAGTTAGGTCACCTTACAAGAGTAAATCCAAAGGCAAAAAATGTAGCAGGTCAGGTCCGTGATATGGGCTGTGGCCCTAAAAGAAATGTACGTAAATCCCCAAATGCTCATTTTAAACATGATCCAGTTATTATTGGTTGATAAATCAATACACAACAGAAGTGACCTTAAATGTTTAAACCTAAAATAGAAAGTTTTAATTAAAATATATATAAATTAGTATGATCATTTCTCGTCATTTTTTCCTATACATACCTTTAGCAGGGAAATGCTTGCGTAAAACCTCAGGACGAACCCACCCAATTGTTATAGCTTCAGCAAACACAAATCGGTTTCATATCAAGTCTTGCTGCATTCTTAAACACTCCCGCTGCTCCTTAATATGAGATATCTTAATTTGTCATAGATTTCATTTATTGTGTTTTTTCAACTGAAAATAAAAACTTAAAAATATGAACACTTATAAGGTAGCAGGTCAGGTCCAACATATGATCACTTACAATTTGGGCTATGGCTCGAAAGAAAAATTGTAAAAAGCCCATATTCATGTTAACATAATCCAGCTATTTGTTTGGTTGATAAACCGACAAAAGTACACGTCGCAAGCTACAAACATGGATGCCGTTCAACGGTTAACACAACGTCTTTCCGCCGTCCCTTTAGCCGGAAAATGCTTTCGTAAAACCTTCTCCAAAACCCCAGTACAAACCCACCCAATTATTTATAAGCGACTCGTTCTCGTACGTGGGTCGATTCATCATTCGGGGCGTGCATTATCCACTAAATCAATTCCCCCACTGATCGGAAAACACTATAGCAGCTCATCCGGAGTAGCTCGAGCTGGTTGGTTTCTCGGATTGGCCGACAAAAAGCCGGTATTGCCGGAGATTGTGAAAGCGGGTGACCCAGTTTTACATGAACCGGCCCAGGAAGTACCGCCCGAGGAAATCGGGTCGGAAAGGATCCAGAAGATTATTGATGATATGGTTCAAGTTATGAGGAATGCGCCTGGTGTTGGCCTTGCTGCTCCTCAAATTGGTATACCGTTGAAGGTCAGTAAAACTTACACTTAGTTTTTACAAATTAAACAAAGTTGGGTGTTTTGAGGAAAGCTGAAAAGGAGGCTTACTTTGTTAATGTCAGGATTGCCATTGTAATGATTGACAGATAATTGTGTTGGAGGATACTGAGGAATACATTGGTTATGCACGAAAGGATGAAGTTAAAAGACAGGACAGACGCCCTTTTGATCTCTTGGTATGTTGAGGGACGTTTGTGGTGAGTGAATCGTAACTGCAATTTAGCATTGCCTCGTGGATCATTAATGCAGCTTGTTTTGGTGCAGGTTGTTATAAATCCAGTCCTGAAAAAGAAAGGGAAAAGATCTGCTTTATTTTTCGAAGGCTGTTTAAGGTAAAATGAACCGGCTAGTTTTGCTGCTATTTACTTTGTAACATACACTCTGCACGACTGCACCTATTTTTTTGGCATTGGTGAACATCTTTAATGAAATCAAGCTTCCTATTTAATTTCAATGTGGCTTCTGGTGGAAATTCTGATAGATCTAGTGCTTCAAATTATCTGGGATGAAATTCATGTTATCTCTTAACTGTGAGAACAACACAAACATGCGATTAAATAGATTTCTTTAGGCAATTATCCCTTGTAGTAGTAGTAAAAGATGGTATCTGTTATGTGACAATGCATTGTGGACAGTCAATTTGCATTGCATCCAAACATTGAATGCAGAAATTAGGCCAGGCATCATACTTTGTGTTATTTGATTCTCTTTGATTCTTTAATTTGATAGTGATAATTTGCTTTACAATTTAGCGAATAGCTTGGATCTTGCTGGATGCAAATAAGTTAATCATTTAACGAACTTGAAATAAGGGGAAATCCATATCGTAAAGCTCTGATTACTTTCTTCAGCATGAGTGTATACAAGTTGTAGACCATCTAAACTGAAACAAATTCCTGAAGTTTATATGTGGAGTGTTAACTAGAAATTATTCAGCCGAATTGGAAATCTTGTTGTCCTTGTCCACATTTTATTGATGAAAGTTATCAGTTGGCAAGTCATCATTGTTCTAACATTCGCAATTTTGACTGTATGAGCATCCCAATCATGTTTGATAAAGTTGCTCGTTTGAAGTTACTTATCATGTCCTTTATGTCCTTTTCTTTCAGTGTCGATGGATTTAGAGCTGTTGTGGAACGGTCCCTGGAGGTAGAGGTTACTGGATTAGATAGAGCTGGCAAGCCAATCAAAGTTAATGCTGCAGGCTGGCAAGCAAGAATTTTTCAGCATGAGTGTGACCATTTAGATGGCACCCTTTATGTAGATAAGATGGTTCCTAGAACATTTAGAACTGCAGAGAACTTGGACATGCCTCTTGCAAATCAATGTCCCAAATTGGGAGTGCGCTAGCTACTGAATTGTCCCTGATGTTGGCTTCAAGTTAAAGATTTGACCATTTCTTTGAAGATGAATGAATGAGTGTGGCAGGACAACAATAGACTGTGTATCATGGCAACGGATTTGTATCATTAGATGCTTGTAACTGATTTTCCATTTTTAGCTTGAGTTGCAGAGAAAAGCAATAATATTATTAACTTTATCAGTTTTTCTTAATTTCGTTATCTTATTATGTGTACAAATCACATGAAATGTTAACGTGTGTTTGGGTTTGTTTACTGATGCAGAAGATCAGGCCGTTGTCTTTTTTCGAAAGATAATATGGCAAAGTTTCCCTTGCAATGCATGTTATCGTTGTCAAAATAGAATCCGAATTCATCACTTTATTTAGTTGATTTTCGCACATTATGGTTGTTATGGGTCAATTCCATCCTTTTTCAGGGAAAAATCTAGATGTACTGAAGATTTACTCCTTTTGCGGACTCTAGTAGGAATTAGTTACACAGGCGATGTCATAATCCTCTGTCAAAATGAAGATAATGTGTGTAAATATTGCAAGGGGGTGAAGAATGTGTAAATCTTTGTACAAGTAAACATATGAATGAATTTCGTGATATTTATTCCGACTCTGTTAGTTTAGGCATATGTGGTGCTATGCGGGGTGTGTATAAGAGTATCTGGTATCTAGTTGCAACAACTCGTAGATTGCGGTCTCCCAAGGCATTTTAAACCAAATCTGTTCCGTAGTATGGTCATCAAATGGATTGAATTGAGCTAGACTGAGTCTTTTGCAGAATGATATGGTCATCATTACTTGAGAAGCAAGGAGATGGGTACACATAACCCGAACTCGAGCCATATGCTTCCCAGCAAAATGAGGTTGTAAAATCCCCCGTGTATGAAACCAGTTGAATGTCATCCAGATGTAGCCCTTTACATGGGGAGTTATCACTGCATGCAAATGATATAGCTTCCTCTGTAGCTGAAGTTCCTTTGATCCCAATATATGATATGCCACTGATATTAACCGCCAAAGTCTGCGAAGTAGATGATTAGAGTTTCTTTAGGCAAGAATACAAACATAAAACTGCAACTTATGGAACGTGAGTAAGTTTGATGGTGCTAATCCACGCGAAAGAAAATTTTGGATAATTCAATTGTTGCTAGGTAGGACAGGCAGCATGAATGACTACAGATCATTTCACTTCCGAGTGCAACAATATTGACAAACACAATAAAACAATGATCTCAGCTTTAGGCACAAGATTGTAGATATTTCTTACCTGATTTGGGCAAGGATCAAAGGAGTCGCAGTAATATTGATCTATGATGATTGGATTTGAAACATTTTCCATTATCACATCCTCAAATGTTATCTTTCTCACATAACCACTGCCTCCCTAGCATAATCAACCAGGTGGAAATTTATTAGGATGAGATAAAGGTAATAGCTTCAGCAAACACAAATCAGTGCCATACTCGAACTGGCAAGAACTATTGAATGTTTGTATTTGGCTTTGGATTCAAATGAACTACTCCCTCTGTCCCAAAATTATTGTCCAGTTTAAGATTTCACTTTTAGTACAATTTGAACTAGAAATGAAAACTCAAACTGGACAATAATTATGGGACGGAGGGAGTATTTAGTTACATGCAAGGATGCTTAAGACAGAGAAAGCTACCTGCCAAGTTTTTATCCTCACACCATTTTCAGTGTTGGACAGAAATGCTCCATTAACTTCGACGTCATGCACCTGATCCCAAGAACTGTTTTTCCCCAAGCTTCCAATACTACCAGAGAAACATAAGTTTATCCTCTTTGTCCAGTATGATTTTAAGTGAAGATTTGAATGCATGTTACCTAATACCGTGACCAGGTCCACAGGTAATATCCTTGACACGAATTTTTGAGGAATTACTGACTATTGATATGCAATCATCGCCTGAAAATAAAAATTTCCAAATGAGAACATCGTGATGCACATTTTATGTTCATCACCAGCTAAAAGCCAGCATAATCGATGGAAAACTGCAAATTAAATAGTTTGGTCATCACTTGAACTCCAAAGATATCACAGTGGAGGTCAGAGTCTCTATCTTTGGCGACCTATACCAATCCATATACGAATAGAAATAAACCTCACTGCAACCTAACGGTTATGTGAGGATCACCTAACTACAGAAGTAAAGGTTCAAAGTTTCAAATGCAGTAAAAAAAAAAGGACCTAATGATTTTTCAAAACACGTGTTTAGAGATTGACAACCAACAAACCTGTGCTTATCACACTACTCTTAATCTCAACATTTGTAGATGCACTGATGTGAATTCCATCTGTATTTGGACTATGAGGAGGTGCAAGAATGCTGAGATGGGATATCGCAATCTGTCTACTGCTAGTAAAAGCCATGTGCATCTGTTGACTGTTAATCACCGTAAGGTACCTCACTTTAAGGTTCCTACACTTGTGAAATGTTATGGCCTGCATCATTATGTATGGTACTCGATAAGAAAGCTAATAAAAAACACTATAAGAAAGCTGTCGGAAGGATAACATGTGATGACCTTCAATAGCCTCAAATTACAGAGGGATGGGATCAAATGATTAATGAACAGAACCAGTGAAACATAAGATTCTAACCTTTGGAGCGCGTCGACATGGCTGCCATGATCAAGGAGAATTTGGAGCATGAATTAGAGAGAAAGTATGCATCAGAATTCAAAACAGGAAATGATGATTGAAGTTGTAATCATAAATGCAATTCTAAATCAAAGTACATTTGTTTGGTTAATCTTGCAAGATCGAGCCCACCATTTGTGGCCATTGCCATCAACGGTCCCTCTACCCTCAACAGTGAGATACTTGACTTGGTGAAAATATAGCCATTTATTAGGGTCCAAGCCTTTCCAAATTTCAGGATCCTTGGGTGCAACAATTGTACCATCAATCTAACAACATACCAAAAACTTTGTCAACGATTTGAGAGGCTGATTACCACCAAATATTAGATGTGATTAAGAACACAGCCAAGCATTTTCAGAAAGATTTAAAGGACATGGATGAACCTTACCCTCAAGGTCAAATTAGACTTGCAAGGCCCAGCGAAGTCAATTGGCCGAAGCAAGAATGTCTTTCTACCAGGAACAACAATTTTAGCTGGTATAGGCGAAGAACATGCTATCTTCCATACTTCTCCAAAAGCCTAAAGCCCAAAAAAGCATAATATAAGCTCATCTAAATATAAACAGCACCCCACGACTTAGATGACATGCACGAAAAAATATTACTCAATTGGATAAACATCTTTTCAGTCTCAGAAATTTCCTAAAGCAAATGATAGACAACTGACAATACCACATAACATGCCAAGAAACACAGTTGAGAAACAAATTAAACAAAAACAAAAGATTCCAAGAACCTAACTTTAACAATTCACAGGAAAGATTTATGGTCACCAAATCGTATAGCTCAATCGTTCGATACAAGTAAAGCCTCAAATAACTTATGCTGTGCTCATTACACAGTAATGGAAGAAAAGTAATGAAGCAAGTCGAAATTAAGGAATATCTTACTTTCTGTCAGCTTAATTGTTCAAAAAACCGACACAAGTGGTATAGACTAAGTTTTGGATTCATAAGAATAGCTAATCATACGCAAAAAGTAGCTTGTGCTTACAAATGAAAACTATTATTGGTACCTCTGTATCATCAACAATGCCATTTCCTTCAGCTCCAAAGTCATGAACTTGTAGAACAATGCTTGAGTCACTACTTGAATTCCAGAAAGACTCGGAGGAAATATATCGTGGCAGCTCGATCAATGAATCAAAATCATCAATCCCATATACCAAATTCCTAAAACCCAACAATATAATTAGAATGGGTAGGCGATAAATATCAAGAACAGGGCTGAAAACGAAATGCAGAGAAGAAGAAGGCAAAGGAGATCTGGGTTTGCCCATCCCCTCTCTGCTTCAGTGAGTGTTTTTAGTGTGTTGAGTGTGTGAAAGAGCGAGTTCGGTGTATATGATCTTTTGCGTCAGACAACATATTACGCGAAGTTTCTTGTGTCTGCAGAACAATTTATGGGAATTGAGGATTTGACTAGTGGACATTTTCAAAACCTCGGAATCTCGGCTAGTACAAGAAAGCTTCTTCCTTTTTCATTTTTGTTTTCTTTTTTTTTAATCCCTTTTCTCCAAATAATACCAATCATTTTCTTCTAGTGCCAACTAATTAATCATTCTCTTTTTGAATAATTGAGTAGTTTGGTAGTAGCTTTCTTACATTGAGTGATATACTCCCTCCGTCCGAAAATTATTGTCCAGTTTGAGATTTCACATTTAGTATAATTTGAACTAAAAATAAAAATTCAAAGTGAACAATAATTTTAAGACAGAGAGAGTAGCATAAATCATCCATAAGAAACTAATAACTCTCACGACATCGGCTGCAACTAATTTGCAAGCCTAATTAACATAATCAAATCACTTTGCCAGTTAAAAAAATTTACGTTATTCCCAGACGAATTTGTAGAAATTATTAATTGTAAATCTTAATAAGTGGTGAATTGAGCTCTTTTGAGAAGCTTCAAAGCAAGGCATATTCAATTGGAGTGCTGAATCGATTGATTTTGTTTTCGGTCAATCATATTGTATAAATGATAAAAATGTATGGATTAATGGGCACGTCATGAAGGTTATCCCATTTTTTCCTTTTTGAGTCATTTAAGGCTAATATGCTTAACTCAATGCAGTTTGGCTGTTGTTGGCTTCTTGGGTTGATCTTCTTAGCAAGTTAACTACAGCCCTCAAATGATTTTTGTGAACTTTGTCAAGTTTAACATAAGATTGCCTCACATTGGTTGATTGCTGGGTAAGAATGATTCCAAATTAAGTACAAAGTAGTTATCCACTTTGATTCTGGTTGATAGGAGTTGTAAGAGATTGATTAAATTATCGAAAGAAGCATTAGATTGCGTGCAGCTAAGAGATAGCAAGATAAAAAAAATAATTTGATACTTCGTTTAGGGAAAAAGAACAAAAGATTCTTCAGTAGGAACTAAATCAATTTTAACAAGCATCTGAAATTGAGAAGTGTCACCTTAAACTAGATAAAGTCGGCCGTTATGGTGTCATATCAGAAACTTGTATGTTTGTACATGAATGAATTATGATAACCTCATCTGAGCGAAAGGTATTCTGAAAATGCTGTCAGATGATGATACTTGAGCTCTGATTATCTAACTACCCCATCAATGCGGAGTTCGTGCAATTAATACTTGAATCAGCAAGGTCTGGCCAGGGTCTTTTTGCTGTTTACTTACCTGATCAATTTGTAAAAACATGTGGACAAATTTGACAAAAGTTTCAACACATTAATCATTCTCACCTAATGCAGAGATGGGATGACAAGTGTTGTGTTTTTCAGTTTCTGATGAGCTTTGGACGTTCAACCAGCAAAATCCTATACTCCTCTATATGCTTTACCAAAGAGTGTCTTTGATCAGGTTGAAGGATTCAACAGAAAATCAGCAAACTGATCCCTAAATTGCCTCAGGTGAAAATTTATGCGGCAACAGGCTGGAAGATATTGTATATCTTGTGATGGAATGATTAGAATCAACTTTCCAGCAACCCTCTATCAGGAAAAAAATCACCATAATCATTGGTGCTAAAAGTACATCCTACTTTCTTCAGAGCTAAACCACTTCACCTGGAGCTGGTTAAGGTTAGCTTCTCAGCGGGAATTTCATTCAAAGTCCATCTTCAAACTGAACCATAAAATCGAATCTTTAGGAGATCTAGAGTGGTTAAGGCCCCAAGGTTGCCTTTTTCTTTTTGCTTCAGACCATATTTCCATATACTATCACTCTAGCTAGAACAAACAAACAGTTCTTTTACGGAAAGCAAAAGATTCTAAATTCAGACAGATATGCTTTGTAAATTTGTACATTAAAGAGCGAAATAAAAAATTACTCCTCCCAAAATATTCACAAATTACATCCAGAAAAAGGCAACAAAATCATATCCCCCAACATCAAAACGGGTCCAGAAAATAAAAGGAAAAAAAAATGACAAAGAAACATACACATAAGACTGTGTTTTTAGCTTTTGACTCCAAAATTCTGACACCTCAGTGATGAACACTTTCCGACATCTGACCACCGACGAGTCGAAGACTACAAGCTACTAATAACAACCTAAACCCATAAAGGAATATACTTTATGCGCCTACCGGAATATCCAACATGGTCACCGGGATAACATCTTTCTTTAATTCCGGATAGCATTGGGATCTCCGATCACATAGTACGCTTACCGGCGTGCTTGGGAGGTCGGCGGCGAGATTTATCTTGCTGTTTCCCGAAAGCACTGCAGAACCCACATGCTGAAACCTTAGGAGACGGCGGTTCAATTGCCGGAGACACCCTGCCGGTGCGATATCCCCTTCCACCTCCGGTGGATCGGCTTCTCTCCATCGATCCGGCGGGTCTCGGTGAAGCTTTGGAAATCTCTTCTTTAACATCTTGCCCGCCTCCTGCTTGCACAATTTCATCTTGAGACTTGCTTTTAGTGGCCTCGCCGCCGGCTCCGGCGGAGTCTTCTTCCCTCTGATTCGCCGCCGCGGCGGCGGCGGCTTGATTCATCAATTCAGCTTGGATTAGCTTGTCGTCCCAAACTAGCCCAGATGAACCTTGCCGCCGGAATGAAACCGCAGATCTTTGCAAACCAGCCATCAATTCAAAATTCAATTTAACAATCCTTCGGATTTGAACAACGTTGTTTGTTGTTGTTCTTACTTTTTTCTTCCCTTCTTTTTTTTTTTTTTTTATATGGAGGCCTATAATTTCTTTGGTGACAAACACTTGAGAGCAAGCAAGTGGACTGATTTGTGCCCTTTTGAACTTACACACTGCATCTGTATGTGTTTTCCCTTTTTTATATATCGGCAGTGACGTGGGTAAGATAAGTGGTGATTAATACGGAAAAAAGAAATTCTCAAGCTGAATTTCCTTTTCCTTTTCCTTTTCTTTTTCTTTTTCTAATTGGTTTCCCAAAAAAAAATATAACAAAAACTATCAATATTTTCTTAAGGTGATTTCTTAAATATTCCATCCTTCTCAAAATAAAATTATTATGATAATTTAAACATAAAGTTCTTAATTTTTTGTGACAATTTATTTTAACGACAATTTAAGAATAAAATTGTCGGAATAACTATTGAACAATAATGTGAAATTATTGGAGACCTATTACATTAACTTTTGAAATTTTTTTGTGAGTAATTTTTTAAAAGTGAAAAAAAACCACACTTTTGGACAATCTTTATGCAACTGAAAAAGATCTTGTTTCAATTACGATTTAATTTAAAAATATGAAAAATGACATTTAGAAATTTAAATAGACAAATCTTTCCACTCACAAAATTATGGGGATAATGCTTTCACATCTCAATGGAATTTAATTGGACAAAAGTCAGATATTTCATAATGTATATAATCGGAAACTCTTGATTTAGAACGATGGAGTAAAAAGTGAATAATCAATACGAAGTATTTATTCTGTCTCAAAATAAATTAACAGAAAATTAGTTTATGCCAAATGAAATGTAATATAAACATTAGGTGACCGACCCTAAGCATATAATAATGGTTAGTTAAATTATGCTTTCAGATGACACTTAGTCAACCGTTTATTCGTTGTTCTTGTTAAAAAGAACAATAAGTTAATTTTTTAAAAAATAAATCAAGTATTTTCTTTCTCAATCATCATTAGTGATTTGGTCAACAAATTTTAGATTGACTGTAGTCACAAAATATATAGTAATACCTCAAAGATTATTTTAACAGAATTAGTTTATCGTTACTTGATAGTTTTTAAATAATATAATTGAAAAGATTATTTTGGACCCGAATCTTAGCTCATAGTTTATTAAATAAATTCGAAACTGTTATTAGTACTACTTAACTTGAGCTAGAGATTGCGTTTTCAGTTACCTGAGTTTAAAATTTTCAATGGGCAATATTTAAAGTGACTTCTATTTGTTGGTTCCCCCAAAATTCATTTGTGTACAGTAGAATAATTAGTAACATGAAGTCTTATAACTTATTTTGTTTAATTATCTTGACAATCACTAATTGTTTAGTTTAACAATTTGTCATTAACTATCCCATTTTTTCTTTCAACATTCAAAAACCACTACTCTTAATTAAAAATATAAGCAATGATATTTTTACCAAATATATAAATATATATATATATAAGCAGTGATATACACAATGACAGTGTTCAATAAAATTTTATAAGGAATTGTGTAGTTTAATTTAAATTATCCACATAATCTTGAATGGTGTAGTTTTTATTCAGTAAATAGATAGTAAAACTCTTACAAAACGTATATAGAGAGGCGGTTCATAAAACAAACCATTATTAACATGATCTCAATTTTAGAGAATCCTTAATTGTATTGAAATTCAATTGTAATTGATTTGTGTGTGTGTGTGTGTGTTCCGTGTTAAGTTGCAATCATCTATAATTAGGAAACCAATTCAACAAATTTGGTCGGAGTGTCGGACCATGAGACAGCGCCTCTATTTCTCTATTTAATGGACATTGCCTCTCTTCAGCTTGCTTTGTTTGGATCCACACATATTGGCAAAATCTAATATACACATGTTGCATCCTTCAAAATAATAATGCACCAGATCAATTGTAAAATGGATACTTGAAATTTTTTTAGATGTTTTTCCAGTATATTGATAACTCTATCGAAAAATTAGAAAAACATTTTATTGGTGACTTAGATTTACTCTTATTTGATATTGTATAACAATTTTATAGAAGATTTGTTAAATGAATGAACGAAAGAAAATAGCCTCATGTTCCCTTGTCCCACATAGAAGGAAGGAAACACTTAAACTCAACATATATACCCTATGTACTACTCCCCTCATCACCAATTGGTTTTGGGGTGGAACCACATGTGGGCCTATATTTGGGCTTTCAAGTTGTGTCACGCCCTTGGACTAGATAGTAAAAAATAGAAACTATAAGGGCTGATTTGGAATTTTAAAATTATGCTTGGTTATAAATAGTGACGAGGAACTGTAATGAGATTATCGAAAATATTATGTTGAATTGGATTTTTCCAATTTTCATCTCTTCTTCTCTGTTCTTTCCAATTCCCAACCCTAATCTTCGCCGCCCCGTCAATTTTCTCCTTTGCTGTTTTCCGGCCACCTCCCTGAGGCCTCCGAGTCGTGACATTTGGTATTAGAACGGACGATTCTCGGCCGTCTCTATATCGAATTCACTCCGTTCACTCTATTCTTCCTCTTCTTTTCTTAATGCTCTGAAATCTGAAATCCCTTTCTTCCTTCCTCCATTCTGAAATCTGTGCGATTTCTCCGTTCTTTGATCGCACCAACCTTTGTTTTTCCATTTGATCCTAAAAGCCATGAGGTTCGATCTTTCTGAGGTTCGCGCGTCCTTGTTGCTTCCAGTATCTGAAATCATCCCACCTGACCCGACGACCTTCAATCTGCCGGAGCCTTCACAATCCAGGGTCCCCTTATTTTCTGGTAAGAAAGTTACTGAGTGGTTGGATTTGATAGAGGAATTCTACTTCTATAATCTCACACCTTCTCATTAGAAAGTAGTTACGGCCACTTTCTATTTAACCGGTGAATCCTTGAGGTTTCTTTTGCGGTTTGATATCAGTTGGCCAATTATCGAATTGGGAAGAATTCGCCAAAAAAAATTAGAGCTCCGATTTGGCAAGTACATTGGGCCAACTCTACGAGTTAATATTTGGGAAGCAGCGCCTGTGAATTTTTCAGTTACAGAGTTACAAGAATTGGAGGGCGATGTAGTGGTAGAATTTGAAGAGAAGTCATCTAACGAGACATCTGAGAAATATGAGATTTCTGAAAGCAAAGCGAAGATTGATTCACTGCAAATCGAAGCCTCTACTTTTCGGACTGTAAATTCAAAGTCTGACAGGGAAGGTAATTTCTCTAATCCACAGGATGGTTCAGAAATAGTGATTGAAAATTTTGATGAAAATGGTAATCCCTCTCGAAATGATGAAAATGAGCGAAGTGTTGATGATGATTCTGCTGATGAAATGTGTTGGATTGATGATGTTTATGTTAAATTGGAGCCTAACTGTGATTATGGGATTGTGGGTAATGTACTGCCAAATGATGATCTGAGTGCTTCGATTGACTCTGTATTTGTTCCCGAGAGCTTGGATGGAACTGATAGAGTCACTGTGGATTCTAGTGATGGTGCTAAATTGATAACCTATTTTAGAGGGGGAGGGGGGCTATGTTTCTTGAAAATTCTATTGCCTGCCCTGTTATCGTTAAAGTAGGTTGTGATCCTAGTAAAAATGAGAGTTTGAATGTCCGTGTTATGTCTGTCAATGATACTTGTGAAAGAATGAACCATAATTCTTTGAAAATGGACGGAATATCTATTATTAAGAAGTCGTTTGGTATTGACAAATGCTGGAATCATATTGATAGTTCTGTGGTTGATAAAGAGTCATTTCTCATTTATCCGGGAGGCATTAAGTGTCTTGTTTATGCTGATTGTGTTAAAGTTGAGCAGAAGTATGACTGTATTACGACGGTTGATAATTGGTTGTTAAGTGGCATGTTTAACTCCTTTGAAAGTAATTCGGGATTGTTATATTTCTGAAAGAAATCATCCAAGTACTTTTGTTCTTGAACCCGGTGATCTAGATGAATCTAATTCCAGTCATAATTCTGATGCTATTTTGGCTGGAAATAAGGAGTTCACTTCCACTCGAATGTATGACTCTGCTGTTGTTAAGTATTTGTTTCTCGTAACCGTTTTCAAGGGTGGCACTACGCTTGTAGCCAATTTTATGACCGCAGGGGACATTGTTCACTTGAGCTCTGTGTTTGAAGTGATTGAAATTAAGCTGTCACCAAATGGTAAGCTGGTTGTGTTATGGTTAGGATTGAGATTAATAGTAATCATCTTGCTGGTCTTGTTGGCTTTCTTGTTGTATTTAATAGTGTTAAATGCAACCCAAACATGAATTTTATCATTAACAAAGGACTTTGCATAATGTTGTTTGTTGTTAATCCTGGGGGTATGACTGTACATTTAGTTCCTAGAGCACCTGCTTATGAAATGAATTATTGGGAAGAGTTGGTCTTCAAGGACTGTCTGAGAACAAAAAAGCTGTGGAATAGCTTGATAAAGTGGGGAATATCGTGGTTCTTTGTATTCCAGCATTGTGGTATAAGTTTCTGAAACCTAAACTGATTGGAAATGGTTCATTCTGTGTTATTTATGTCAAACAAAGATACTGTTCATTTCCTGCAAGATTTGGTTGGAAAATTCCATGGCTTCAGTTTGAAATTGTGTTAAATTCGCATGATCTGTTAGAGCTTGTCAGTGGAACTAAGAGTATGTTACTTGAAACATTCGGAATTTTTTATTGATAATGAGCTGACGAATTGTATTGATGATGCCAATGTCTCTTTGGAGTCTTTTGTTCACAATTCTAAAAAGTTGAATGGTGTTGATGATTTTTGAGTTTTTGATGAACTGTGGTATGCTGATGATGATAATGAGCATCTTGATCTGTCTCTTGCTGCAAAGAATGATGTTGGTGTTAGTTATGTGCCTGATATGATATCTTGGTATCAGGATTCAGAGTGCTGGGTCTTCAATGAAAATTTTTATGATTTTACTGAGCTTGCGAGTTATTATGTAAATTTAAGTCTTCTTGCTGTTTAGGGTAACATGGGAAGATTTTTGCTTCGAGAAGCAACTAGTTTCAAAGGTGAAATCGAACTTCTGAAAATGAAAGATTGGGTTAAGAGGACTACTTATTTCGAAAAGTTAATCACCGTGAAAGAAATTAGTATTGAAACTATTATATTAACTGTTGAAGTATAATTTCTTTGGTTGATTGCATGGCACATTCCAGAAGGAGTATTTTGGTTGCAGAAAGAAGCGAACAATCAGAATCATTTCAGGAATGTTGTTCCTAAAGATATAAGGTGGATAATCCTGAGAGTATTATTATTCCAATTTCATATTTTATTTCAGGGCAGCACTAGTGTCTATGTTAAAGCAACCTATCCCTTTCAGATCACTGAGAGAGGATGCAATGACTGTTCTGGAAGGAAAATTCCACCTCCTTGCTGAAAGAGCGGCTGTCGAGGGATGTGATGTTGGAGATCAAACATTCAAAATATGTGGAAACATTCTTGTTACTGTTTGGGATCCAGGAATCATTATTGAAATGGAGTATGTTGGAAAGCCATGTAAGGGCGCGAACCAGGAACACGAACTCAGGATTCTAGCTGCTAAACTTTCTTTTATACCCTGGGAACTGATCATAGAATGGAGGCACACTCTTCTTGTTTGAATTTGGGGAACAAATCAGCAGATGTTTGCTTAGAATTCCCTGTTTGCAAACTTTTATGTTTCTTAATTATTTAGAAGTCTTGGGACAAGACTTGTTTTACGGGGAGGGTTTGTCACGCCCTTGGACTAGATAGTAGAAAATAGAAACTATAAGGGCTGATTTGTAATTTTAAATTATGCTAGGCTATAAATAGTAACCAGGGATTGTAATGAGATTATCGAAAATATTGTGGTGAATTGGATTTTTTCCAATTTTCATCTCTTCTTCTTCGTTCTCCCCAATTTCCAAACCTTATCTTCGCCGCCCCGTCAATTTTCTCCTTTGTTGTTTTCCGACCGCCTCCCTGAGGCCCCTAAGTCATGACATTGGTATTAGAGCGGGTTTTAATCCGTGGACTTGTGGGACTTGTGGGGCGAGTGGACTGACCCAGATTGGATCTTGAAACTTTGACCAACCCACGAAAGAAATTCGGGGTTACTTTGAACTTTGACTGACCCGGCATGCGACGGTTTATCCGGAAAAATAACCGATTGCAAGACTGAAAAAAAAACAAAAAATATATATAAAATTACCTGTCCAAGCCCATTGGGCTTGAGAGGGGCGTGTTAAATGAATGAAAGAAAGAAAATGGCCTCATGTTCCCTTGTCTCAGATAGATGGAAGGAAACACTTGAACGCAATATATATACCCTATATGCTACTCCCCTCATCACCAATTGGTTGAGGTAGAACCACATGTGGCCTATATTTAAGCTTTCAAGTATGTTAAAATCCCCCTTTGAACTTGAAAACAAGTGAAAGACACTTATCCCACATTAAAGTTGGGAAGCCATCTTGATCACCATATATACCCCATGTGCTACTCCCATCATTGCCAATTGGTTTTGAGGTGGAATCACATGTGGGCTTGTATGGGCCTTCAAGATGGTATCAAAGCGGGTTTTAATCCACGGACATTGTGTGTGAACTTTGACCGATCCGACGATTTCTCCGATTTGACTGGCCCATATTGGGCCTTTGACTGTTCAAAGGGGCCTTGTCCAACCCATTTAGGCTTGAAGAGGGGGTGTTAACATCTTCCTTTGAACTTGAAAACAAGTGAAAGACACTTGTCCCATATTGGAGTTGGGAAGCCAACTTGATAACCATATGTATCCCATGTGCTACTCTCCTCATTGCCAATTGGTTTTGAGGTAAAACTACATGTAAGTTTATATGGGTTTTCAAGAAGATTCGCTCTATACATTTTCCGATTTCTATCTTATACTATTGTTTTATTTAACAGTTTCAACTAAAAGAAAAAAGAAAAGAAGCAAAGACTAATATAAAAGGATTCAAATAGATGGAATCTTACTTTTTATATCTTTATAGATTTGATGAATTCCATCTTTTAAGATTAAAACCAAATCGGTAGTTGCATCTTTCATGATCCCATAATTATTGGAGCATTGAAAATCGAAGTCGGTGTATGATCCAAAAAAGCATTGTGGGGGACATAGTTTGAGGAATTCACATACCTCAATGTCAAGTTGTCAACCCATGTCATTATCCCCATCATTAAAAAAAGCCTAACAAAACTGAAATGATTGGGAAAAAAAAAATAATTCGATAAAGATGGTTTGTTTTTAAAAAATTTTCAGGACGAAGATGCAAATTCTTGCCCGCTGATTGTGACTTCTTGGTTATTGTTTATCACACATTTTTTTTTAGGACAAATAAACAAATTGGGTGCAATAGATTAGTTAATCACTAACCTCAGATTCCAAATCTGACAACGGAAAAATTCGGCCAGCAATATAAACTAGTACTATCATAAACAACAACAATTTATCGCTGGTTACATACATTGTGTTATGTGTACATTGGAATTCCGTGATTCCCTCCGAATGACGGCAAGCAATTTGATTTTTACACTTTATTTATGTAATTAATTAAATTCACTTAGTTTTAAAATGATATATTTGTACTTTTAAACACCGTGTTAATTTCCTCTTGTGCCCCCACTGGTTGGTGGAATTCAACTTTTCTCTTGTTAAAGAATGATGATAATGATATGAATGATAGAAAATCCTGTGAAATGAATAAAATCACACATCCCATCATCTTAAATTCTTAATAAATAGTACACGTTTTGTGCCCCTGTCTTTATCATTTTTCGCCATGACACACATTCAATCGACTGATCCTATTGTCAGTTGGACTTCGTTATTATGTGGGGGGATTGATTTATAGATAAAACTAGTAAGGTTGATTTCATCAAATCAAATGGCCCAAACGCTGAAGTACGTACGTGTATAGAAAATACATAAACAAGTGTTTGCCATCAGTGTAGTCAGTAATGTGTCACAAGCGATCAAGAGTGTAACATATGGGAAAAATTTTGTAAGAATATTTGAATCTTAATTAGTATCTATTAATTTAAACTCAAATAGATAACACTTTTTGTTTGAGAAGTAACTAGTATCTCTTTACACTCTAATGGATCACCTCTATTTCTTAGAAGAAATATTTCATCAGGTTTGCTGGGAATTAAACAGCTTTGATTGCTATATATAAATATTTGAAATGGGTAACCCTTAACGTGTTCAAAAGGATAACCCTTAAGGTTTTCCAATTATTATTATTATTTGATATTCTGAGTCGAGAGAGGTATACAGTATACTTATTATAATTAGCATTTAGAATGTCATTTTACATAATTAGAGTAATTATTAAAGTGAAATAATAATTATTACAAAATGTGGTTTATTTTGTTTTTATTAGTTCAAAATGTGAGTTATGCGAGTTAAATATTGCATAAGTGAATGTTAATATTGTGATCCTAAATCATATGGAGCAATTAGACAGCATGGACGACATATTCATTCATCATGTGGAAAACTCGATTGTAATTGGTTCCAATAACGTAAGATTGTGAGCGAAACATTTGCTGAAAGAGCCCACTGGTAATTAATCGGAGAAGTGATTAGAAACAATATTCTAATTCTTCTAAATGAAAAGTAATTTCGGGGGGGGGGGTGTAAATTAAAAAATAAAAATTGAGTTATGCGAGTTAAATATTGAGTTATGCGATTAATTACCAGTGGGCTCTTTCATTTGTGTACCTTAAAATTTCAAGGCTAAATCATTTGGGAAAATTAAAACAACATCACCTTCAACCATATAAAGCTGCGAGACAAGGGAAACCCGGCCTCTGGAGCCTTCCTCCCCCTTTCATATTTTCGCCATCATTGTGAGTGGAGTGGTGATAAGACTTCGGAGATACCGTGAACCAAATATTATCAGCTATGCTACAGCGGAAATGAAAATTCGTGGTTTTTATTTTGGCCGCAACTTAGCTGGCATTATCAAATTCAGGAACCAAATTTCGTCATCGAATTCTGATAAGCCAACTAGCTCATTTGATATACTCATGTACACGCCTATGAATACAAAAAAAAAAAAAAAGGAAAATGATGAGTTTTAGCGTATCAAACGAAAATCACCACAGGAATCCTAATGCTAAAAGAAGGAACTTGGAAGCAGTTGTCTGCAAGTGAAGGGAGGAGGATATCGGTGTTTTATAGCTGAATTCCAAAGGGTGTTATGGAAAGATTCAATTTTGACGGGCTGATTTTGGTTGAAAAGTTGCAAAAAAGTAGGGATTTTAGCGTGGAATGGTTTAATCTACGGTGTAAATTGATTTCTTACCTTGTTCCAAGGAGGGAATATATTTTTAACCTAATCCTCTGTTATCTTTTTTAATTAGTCCGGACCCGGTAATGATCTCTTCGTAACAAAAATTTAGCCAAATGAGCTGCGGTAAAGTGTCAGGCCGTCAAATTTTTTTAACTAACCACATCACAAAACTAATATCTTATCAACAACAGCTGTTTTGAATTTGAAACAAAATCAACACATGTTACCCACTACCTATGAAATTAAAATTTCTTTATTTAAAAAAAAAATTAAAAAAGCAACAACAACAACAACAACAACCGTATGTACTGATGAAGGAAGAAATGATAAGTTTCATTTCTAGTTTTGATTTCAGAAAATAGTATAAAAAAGGAGATTAAGATGAAGTAGTAATAATTTTGGCGAAAAAGTAATACAGTATATATTTTCATTTTTAATTAAGAATGCGTTTAATGATGACTTTGATGGTTTTTTTAAAACTTATGTTTGCGAAGAATCATATCTTTATAGTTTCTGGAAATTAGTAGTGTATCTTTTTTTTTTTTTAGGAAACAGGAAATAAAAGTCTAGATTCTTACATTTCGAGGATATATCACTCTTAATCCATCATGTTACAATCATGGTTAGGCACCCGACGGTGCCTCAAATCTTTGCAAAGAATCTTTCAATTAGTAGTATATCTTTCAATAAATCTTTGCGAAGAATCTTTCAATTAGTAGTATATCTTTCAATAAACTTGATTTATACGAGAGATATCTGGAATTAGTTGATGAGGTATATTATCATAATTTCTTTTGACCATATTATATTATCTTTCCGTCATCATGCCATTGTTCCGCCGTTTAAGAATTTTTAGTTTGAGTTTATCCTAAACTAAACCCTATCACATTATTAACCTGTCTGATTGGCTGATTGCTTCAACCCAAACAACATTTTGTCAGATTCTTTTGATCTGGGGCTGGTTGCGGAGCTATTTATTTTATTTTATTATATTTTTTTTCAGGAGGGAATTTATATCTTATATAAAATAGTAAACTTGTTTTAAAGTTGTGTTACATGCTTATACAAAGAGATTAGATTTTATTTTAATTAATTATAACCCCACGCTTTAATATTTCTCTTCTTATTTTCTTCCATATCATATCATTTAGTATGCCTTTGAACCAAAAATGATTTTAACCAAAACTTTCCTCCCTACATATATGAACATTTGAAATAAATATCATGAATTACATATGTAACCTTCATGAATTTTTAAATTACATTTTTATTCAATCCTTTGATCAATTGCATGAACATTGTTTATTGTGATCATGTATTTTAATTTAACTCGTAGTAATGTGAATATATATTAACATATAAAGGATTTATCATGGATGTGTATGTTATTAATTATGAACATTGTTTATTGCTTTGTATTTATGGGATAACAATTAATTTTATATTTGAATATTTTCATATACTTTCATGAACTTTGGTAGAATATATTATGGGTTTTAATATACTATTTAATACAAATTGTGTGTATATCTTGATAACTAATTTAAATTTGTTCAGGATTAAATCTTATGATGGTGAGATGATGAACGCTATAATCGAGGAGAAGAATTGTACGATATAATTACGGGGGTGTTAACAAAGCTATGGTTAATTTTGTCCTAAATGATGATAACTAATTTTTATCGTTTCAAAATGATTCTTTTGATCATTTGTACGAAAAAACATAACAAATAACTTATTTGAAGATACCTGATAAGAGTAAGATCTAATAGAATTATGTCAAAAATCAAAATGTGGGTCTGGGCTCCTCTACTGGATATCGCAATAATAGCAGGCCAAGTGCAGAGAGAAATTGTAGCTTGGATGCTTAAAGCCCAAACCAAACTTAAGCCTCTTCTCCTATACACATTATTTATTCATATACTATTATTTATTTATTTTGAGTCATTTCATCAAGAAAAAAGGTTCTCATTGCCTAGGAACGTCTACAAGATTGCATCAAATCGGTAAATTTGCAAGTGGATTTGTGGTATTTCCGCTCCAGTAATGCAGCAAAACAACAACAGGAAAGTGCTGCTGCTACAATTGACTGATTGAGCACCAGATTTGGTGCTATATTGTAGAAGCAGCAAAGCAAATGGCTTGTTCCGCCAAATTCTTTTCTTTTACTATTCTTGGCTGTTTTTTCTTCCCTTTGTTTTTGGGTTTCTGCCTTCCTGGTACAATCTTGCTGCATAAAGTAGAGTTTAGGTTGGAGATGAACAACATCAAAAGTAGCAATTTTGATGCTTTTGTGTGTAACAAAATAAAGTAACACTGTGTAGTTGCTCTAATCACGCCTTTATAATATTTTTGGTAAGGGTAAAATATGCTTTTGAGAGGATTAAAACTCAATAATAATAAACAAACTAATTTTGCTAAAGGAAAAGAAAAGCCATGCCTGAATTCAATGCTTTTCTCTCCCATAATCAAGGACTTCGAGCATGTAAATATGTACTAGTAATATATCAAGAAATTGATCATATGATGCATCTATGTAACAGCATTTAATGTACGGCTTCAAACTCGAAGCCTTCCTGGCGGACACAATCTCAACTCTATTAATCTCGTGAATTATTATTTCAAAAAAATGAACAAACAATAATGGATAAAAATCAAATTTGCAAAACATACTTTCCGTGTTGATTTTGGGAAAGGGTCCAAAGTCCTGTCCTACCTTGGAAAATCACCCAATGGCCAAATTGTCATTATGGCAATATGGCTTGTTATGTTGAAAATTCCACCTTCTTACATTGATGTAGAATTCCCCCGATCAAATCATCCCAAATTGCATAATCGGTTCAATGATGAACTGAAAAGACCCGAACGAGAAAGATTTGGATACAGAAGTAAGCCTTTGATCTGCAAATTCTGCAACTGATGGCCTCTGATTGTGAAACAGCCTCCATCAATCCAAAACCAATCCCATCTTCCTCCGCCATTATCAACTTCCCTCCAACCCAACATTCCAGATCCAAGATCCTTATACAAACACACCATCCCATCATTCCCAACGCATCTGGTATTATCCCAACACCCTTTCCCGCCCAAAAACTTCATCCCCAATTCAAACGGCACTTTCTCCACCACTCCCCAAACTTCCCCTTCTCCGAGCTCCCAAACATACGCGTCCCCTCCGCACTTGCCGCCCAGAACCGTCAGCTTCCCGTTCCTCCGCACCAGCGCGGCGAATTCGAGCCTGTCCGCAAGCGGGACGCTCAATTCCTTCCATTTTCCGGTGGCAATCTCGAATCCCATCACGCTGTATGCTCTGGCGGATGTCATCCAGTACAGGGTTCCGTTACAAAACACGCTTTCGTTCGGCGTCCAAACCGTTAGCCTCACCGCGTATTCTATCGGAACTGATCCGATGATTGCCCACGAATCGGTTCTTGAATCGTACATTTCTATGGTGGGCTCGTAGGTTGCGCCGCCGCTTGGGGCGTCGGACATCCCGCCGACCACATATACTCTGTACTGAAACTGGCTTCCCGGAATTGAAATTGATGGTAATTCGTCTATGGTGCCCACAGCCGGGTTAGTTCTCGCCACGTTGAGCGTCGGGAGGTGCCGGATTTGCCGGGTGAAAGGATTACATACGGCTAATTGAAGGGCTGTGGTGCTAATTGGTCGGAACAGGATAAGGCCGCCGATGGGAGAAACCGGCCGGATATGGGTCGGAATGAAGTCGAGAGATAAAATGTAACAGCGGCTGTTAACTGGGTTCTGGGCGTAGCAAATTGATACCCGGTTCCGATTCGGCACGGCCATGAACCACGCCGGATTTCTTCTACCCCACCACTGACCAGACTCCGGCAACTGCAAGTAGTCGGGACATTCGTGCCAATTCCGGCAAGTTGATTTAGCGCAAGCTAACGAGTCAGGAGGTAAGAAGGAGAATATGTGGGCTAAAAGATCACAGGGGAGATTGTTCCACATTTTTATTTCCAGCAACTGGAAATTGGTTCGAATTCCTCCTAAAGTTCTTCGAAGCTTTTATCTAGTAGTATAAAGTACTACACACAACTGCAAGTGGGAGGAGAATAATCATTGTTGCCTGGTGGGCTAGAACAATAATTGAAAGTGTTCATGGAAAAATGTTTATTTTGAAAGTTCCATCTTTTTGTGCTCTGCAGATTCGGAGTTTTGCATTGGGATGTGTGACCACAAGAGCAAGAAATCTAACTCACATGGGATCCAGCGTCTGCTTCAATTTAATAGTATTTGATCAAAATCGTACTTTAACTGAGCATTTTACTGTTAGGTTTGCTGTTTGGAAATTTTGTTGCCCGCAATTAGACCTTCGAGTTGGCTCCAGGAGGCTGGCAAAGGGCATCAAAAACCTATACTATAGATGAAGTAAAATTGAAAATTTTCTGACTATTCTGTATACATTTCGGAGTAAGCTCTTCCTCGGCAGGGTAAATTATGAGGAGGGCTTACTCATCACTAGACAAATGTAACCATTTGGCCGGTATATTACGTGTGATCCAGTAGACTTAAGGTGGAAGTGCAACCGTGCAAGTATTATGTTGTACATTATGTAGATTGAAGTTGATGTATGTGAGCTGACCCGTCCGCTAAAAAGTACTCTACCCGTTTAAGAAAGATAATCTTTTTTATTATACTTTGCGTACTAAATAAAATTTCACTTAAAAATCGAGAAATACAAAAAGAGAAATTCCAAAAGTGTGAAGAGCTGTTTAAATCTTTTTCACGCTTACGAGCTAACATAACTCTTTTATTTTGGAATTGATAATTTTGATATTTATTGTTAGATGGAGTACAAAATAAATTAGCAAAACATTAACCAATGGTGAAACTACTTGTGATTCATGGTGCAAAAGCGATGATGATAATTTGATGAATTTATAGAGGATTGATTTGTGGTATTCAAGAATTAGTATTTAGAAGTGGGGTTTGAGAGGTGAATTCGAGACATATTAGTCGAATTTTACATTGGATTATTCGGTTTTATTTGAAACTCCAGCCAGAGGTAAGTTATTTTTACAGTCGCATAATTCCCATTTGTTACATAATCTCCATTTGTGACAATGGCTAGCAGTGTTGTTAAGCTCAGACTGGAGCTCGACTCGGCATGGCTAGGGGATCAAGCGACTCGGGGCGAATCGAGGGATCGACTCGGATGACGTAATAACGACGCAATAAATATTAATTAATTAATAATTATATTTTAATTAAAATTTTTAAAAAAAATTGTTCATTATTAAAGTCAAATTAATATTTTATATCTTGGAAATGGGTTTTGATGGGACAAAGTTCAACTCGAAAGGTCGATTAAGATGATTTTTTTAATTATTAATAAAAAAATATTAGTTATTATATGTTTACAATTAAAACCTTAAAATTTATATATCTTTTTTATTGTAACAATTAATATTGATATTTTTTGTATTAGTTAATTATAGTTATTTGTGAAGTAAGTATATTAATAAGGTTATTAAGATAAATTAATTATTACTAAACATCAATTGTTACTTAAAAAATTATTGAATTTGCAAAATAATTAACTTTAAACATCAAGACAAATGTATTTTGAAATTAATTTCGACATATTAAAGTTATAGTTTAACTTTTGCTTAAGATGATAAAAGTTGGTTTGTGCGAGAAAGTAAAGAAAAAAAAAAAAGCAAAATAAGGCCTTTAATAGTAAAAATTAAAAATTGGGGACTAAAAAACCAAAATAATTTTTTGAATAAAACAAACATTGAAAGTTGTGGGCCATTTGTGAAGAAAAGGAAAAAAGTTGGGCTTGGAAGATGTTGTAATCCATGAGAAATTGTGAAAAATTTTGATCAAAAGTCAAAAAACTTAAAAACCCGAATCAACCCGGTTCGATCCGATTCCTAATTTAGACCGGGATTTTGATCGATTTTGACCGAATCTGAATTTGACAATTTTTAAACTAACTCGGCTCGGTCAGGAGTCTAGTTCCTAGTTTAATTGGTTCGGCCGGCCGGTCCGAGCCGAGTACAACACTGTTGGTTAGTTTATTTCAACAATTGTACGATCTCTAACAAGTGTCAAACTTTAGAACAGGACATAGTCAATATTCATCATCTATGTAGTGTTTTTAATCTCAGGTACTTACACTTTTGATCACATATTGGATACAGATAGTCCAAATATGCAATACTTACTGTCACTATCTTATCAAGAACTGAAAATTTAAGTCCAACAAGTTTTGCTATGATTAGTGTCTCTCCCGTCTTTGTTATATCTTTCAGTGAATTAGTAAATAGGTAAAAAAGGAGTGGTGTTTTAAGTTATAAAAAAAAAAGTTACTAAAAAAAACCACATCTTAAGCGAAAAAAAAAAAGGAACGAAATACACGGAACGCAGAAGCCCACGTACTCTTTTTAGTAGTTTCCTTTTATGTACTTTATTATTCATTTAAAGCTTTAACCTCAGACAGAAGTATAGAACAAATTTAGTTACAAAAATTACACCACCACACGAGGCAAGATTATTATTCTTCACTGTCTGTAAATTGTTATACGACAACGTTGCTGGTGTCGCTTGCTGTGAGGCGCCAAAGGAAGGGTCCTTTTCGAGAAAAGAGAGGCAATTTGCCAATTGGATGATGGCTTCGGCGTCGAAGAAACGGGCCAGGACTATTTCTCGTGTCGCTTCTCAGATTTATTTCCTCTTTATTCTTTTCCAGATTCCCCTTTTCAGGTTTTTTCCCCATTATTAATTTCAACTTTTTTTTTTAATTAATAATCTCTTTTGTTTTGGCAATGATGAATTCATTCAGTCGTAACTGTTGGGGATCCCTATCATTATTAAGTCATTTACATTTGCATGAAAAGGAGGAATCTTTTTAGTCTGAATTTTCTGTTTTTTATGTTTTTTTTTTCCCCGTTTATGGGCCATTCAAGTTTGAATTTGATGATGACTGTGTGTTTGTCAGTTTGTCACGTTAGTCTCATTGAAGATGAATTGTGGTTGTTGTGAAGGAGGCTGTAAATTATGATTTTTTTTACCGCTGAAAACAATAGTTTTTGGTTCTGATTTCAGGTTCCCATGTAGAATTGGTACGTGTTCAAGTCCTGTGGAAGTAACATCTTCTCAGTTAATTGCAAGTGAAGTTCTTCCACCAATGGTAGTCAAAGCCCTTCTATACCCAGGAGCCATAACAAAAGCCATTATCAACCACAAACCCATCCCAAGTTATAATAAGCTTTTGAAAGGCGGGAAATTTTCCAATTTGCGAAAAGGGTCTTCAAACATTGATCTCAAACACTTTGAGGTTTGTTAATCTCATAACAATTCATGACCCTTTTTTTTATTTTTTATTTTTTTATCGTGTTTCGAATCAAAATGCAATCTTTTTCGTGTCGATTGCATCTGCCTGTGTGTCCTCTCAAAACAACGTTGCTTATAGTTTCAGCCGAACTAATTTATGGACACTCTTCCATTCCTGTGAGTTCAGGTTCTTGCAGGATGCTACTTCTCTATAGCTGGAGCAGTTCTAGGTCTAATGAGGCCAGGAAGAATGAGCCTGTTTGGGTTGCTGCTGATTCTTTGCGGTGTTGGTAGGGAAGCCTTATTTGGATCCAAACAAGTTGGAATATACTCTGCAATGTACATTGCTCTACTTTTGGCTTTCTTTGGCATTAGAAGGGATGTAAGGAAGTTAATCCGTAGTTGCAATATTTTTGCCTCAAAGAAGTACAATTGACCTGACAACTTTTGTCATGTAACTTTTATTAGATTTTCCCTCCTTGTGAAGAGTAGTAAGAGAAGTTAGATTCCACTCATAACAGAAGGATGAATTCATTTGTTTTCAGGATGTTTTAGATGGTGATGGGAGAATACTAAAAGAGATACATCATCGTACAGTTCAGCCTAATCTTGAAATGACTTGAATAATTCTGCTATAGATTGGCAGTTTCTGAACCAAAAAGACTTTTAGCTGACTCTTATATCATTTCATTGCAGACTGTGGTGATCACTGCAATTATAGTACTAAGAGGATGTGACTTCAGACATTAGACACTAGAGATGACCAAAGAAAGGTTGACACATAAGAACCCATTTGCTTGATTTTTTCTCTTCAACTTCATACTGCAGTATTCTTCAATAATTAAGGCTAAATGTTTTCGTTTAAGATCAGAAAATATCAAGTGCAGGTGTCTTGCTGCCTTCAAAGTTGAAATATAATCAAAGAAATAGAACATTCACACAAGATCAATTTGGATCCGTAGCAGTAATATCCCACAAGCCGGATAGTAAATGCCAGAGGTGAATATTAAATGCACAGTATTTCTGTTGAATAATTCTGGCAAAATGAGTGCAACCCATTTGAATTACGGCAGAAACTTACAGGGGAGCAGTAATTCTAATTAATCATTCAAATTCAAGAAAAAATCATATCCCCAACCCTCCTCCACCAATTAGGCCAGTCAGTCCCCACCAGCTGCAGCTTGCATCCCTTCCCTAACATGGAAAAGATGAAAGATCTTCAGAAGATAACAAAGGATATTGTCTTGTAGTTATTGTTCACCTCCAAAAACTTTTTCCTTTTCTTGGACTTACATAAGGAAATGTGACAGATTCCATATTTGACATGTAATCTGATCTGTCTGTGATTGGTTGGTGCGTTAAAAGAAAAATAACGTCTTTCACTCAGAAAACTTGCAAGCCCACTTGCAATTCTAGAGTTTTTCTAACTAGTTTTCACTGTCAGCCGGGGGGAAAAAAAAAAAAGTGAGAAAGATTGATGCACTTTTTGTGGGGTTTTTGTCTTGGGAGATATTTGAGGGAGATTCAATTTAGTGGTTTGTCCTGAAGTGTTGGTTGAGCTGTTTGAGTCCCATTGGAGGAAGATTGCTCTTCTTAGAGTAAGTTTTCCTCTTTGCGGACCTAAATTCATTCAGAAAAACTGACATAAACTGAAGCTTCAGTAACAGAAGATAGGAAATAGACTAATTGAGGTGGGTTGATGTTTGGAAGAACCCCATGTCCTAATCTTTTTATCAACAGAGTTGAGATCCCAAGTTTGGGTGGAAATCTCTACTCAATTATGGCTTTAAATTGAAATTCTCAGATCAGTAGGCAAAAAAGCAGGAGTCTGCTGCAAGGATGCAAGGGATTGTTTGATGTTTGGATAGCCTCCAGATCGAACTGATCCAGGGTTTATCTGCTGGAAGCTCCAATTCTAGTGGGGTTTTTTTTTTTTTTTTTATTGATTTGGTATTGATGAGTGTTTTTAGCTCTTTTCAGTCCTTAAATTATCCAATTCATGCTAGGGGTTGTGTTAGCAGGCAAAGAAGCCTGAAATCTGTTAGGAGTGGTTCTGTTCTTGCTTTGCGTTCATCCTCAATAATCCCCAAAACTGAAGAAAGTGGTAATCCAATTGATCTCAGAAAGAGTACTCACTCGAATGATTTTCCAGTCAATGGTAATTCTGGAGGTTCATTGCTCACTCAGGGCAACTCGGTTGGAGTAATTGGTGGTGTTTCCATTGTATCCACCATGAATTTTGTCAACAAATTAGTGAAATGGAGTTCAAAAGAAGATGAGGAAAACTGCAGCATTCCTTTTGTACTTTGCTCTGATCCAATGCTAAGCAAGGAGCTTCAACTGTATGAAAGGAGTAGTTTCCCTTTCCCGACTAGTAAAAGGGCAGAACACATTCCGAGGGATCACAGTTCTATAGTATCGAATCTGAGGAAGAAACGGGTCTTTCTTGAGAACTCGGGGGCTGGTTGCATTGTGATGCCTTGTCATGTATCACATTCATGGTATGATGAGATTACAGAAGGATGTTCTGTTCCTGTTCTTCATGTTGGTGAATGTGTTGCCAGGGAGCTAAAGGAAGCAAACCTAAAGCCTGTCGAAGCCGGAAGTCCCCCGCGAATAGGACTTCTTGCATCCGATGCCACTTTAGCTGCCGGGTTTTATCAGGAGAAACTCCAAAACCAGGTACTACAAAGTTCTGTCCAGAAAATGCATCCATTACATTGTTATCGCCTTTTTATTTGTCAAACTGGTTCAATTCAAATCGCGTAATGCCAATAGCGAATACCATTTTACACCATCCTTCTAATTGTGTTTGCAACTTCTATCTTGTGGATTAATAAAATTCTATGTGAATATTCAAAGTAAATTTCCGCATATTCATGGACTTGCTTGCTTCTCGATATTGTTCTTTAGGTCCAGGAAATGTAGTATCATTCTAGTACTGTCCACTTGCCAGTATCTTCGATCTTTGAATATTAATCTGCTTTGCTAACTGCTATGATATAATCTAGTCGAATTACCAGAACTGAAGGCATTAAGTAACAAAAAGACTCAGGATAGCAGCAAACTTTCTTAGAGTAATATGCAGAGTTGGAAAATTGACATTCTGGATACAAACAAATGGTTTTTAGTAAGACAGTTGCACTTTTATCATCCTAAAGTTACAAGTAATTAAGGGATCACCATTTACAGGGTTTCGAGGTCGTACAGCCGGACAAAGCGACCATGGAACACACAGTATTACCAGCAATGGAAGCTTTAAGCAGGAAAGACATTGAAGGAGCTCAGAATTTGTTGAGAATTGCTTTACAAGTTCTTCTAGTAAGAGCGGTGAACACTATCATCCTTGCCTCTGATGACCTGCAAAACCTTTTGCCTCCTGATGATCCTCTTCTCAAGAGATGCCTGGACCCAACGGATGCTTTAGCCAGATCAGCAATACAGCATTCCATATCAGATAAAACAGAAATGTAGAAAGAAACTTAAATATTGCAAAGATAGATAATTCTATTTGTTCGCATGGTTTTCCCCTTAAAATTTGAAATCCTGTCAAATATATATGGTTTTCAAGTTTGATAATCTCTATTATGAAACGAAGCACATCTGGTCATCTACCAGCAATTGAATCCATAATAAGTAACAATAGACTATTTCATTCAATAATATTAAAACCACCCTAGAACATCTGATTATAAACAAATATTGCAATTTATAGATCATCATGTAAATTAAGAACATGATGTTGAAAAATCTTTTTAGTTCCAAGCCGGTTGTTGAAAAATCTTGACTATGCATCGGCGCCTGTTTTGCAACATCATCAACTTGGAAAGTCCGGTTCTTAAAAGACAAGTTCTTTTTGGGATATTTTGAAAGATTATTTACTTTTTTTTCTCCTTCCCCAACGATATGATGAATGTTTAGTGACGCTAATCAGAAATCCTAATCAATACTTCATCCATTTCAAAATATAAGTCATTTTAAATTTTGTGTATAAATTAAGGTTACAATCATTTATTAATTAATTTGTGTGTCAGATATTTTTATATCCCACTTTACCAGTAATTGAATAACAAAAGAGAGCATATGAAAAAGGAACTGGTGTCATTTATTGATGATAAAATTGAAAAGACTTGTATGATCAATGATTTTGTTTTTATTTTTGGTTTGGATTTGAGAGATAGTTTAGAATGTGGTTTGAGAAATTGAAAAAAATTTATGAATAGTTATTTAAATAAAATAATATTATTTAAAATTACCATCGGATCATCTATGCCATCGCCTGACTACTGTCGTGACTTGGCAACTTTTCATATAGCAAAAACAAACTTCTAGAATGTAAAGATATGGCATTTAAATATAAAATTCAACAAGATTTAGAAGTGGATATTTGATTTTATTAAAGTTTGAAAAAAAAAATTAAGAACGATTTCTATGGATTACAAACGATTTTTCGCACTTTTTGATTGAATTCATGCGCATAAGCAATTTTCACTCGCCGAGGACCCTTTTGATAATTGACTTACGGATTACAACATAGTTTTGACGTTTTATTGAACAGTAAGGGTATTTTAGATAATGAATTAAATCTCAGGGGTGTTTTTGATATTAACTCCTTTTAATCCTTATACTCTTAAACCCAAAACCCTTGTCCATTCGAGTTGCTTCGCTGCGTTTCCCCCTTTTCGATTCCGGCGGCCAGCCTTCTCTCTCCTCCGCAGACTGCCGTCCAACGCCGATAAATATTGTTGTTGATTTTTCGATGGGGAAAGAGAAGCTCAAATCTTTACTCACAGCTTTCAGCCCTGATGGTGATTGTCTGGCAATCTTATCCCCTGATGGAAGCGTGAAGGTAAATTCAGTGATTCTCATAATTTTACCTCTATATTCTGCATCATCTTTCAAAGTGGATGGATCATTGTGTCAGTTGGGATGATGTTCTTGGTCGGGTTTTCTTGAGGGAATTTTTATTTTCCGTGCTTGTTCCCCTTTTTTATATGCATTTTTCATTCGTGTGAAAATGCGTTCTTTTACTTTTATGGCTTCATTTGTATCGTCTTCTAGATTTGTTTTCCTTCCTTATCTTTTTGTCAGCGGGAGCCAACTTTTGGTATTGTACTGGAATGAGATTGTAGAGTTTGGTGTACTGAAAGCAGTAATGGTCTGAAGAAATAGTAAAATTGCAAATGTAGCAAATTATTCCCTGTTGAACAGATATATATATATATATATATATATATATATATTTTCCGGTTAGGATATGCAAGGCTTCCCTTGAGAACCTGGACATTCAAATGACCCTGTGACATTTTTTTTTTGGGTGAGAGGGGGGCATCAAGTTGAATTTACCGGGATAACTTTGAGGGATAAAGGTTATGCTAAAGGGGAAAATTCAGTTTTCACGGACAAAAGATTACTTTTGAAGGAAAATGTACATTGCTGAACTGTAAATATCTTGTAGTGTTTGTTTTTCTTTTACACATGAGATTCTTGTACTTGTTTCATGGAAATAGTTACTTTCCAATCCCTTTTCTTGTTTCATGGAAGTAGCTCCATTCCTATCTTGCAGGTTTGGAACACAGGCGATGGAACTCAAATTGGTGAGTGGAAAGAGACTAATGAACCTTCAGGTGGTAGAATTTCATGCATTGCGTGCAGTTTCATTGGCAAGATGGTAACTTACACATCATAAATCTTTGAGTGACTCTTCTTTTCCTGTACTCAAATAGTTCCTATGTCTTAAATGATGATCGGCCATTTTTATTCTTTTATAGCGCAGAAAACAACCAGGAACCTGCTTAATAGCTCTAGGCACAGATAGTGGTGATGTTTCCGTAGTCAATATTTCCCTTGGTAAGGTGCAATGGAGATCCTCCAACCATCATCCTGGGTATGTTCCCTTGCTCTTGATTGTATGATCACTAACTTTGTTTGCTGTCGTGTCTCTAGTTATTCAGTTATAGTTTTTATGTCTCTTCAAAAAAATTACAGCCCACAGATATTATCAAATAGGCAAATCAGCTTTTGGTCTCTGAAGAATGATTTCTGAAGAGGGTAACACTGTTTGTGTGCAGGGGAATTGCTAGTATTTCTTTCAGAAAGAAGGAGGGCAGACTTCATGTTATTGGAACTAGAGGAGAGGCTTCCGAATTGATATTAGAAGATGGAAAAGCTGCTAATGCTAGCTTCAAACTTTCAAAAAAGTCTGTTTTATCGGCTGCATGCTTATCTGGTCAGTATTAATTCAACATCGCACTTCTTCCATATAGCCGTCAAAAGTTTCAGTCTAACCCATCTCGCATGCTGTTTTGAAGATGATAAAATTATAGTTGGGGTTGGTCATAAGATCAGAGTTGTAAGTTTGCATGACGGCGAAGAACTGGCAAAGTTTTCTACTAGTTTGGTATGTCACTTTTGTTGTGCATTTTTCCATGCACTGTTTATTTTTCCTTTCCGTATAGAGTTATTGATATTGTTGTGTTTCTTTAGGATTCTCTGCAGTGTCTTTCAAGTTCTGAAGATGCAACGTTCGTCGTTGCATCTGGTGATGCGGAGAAACGGCTCCAAGTGTGGAAGTGTGATTTTGAGACAAGAGATGTAAATAGTCAGTATCTTCCCATGAAACATCATCCACTGAGAATACATTGCAGAAATGGTTTGGATGGAGAAGATGGTTTTCTACTTCTTTCAGTTACTGAGGCAGGTGTTGTTTATCTATGGAACTTGAAATCTTTCTCTGATGAAGCAAGTCCTACTAGAATTTCCATTAAGGACGATACAAATGAGCTAGAATCTGATACGAATGGAAGAGCCAAGAGGAACCGTATATCTGTAATTACTGCTCGAATACATGCTTTAGAGCCTTCTGGACAGGTCAAAGTTCTGATATCATTTGGTTCTGTTGATAGTCCACAATTTACAACGGTGGATATCAGCACCTCAGGAGAGGATGTTGTCATTAATGCTGGGGATATCACGTCACGAGAAAATGGGGTTCGTGCTGAAGATGGTGGGTGGGTTGTTTCCTTCTTTTTTTTTGGCTGCTGTCTTCTTATGCAGGATTCAAGACAGCCTGTCTTGTCGAGTTTTTAGCTGAAAATACTATGCAATTTTCCAGGTGCATCAAAGCAGAACAAGAAGTCCAAAAAGAAGCGTGCTGCATCTGATATGGAGACTGCGACTGAAGCAGCTTTAATTGATGATGGTATGACTTTTCACGGCTTCTTATCTGTACTTTTAGTCTTTTAGTAGCTTCCTGCTGCTATGATGGATACCTGAAATTATGAAAGAAATGAGATTCATGTTAGACTGCCTTGTATACATTAATGTCTTTCACCAGACCTTGCAAATTACTGTTCCAGGATTCTCAATGTACCTTGATTTAATATTGCTAGATTTATTAGAATTTGGTACATTTGAGTGAATAGGATGACCTTAGTAAAGAAAAATGCCATTTTGATACTATGCAGGTCGTGGAGATCCTAAGGATGGCATTCAAATTGATGATGATCCGAATGAGCCAACAATGGGCGAGAAACTTGCCAATCTGAGTTTGTCAGAGGCAAAGGACGTTGAGAGCCGCGAGAACTTCTCCGCTCCTGCAAAGCCTCCAAGTGCAGACTCAGTTTATGTTTTGCTAAAGCAAGCTCTACATGCTGATGATAGAGCACTGCTAACTGATTGTTTATTCAGACAAGATGAGAAGGTTTTTGAAACTTGCATCCTTTCTTCTCAGTATTCAGCTTTGGTTCTGCACGTATGGTTTACAGCTTTGTATTGATGAAAAGTTGATGTTTACTTGACTGGGTAGGTTATTGCGAATTCAGTGGCATTGTTGAATCCCTCTGATGTTCTCAAGCTTTTGCAGTCACTTGTATCTATGATCCAGTCCAGGTGATGGAAGCAAATGATTACAGCTAAATCAAGCTAGTTTAACATATTGTTCAAGTTTCTTTTTCAAAAGATTTTCTTACTTGATAGCTGGAGATTTTTCCTCAGCGATGATGGAATTTTTTGCTGCTGAGTTTTGGTGCTATGTACTAACATATCGATGTGGTTTGTCCGCTTTAGGGGGGCTGTTTTAGCTTGTACTCTTCCATGGCTGAGAAGCTTACTTCTTCAACATGCAAGCGAACTAATGTCCCAAGAGTCCTCTTTGATCACCTTGAACACTTTATATCAGGTAACTACGTGCAAACCAACATACTGAATCTCTTCAAGGACTTGTTAAGACTCGCATTTCCTATTTAGATAGAAATTCTTTGAATGGCTCTACCTACTGAAAGGTCCTAACGCCATGACGATGTCTTATATATATATATCCACCTGTGTTAAAAGTTCTTTTATTCCTTCTGTTTCCATCTGTTCCAATGATCTTTACAATGCATCTGTTTCCGTTCTTTCCTGCAGCTCATTCAATCTAGAGTTTCAACTTTCAATCAAACTCTTAAACTATCAAGTAGCTTGGATTTGCTTTATGCCGGGGTAAGTGAGTCTCGATTATAATTTTTGTATTCCTCTCGGTTTGCCTTGAACCAGTGTATTGATCAAAATTGTCCTGTGCAGGCTTTAGATATGGGCTTGGATGAAAATGAAGAAACCATTGCACCAGCTATTTTTGAGGACAAGGATGGAAGTGATGAGGAAGAATCGGCAGAAGCTATGGATATTGAAAGTGGTGAAGATGAAGAACCCGAACCTCAAATCTTCAGTGATATAAGTGATTTTGATGAAATGGAGTGAGTCCCAAGTTCTTTCCTGCTGCTGCCTATGGGGCACTCTGTTTGAATCTATCTTCCAAAAAATTTGGAAGAGCTCCCTCGCCCAAGAACCATAAACAGGAACCTCCATTGGACGAAGAAACCTGATCGACTGATTCTGGAAGACTCGTGCATTGTTTTGTACCGACGTAACTAGCTGTTTTAGGTCGTTAAAGCTAGGATAATACCAAAGTCTGTAATATGTTTTGGACGATAAACTACTCTGCAATTACGGAATCTTGATTCGAGGATCTGTTTCAGTTGACAAACGTAATGCCGCCTATATTCCTTTTTTAGTGTTCACCGATGCTAAAATTTTAAGGGCAAGCTCTTCCTGTTTTGTTTAATCTCGAACCGTAATTCGTCAGTGTTATGATCGTTACATCAACTTTAACTCCCAGAACAGATCAATAACAACGAAGAACTTACGGCCGCATGTGGTGAAGTAATCAGGATTCTGAGTTCAGCAGACGAAACTACCTTCCTTCCAGAGAAAAGAAGCATGTCTTACTGCTCACCGGATTCCGGTTATTTAGAAAAATCCGGGAACATTACATTTTCTTTTTGGAAATTCGGGAACATTACATGATTACAAGGAACGTTTTAGGAACATCCCTAGCGGAGGCCGAAATGCTATTCTCACAAAGCTAGACGGATAAGAAACAGGGGAACAAAATGAAAGACCCGTAAATATTTATTACTGGGAGTAACAACTATGTGAAGAAAAGTACAAGAGCCTCCAGAAAACTGAGGCGGAACCCATATCCAAGGGGACTTAAAATACAGGGAAAAAAAAAAGGACTCAAAATACAGGACGAAATACAAAATACAGAGGACTCAAAATGAAGCAAACAGCAAATTCTAAATGAATCGGGGGGACTAGACGCCGAAAAATCTAAGCGTTGTCCTTCTTGGTTTCCTTGGTCACAGTGGTGGTCTCATGTCCCGGTTCTTCACCAGTTCCAGCCATACCAAGAGTATGCTTCACAGCATCAGCAGCACCCTGAGCCATACTCTTCACCTGTTCCCCTGTTTTCTGCATTATCCCTCCTGTCTTCTCCTTCCCAGCTTGAGCCGTCTCTTTAGCCCTCTCCGACATCTCAGATGCCTTCTCTTTAGTCGCCTGAGCTGCTGCAGCGGCTTTGTCTTTAGCAGCTTGAGCTGTCTCGGAAGTCTTTTGCCCTGTTGCGTGCCCTGTTTCGGCCATCTTGTCCTTTGCAGCTCCGGCTTTCTCCTGGCCGGCTCCGGTGGCTTGTCCTGCCTTGTCCTTCATGGCTTGCAGAGTTTGCCCTGTTTTCTCCTGTTCGTCAAAAATCCAATCCAAGAACCCATTAAGTAAAGAGGAAGAAATCAAAACAGCAAAATGCTTGATCAACGTATACACAATAATTTTAATTTACCTGGGCTTGGCCCTTGGTTTCACCAGCTTTGTAGGTCTGCTCGTGGGATGCCATTTTTTCTGGTGTTTGGTTTTTCTTGGGAATTGAGTAGAAAACGATGATTGATCAGTGAAATGAAAACTGAGTGATTCAAACAAGTTTTACACTGCAAATTGTGAGTGAATTTGGGAAGGAGGAGTTTTGGAGGTTTATATAGGCTTTTGGTAAGACGGTGTGATGTGACACGCGTCCAGCTGCCTGACGCGTGTAATGCAACGTGCCCCGTCAATAGTAAGCCCAGAGGTGAAGTTTCTAGCCCTTTTATTTTGCCATTCTTTTTCACGGTTTATATATTGATTTATATTTTCAATTTCCTTAGTTCATGAGACAGAAGAAGTAGAATAACAATAGATTACGGTAGCTAAAGCTAGCTGCATGCATGTGCCAAGCTTACACATCAACATATAAGCTTTGGGAAAAGGATAATTGGAGATAAATTGATGATGTGTTATATCAAGAAGTGTTTAATAACATTATCATGAAAAAGATTGATCTTTTTTTGTTTGGCACTACTTATTCCTTTCATTAATTTTTGTTTGATTATTAACTATTTCTTATTTAGTCTCAGAATGATTATCATGACAAATAGAATATAAACCTAATTACGTCGACTAAGTCGGTTGCTAATTGTAAGTTGTACTTCATATGTTCCAAAATTATTGTTCAGTTTAGATTTTCACTTTTAGTTCATTTTGTACTACTCCCTCCATTTCAAAATATAGGTCGTTTTAGGTTTAGAGAGATTTTTCAAAATGTAGGTCGTTTTACAAATTTTAGGCAAATTATAACTATTTTCTAAATTTACCCTTAATAAATGATACTAATATATTTTTATTTAGTCTTTTTTATAGTTTTAATGTAATTAATGAGAGGTAAAAAAGATATTTACACATAAATTAATTGTTGGATGATTGTCTCCTTAGTTTACGTGCCAAGTCTAAAAAGACTTATATGTTGAAATGGAAGGAGTATAAATAAATATTTAAACTAGACAATAATTTTAGGGTGGAAAGAGTATACTAATTTATTTTTGACATATTTGTCAAGAAATGAGAATTCCAAGTTCATTATCACTTTACGCATTATCATGAGTTCCTGACCAATTAATATTGGCTATTCTGATTGATCTGATATTCAAATTGTTAGCTAATGATGATATACGTCGCAATAAGTTACTGTTCCAACCCGCAAAGGCGGAATTAATAGAAACAGAAGAAAGTTGTGCTTTTTTCTTCCAACTACAATGAATGAGGAAAAGACATAGTTATTAGATAGGTACATTCTAGAGATAAGTGACCTCTATGATATCATGCTCTAACTAAGGTTTTATTCCTAAAAAAGAGTTTTCAGTCATTGTAAACTTATGGGATAATGAACTAGTAACGACACTAAATAATCAATTGCAAAATTCGCTTTCCAAATTATGCTTCAACTCAACTACCCAATCTCAACTTAATAACTTTTGAATACCATGCACAATTCCTGCATTTAAACCAACAACATCCTCGACTTTTGAATACATGCACAATTCCTGCATTTAAACCAACAGCATCGTCCCTCCCCTTAACATAATCAAGTAGTTTCTTTAACATAATTTTAGGAATTCAACAATTAATGTTATAAATGAAGAAAGTATTACGTAGTCCATCAAATTTCATTTTTTAAGATATAATATGGTGTATTTTTCTTTTTTCTTTTTCTTTTTTTGCAACCACAATGTTTGTGCATTTTACGTGTTATTTACGAAACAGTTGAACTATTACACATGCAGATATATGAATATCACAACTATATATCGCATGCATTTAAGGGGTTTTTTTTTTTTCTCGTGCTTTTCCTACCCGATATCAAATTTATTTTCGGTATAATATAAGAAGCATAATTCTAGTAGAAATCTATTTTGTATATTTTGTGGAGAGAAAATATTATGATCAAATTGTGTTCCGACATGTATTAACTCGAATTTACTAGGATTGAATTGGTTAAGTAATGACGAGGCAGTTTACGTGGATTATGGTGTCTGACAAGTGTGGCTATTGTAGGAGTTAGAAATATAATTGCCGCTTTCCATCAATGTACGTGGTTTTTAGTGAATTAATAATGTGAAGTGTCGCCCACAAATTGGACGAAACACGAATCAGAATGCCTCAGATGAACCGATGGAAAACGGACAGATGAAAAGCAGACCACATTACCCCCCAAAAAATTTACTAGTAGTAAAACATTATCCCTTCTAATTTACTCAACCAAACCACTCCAAAACTAATCTTATTTACCGAATCATCTTTGACAAGGAAAAAATGAAAAACACGTGTGATCATCGTATCTTCCAACTGTCCTTATTTACAGGCAATTTTTTGAACCGGAAATTAGCATTATTTTACTACAATCGGATGGTTAATTACAAACTTTGAAACCTTCTCTTTACCAAATATACATTCACTAAGAAAAAACCATGTGATGATGGTATTACCAAGTGTCTTTTAATCCACAATTGTAGCCGCTCTCTAACACCAATTTAGCTTCTTAGGGGAGTCTATAAAAATGTCCCCCAAACTGTTCATTTCATTTGTACCACGTTTTCACATTTTATTACTTTACTACTACTACTAGCTCAAAGCATAACAAAAGCAATTTTCACCAGGACACCAAGAAAAGATGGCAAGCCACCAAGCTCCCGGAGGTCCCCATAACCCAAACTCTCAAATGCCCGGCCAAACTCAGGTGATTCCTTTTTTTTTTTTTTTAATTTTAATTTTTATTTTAACTCTATAAACACTTTCCCGTTCCCATTTTCTAAAATTTGTAAATTTTGTTTAGTGCCTAAATACCAAATTAAGTTTGTGTTTTGTAATGTGATACTCAAATATTTTCTCCTTCAAAGCAGATGATGAGGAATGACCTAGCTAATCAGCCATCAGACACACATAGCCAACAAGACTCCTCTTTCCTTGCAAATGTAGGTTTCCGGTCTCAGTCTATACCTATCTATATTCTTTCGTTACAGAATATGATAACATTTTTTTAAAATTAAATGATCTGAGTACAATATTTCTAGTTGAGAGAAAGTACAGAAACCATGCAATATTGTCAATTCATTTTGCACTGAATTTGTCTGTAATTAATGTTTTCTAACTCTTTGCAAATAAATGGTGTGATATTGAAGACTGGTACGCAAGTGAGGAACATGGCAGAAGGCGCAGCCAACATAGCTAAAGGAGCTGCAGTTGGTGCTGCGAATTTGGCCCACGACGCAGCTGATGCTGTTAAGAATACTTTGGGAATGAACCCCAATGAGAACCCAAGTGGCCCAAATGATTCAAACTGGCCTGGTAACGCCAACCGGGCTTCAGGCCCAAACAATCCCAGCCACCCAAGTAACAACCCCAGCAACCCAAGGATTTGATGATTTTAGTCCGAATAATTGCTACCAGAATTACCCCACCCACCGTTTATTCTCTTCATTTTTAAGCTATTTTTTTGGGTTTCCATTTGTTTATTTTAGTTTGTAATGGAGTGTGGTTTAGCCGATGTAGGCGTTCTGGATAGCAGAGAGAAGCCATTTCTGTGATGATTACTTCTGGTTTTTTTTTTTGGGCCTATTTATGGCAATAAAAATTATGCTTCTTAGTTCATCTTATGCTTCTTAGTTCATCTCTATTGCAACTTGCTTCCACAGTTCCTTCAATGATTGTTTACATTAGTTGATTTAATCTAAACCAGGTAGCTATGAAGTAAATAAAGGTTTAAAATGTCGTTGAAAAGTCAGACAGATTATTTACCAGATTAATACTTGTCTATCATTTGGTTTCAACCGCATAATAATATTAGGTGTTGGATTTTTTAAAAAGAAGAGAGAAAACTGGCAAATGAAACTTCAAAAGCTAATGGTATTTGACAACTGAGTTACAGATGCCAAATTCAATCTTATCTTTTCAAGCAACAATCATAAAACCCCTCGACTTATGTGAAAGTCTTGAATACCTTCAACACTATAGTTTCTTTATCCCTGGAAATGAAGGGAGGATCGCAATAAGAGCATCCCCATAACCGACCGGCTCTGCATTACAAGATGAAATAGCTACTTAGCTAAGCACAAACACGGACTATCAGAATTCAGACCCTATTAATCAAAGATTAAAAGAGCGATGCATACCACCATCTTCTAGAAGAATTCTGATAACCTCTCCAGATATGTCCGACTGAAAAAGAGGGTTTAAGGGTCATTCTTTGTTATAGGTAAGCAGTTATGAAAGTGGAGAAGAAATAAATATTGCATATCAGAAGGCTAAATCCAAACCTCAACAGGAATCTCTCCACCAAGCTGTTCAATGTAGCACAACACTTGGCCTTCCTTTACTTGTTGCTTCTGTGTTGGTGAATAGTAGGAAAAAAGCCGAGATTAGATAAGATATGGATATGGCTCGTAACGCTTAAAACCCATCATACGCAAAGTGCTCGTGCTACTACAAAATTCTTTACATGAGCTGTATTCTGTTGAGGAAAAATCGTTTGAGCAGCAGAGGCACTAAAAAAGGTTCCTTTCGAAGGATGCAAGTTGGCGAACATCTTGGGAGATCAACAACTTTATGGAAGAAGAACAAAAACAATTTTAAGGTATGCCGCATCATCAACAGAGGTGTCAACAACGCATTGCACGAAACTGGAGCGTGTCAATGCACATGCCAAGTGCCATGAAAGAGAATAATCTACATGCAGAATGAAATCAATATAAACATGACAAATATGTACCTCTTTACAAGATGGAGGAGCTCGCTTTCCCTTAATAGTTCGAGATCTCCTGAAAAATCCAACCTGCAAGGTTTGCATACTTAGCATTTGGAAAAGAAACATGATAAAATCAAGAAGAGAAATTTGATAAAACAGGCATACTCACCTTTGGAGATTTAAGTATAGCGAGGCCTCCATCTGCTGCTTTTACAAGTAGAGACTCAACATCACTGGGTGGAGATTCTAATTTAGAAACGGCAAGGGATGTTAATGATGCAGAACCATTTGCATTAGGTACCTCAACGACGGTGTTAACACTGGCAGGAGAAGTAACTGGAGGTGGCATGGTTGTTTCTTCCTGAGTCAAGCCTCTCAACATATACAGTCGAAATCCCCCAAGCTAACAGACAGAGAAACATAAATTGGGATAAAATTAATTCACTTAAAGTTACTTTTCTAAATTTTTCATTGGACGAGAATGGAAATAAAGTTTCATGGTTAGCAACTCTAATCCATATAAATGAAAGCTCTGAAAGAGGAAGCACAAGGTAACTTCCTAGTCACTTCCTTGATAACTTAAACAGACTCACTTTCAGCTCAAACTCAGCAATTGAGGTAGTATCACAAATGTCTGTGACCAGTGATTCCACCTGACAATGGATGATCATTAATATCAACATCATATGTTTACAAGAAGAATACTGGCAAATGGAATAAATCAACATGGCATCTTCAACCGAGTCAGGGAATATATCTATTATTAGCTTTTAAAGGGTTTTCATTTCAAAAAAGCCGTATACGAATGTAAACTATCCTGCTTGCAGTTCTACAAATTAAGAAACCAAGTCCAAAAGGCCCAAGAAAGAGCCACAAAAGAGGTGAGAATTACTATACCTATTTCAACTGTAAATTTAAGCCTTGACTATGCAAGATGACTTGATCCTGGGTTATTTAGTTGTACTTAAAAGATCATGGAGAGCTACCAGGAACCATTAATTGAGCTATAACAAACAGTTTCCAACTAACAAGGTACCATTTTGATTTTCATTGTAATTTGAAGGTACTTGCCTCGAACAACTTCGGAATTACTTTACTAACTTTGCCAGGTACTCCATTGTCTTCAGGAGAATCACCAGTGGTAGCTGTACCTGATACAAATCAAAGAATAGAGTAAGAACATACAACACCAAGAATGGAACAGAGAACCATAACCAAGATTAATAATGTGGAAAACACAACATTTGAAATCAAAATTAATTCTAGACAAGCCAATAGAATATACAGCCAGAGAGGAGAGAGTGCATCAGCATGATAGACTAGAAATGATAGCAGCAGTAATGATCAAATATACCATTTTTAAGGGGGCACCATCTAATGCACATAAACACCACCCATTCTTGTTCCTCTATCAATTCCATGTATCCTCAATCCAAGATTCTGGCCGTGAGTCCAGAATCATCTTTTAATTTAACCCAAAAAAGAATCTTTTAGAGCAGGACTCTACCTTTTCAACGAATAGCAAAAAAAGTTCAAGGAAATTGAGTACCAATGATATGGAATTAACAAGAAAATCATTCAAAATTACCATCAGAAGCTGAACATTGGCACCCTAGAAATGCTCTTTTTGGTCTAACAGTCATCTCCAATCCATCACAGTGAATGTACCTTGGGAACCTTACTTGCAAACCATGGAATGGCTGCGATGCACCCAATTTTGGTCCAGCATGACAAAGGTTCAAGCTTGATGATACCTTCAACCCTGAAGCCCCAAAACCGCCTATAACTTAGAAGAACGTAAACCGGCGTCAATTTCTATGCCCATCCCTACTCAGGATTTCAATGCTTAAGAGTAACAAAAAATCAGAATTCCACAGAACCAGTAAACAACCACGATTCCATAAAAAAAATAGACCAAACTTTCAAGTTGAACTAAAAAAAGATTGCATTTTTAAACTTCATACACTCGGATAAAGTAACAAAACGATAAGCAAAAGAGATAGAATTGAGCCATTAATGGAGTTGCAGGGCTTACATGCAGCCATTGAAGAGTGATTGTTTTATCAGGGGATTCTACAAAAACTGCTCAAATTAGTAGCAAGAAAAGTGACCCGGATGACCCAATTGGGAAAAACCAATCGAAATGATGTAATCGAATGGGTACTTGTTTCCTTACAAACTTCGAATTTTGAAGGGAAAGGAGGAAAGCGTGAAGGAAGGAGTGAAGCCGATGTTGAGCATTGTGTTCTTGGTGCTATTACTTGGGCCGCACAAAATTTTACGCCGTGTGTTTTCTTTGAAAACTTTTAGGATTGTTCCAAAATGCCACGGTATATTTTTATTATGTACAATTCGCTAAATGATTAAGGGTTAATTCAAAATAACCCCCTTGTGGTATTTCAAACTACATTAAAACCCACTCGTGGTATATAAATATCAAAGAAACCCACCCGTTCTATTTCCGAAATTAGTAAATGGACATCAAATAAAGAAAATAAGAGAGCTTGCTAATTACCGTGCCTCAAATCTGTGTGGATTTGCTATTCTCATCACATATCAACTTTTTATTCCTATATTGCCCTCATACCACAATTTATAACCATAATTTACCTATATTATTTCTCATACTTCTTCTAATTATTCGGATTCATGGCCACAAAACCCCAAATTATATAAACAATCAAGATCTATTTCTTCTTCCCCAAACTTAAATTATGTAGGAATTACTGCACAAATTGAAACAAGACCCAAAATCCATACATCACCCTGGAAGGAATCCTATTACAGAACCCATATTCAAACATTTCGCAGTATTGGGCATGGAAGTTTGAAAGCCTAACAAAAAAAATTTTAAGGCTTATGAACTCCAACCCAAAAAATATTCTTCAGAACATTATCTGTGATATTTTTCCACACCATAATAGACCCTAAATATATGCCAGTAAATTTCAAAGCGTGAATATGTGTATCCATTCTATCAATTGGTCTTAGTTCTATTCAGAATTTTGCTGCCGGCTTTATGTTTCGTTTTGCGGGGAGAGTTTCAGTTTTTCTTTTTTTCCCTACAAAATAATAATAAATGAGTAACTGGCTAATGTTTTTTATGTATACGAAGATATATTGGTTATTTAACTAATCACCGTCAGTAAAAACACGTAATTTTGACGTTACTAACTTCGGAATAAACACGGGTGGGTTCCTTTGATATTTACATACCATGAGGGGATATGATGTAGTTTGAAATACCACAAGGGAGTTGTTTTGAATTAAACCAACGATTAATAAACAAATTATATTTCTAGCACATAAGAGTCCTATCTCTTTCAATTCAGTCCTTGTTTTCATGAGCGGGATTAAAAAAATTAAAGTATTGCACAATAGTTATTCATAAGTTACAAATTCAAATTAAATACAATTCAAAAGAATATTTATAACCTGCATTTTCTATGTATGGAGGCTAGGTTAAACCAAGTACATGTTTATATCATTATTATACTGTAAAATATTTAAAGATGTATTTCAACATTATGAACATTTTCTACAAACAAATAAAAGAAAAAAACTGTTTTAGTACAACGATTGAACACCTAACTATGTCCATTTTATAATAGAATACTTATATATCCGTTTTAAAATTTATTATTGACACTTCACTGATCAACTACTCCTATAACAAAAGTTAGAACAATGGAAGTATAATTATACTCTCCGTCCCATAATTATTATCCAATTTGAATTTTCATTTTTAGTTCAATTTGTACTAAAAGTGAAATCTCAAACTGGATAATAATTTTGGGACAGAGGGAGTAATTTTTTTTTTTAAAGAGCGACTTTAAATGGTTTTAATGGGCTATATAGTACATCCATCACATAATTTATTTGATTTTCAAATTGAATTTGGATTATGGAATTACAAAAATAAAAAAATAACACACTCCCCTGCCATATTTTAAGAACTCAAATTATGAATTTTGATTTACAAATTAAAATATTAATCAATAAGAAATCATTATTGGTTAATTAAGATGGTGCGATAATAATAAAATTTGGTCTATTGGTCTAAAAGGCACTAGGTAAATAATTTGAGTGTTTCATCATTTACAAAATTAGGTTCAGTTATTACTACCACTATTTGATTACTACAAGTCTAGGTGTCAATTACATTACCTCTTCCCTCACAGAAAAAATAATTTTTTTTTTTCTCAACTTCATACTTAAAAAATAATATAAATCTAAAAAATAAAAGGAATTATTTTTTGTGAAATGAACTTACTATGTCACATGTCGAGTAGAATGTAATACAAGAATATCACAGTACTATTTATGAGTTGTCTCCTCGTCTTAGGTAACAAATTGGAAAGAGGGGGATTGGTAAAAAAGGGATCAAAGGGACGGTCAGGATTAATGGGCGCACGTCAACAAAATTAATTGGCACCACAGACGATAACTACCCCGTCACGAACTGGGCAAAGTCGAAAGATCCATCTGCCATCATCATCATCATCATCAGTAAGCTAAAGAGAGAGAAAAAAAAAAAAAAAAAAGAAGTTCCTTCGATCTCTCAGTTCTTACATAAAACCCTTTCTTTTCTTAGATGAACCTAGGCGTCATCGTATTCGATCAAGATAGACGAAATTTCGGGCGATAGATAAAATTTCTGGTACCCAAAAGGGGAGGGAAAAGGGGTCGAAGAAGAGAAGATGTCTTTAACGAAGGTGAAAATGTCCGAAGAGGTGTGGCTGACATGTCTCACTCATGCATTGTCTACCGAGACTGAGGAAATTATGGGTCTCCTTCTTGGTGACATTCAGGTACTGTTTGCTTTCTATTTTCTTGCTCCTTTAGGGTTCATTGCTTAGCTTTTTATGAATTTGGGATTTTTGACTGGTAACTACACTGATAAAAAGTTTGCTTTTTGGTTAATGGGTTGTTTTAATTGAAAGTTAAAACTTTTGTTAAACTTCGATTCTATTTTATTAGTGTGGAATTCTCTTAGTTTTTGGCCATTCCAGTTTAGTAGTAAATGTATCTATCTAATCATGAACTTCTAAAATTCCCTAATTTAAGAAATGTTATCTTTGGAGTTTTCCATATAATGCCCCTTTCTCGAGAGCTTGAGACTACCTTTTCTTTTTTCTCCATCAGTTTTCTTTATGTGTTTCGAGCCTTCTAGCTATTTCCGTGGTGTTTTGGGTTTCATTGATTTGTGCCAATTGATCAGATAATCTTCATGACTGTAATTGTCACTAGAAGTAATTTGTTTAGGTTCTTTCTCCTTTTGGTTACACTGTGTGCTTGTGCCCTTTCAGAATTCATCATTCGATTTCCAGAATGAGAAACCTGTTTTGGTAATGCCAGGGGCTTTGTTTGAAATATAGCCTCTAATAGCAGAATAGTTCTTGTATTTGATGTTGTGAATGTATGAATACATTTGACAATATAAAGGTTACAAATCTCGGTCAGCACAAGGCACCTAGGAGATCCAAATACTAGGAAGAAGGTTTTCTGATTTCCAGTCATGGCATGCCTTTTTTTCTCCCACATTAAACTTACTCTTTCTAACCTTGCCTGTCTTTGTTATGTTGTTTGTTTGACACTGATTTTTTAAATTTTGTTGGGTCAGCATTCCAGAGACGGGAGTGTGATTGCTTTGATATGGGGCGCGTTGCCTCAACCACGTTCTGATCGGAAGAAAGATCGAGTAGAGACCAATCCTGAACAATTGACAGCAGCATCAGCAGAAGCTGAGATATCCTTTCATGCAATGCATCTTATACCCTTAGTTTCTTTTTTGTTGTGGCTATCATTTTCTTGTTGATTAGAAACCATAGGGTTTAAAGTTTGCCTGGTTTTTGTTTGGGCGTTTTGCCTATTGACTAGTGAAGATAAGGGAAAAGTAGCAGACGCTTTCTCATGTGGATTATCTTCACTTCTTCACTTAATTAATAAGAATTGATTAGGTCCATAAAATTGCTAATTGAGCAAAAGGGGATGTGAATGATTTGTTCCTAGCTGAAAATTACTAATTCGTTTAATTTTTTCTAGGATTCTGGAGATGATAATGTGCATGCTGCATCCACATGATCCATGTGAATAGAAAATTTTTGGATGGGTAGATAATTTAGGGTGCGTTGCAAATGAGCATTTTGCATGTTACATTTTAGTTCGATTGGTCTACACATTGTCAAATTAACTCTTTAGCACAAAATGACGTTGACACTTGGGAGAACAACAAGGGTGATTGGTTGGTACCACTCTCATCCTCATATTACAGTTCTTCCTTCGCACGTTGGTAAGTTTTGTAGCAATGTCAAGGATGTCTAGTTCTTTTGTTCTGTTCATTCTGCTTTCAAGGATGCCTAGTTGTTTATATCTCTGAACGATATAAGCTCCAAAATCAAAACAAATTGGCCTTTTCTTTCATTCCTTTTTGCCTTTTTCTTTTGTTTGTAGAAGGAAAATGATTTCTTTGCATTTGTGGTCCAAATTTGCTAAGATTCATTATAAGTTATGGGGTTTGATTTGGCTTTAAGTACCATATATTATTTACCAATGCTTCTGTTCTGACTTTTTCAGATGTGAGGACTCAAGCCATGTATCAACTTTTAGATTCAGGGTTTATTGGTCTGATATTTTCATGTTTCAGTGAAGATGCGCAAAAGGTTTGTGTAATCTATTGTATTCAAATTAACATGCTTGAAGGGATTTTATGTGGAAAATATGGATAAGCTTACCTGCAATGTCTTCTAGGCGGGAAGAATACAAGTTATTGCTTTCCAGTCTTTGGATGGGAAGCAACAGCACAGTTTGAGACCTGTCTCTGTGGCCCATGTAAATAGAAGTTCGGTTATAGATATTGACTCATCTCTTAGTTCATCAGGGAAAACATCAACAAGAGGAGATGAAGAAATTGATACGGCTGATTCCAGAGTTAGGTCTGTAGCTTTGAAGGTATATTGATTTGTATGGGAATTGAACGTCGATTTGCTTGTCCTCATTGTATCTCATGAAAGTCTTTTACTTGTGTTTAGAGGAAATCATCTTTGCCCATTCTTAAGTTTCTGTTCTTATTTTGGCTAATGCGCTGCAAAATGTGTCACTTTCTTAATTTTTTTTTTCAAAAAAAGAAAAGAAAAGAAAGTTTATGATGCACCATCACAATTTTAGTTTCTTTGCCCGTGAGATCCTCGAGAAATTTTATACACTTATATCTTTTGTGACTCTGTACAAGTCTATTATTACATGCATATCAATTAGAAAGGTCAAAAATCTATTGTTGACTTCAAGCTTGAAATGGTGTTGAGTAATGTGGGTGGCCCTCAAGTTGTCCATTGGATGGGTATAACATTTCTCTCTAATTGGGCATTACCTTTTTGACTCTTGGTTGTCATGGATTGGCTAGAGTGGAAGACGATCTTCAGACCTGGGGGGTTTCCTTGCTAATGCAGATGCCAGAATGGGCCAAAACAATCGTTCAAATGATTTCAATGACCCAAGTGCTGACAGTGATTCCATGGACCTGTCAGAGAGTATGCAAGAGGCCATGCATCGCTCAACTTTGGAGATGAGGTAATGTGAGTACTTTCACGATCACCTCATGGCGGTTATGATGAAATTTTTTATCGTCCTTTCAAAGCTGAGTTCAGACTTCTATTTCTTTGTTGGGCCAAAAATTCTTTTGATGACTTGAAATTTGGCTCATTATAACTGGCAGTGGAGCAGAGTATGTTAGAAAGGAAGTTCCTCTCTTTGTTCTGCCTGCCTCGTCTCTGTTGAATCTGGCTTCACCCTTGGCATCTTTCGGGAAATTGCAACGAGTGATTTATGAAGAAGAAAGGACTGCATTCAATGAAGCAATTCTACAAAGTGTAAGGTAATGTAACTGTCTTGCTGCCTCTTACCAGTGCAAAAACTTAGCTGCATGACTTGTATCTCAAACTGGAGCATGGATGTCATTATTAGGATACATGATGTTATTTGTTTTCTGTAGGGATGGAAAAGTGCATCCACTCACTTATATTCACCATACGTCCACATATCAAGCTTCCATATGCAAGTTAATGGAATACTGGTGAGCCCAAGAATCCATTTCTCCTTCACGGCTCCTTTTAGCTTTTATGATGCCTTACTAACTATTTCTGCCATGTTATGCGTGCAGTTTGAGTCCTGCCATTGTTGCTCTTCAGGATCACTTGACGGAGAATGAGACTCGGGTAGCTACACTTTGTAGTACTTTGTGATTATAAATGGTTTTTTTTTTTTTTTTTTTTTGCCCTTGTTCTTTTTTTCGAAACCATTATCGTAACTGTTCTTTACTGCCCTCTCTCTCCATTGAAACAGTTAAAGATGCTATCAAGTGAAGCCAAGACATTGGAGAGTCTAATATCGAGAGGAGCTGAATGTTCTAGTTCTCCTAGAAAAACTTCTAGAAAAACATTGTAGGCAGTATCTTAGATGAAGTACAAACAATGGGACATTGGAAGGATTTTTTTGTAAAGGTCTTAAATGACGACAACCAGTCCGAACAAGGCCTATAGAATGCATTCTGGTTCTATTACTTTTGTTTCTAAGCAGGAATTCTCTGTATCCAACCACCAAATGGAACTTTGTTACTAGACTTGAGTGGTGCTCTCTCGTCTTGTGCAGCAATTTTTTAAAAAAAAAACAAGAGCACAAACCCTCGATAGTTGCCTTCTAAATAAGGAACGAAACATTTTCTTGACTAAATAGGAGTAGTTTCCATCACAAGTTCCTTCGTACGCATTTTCTTCAACTACTAGAGTTACAAGGAATTCCTTTATACAAAGGAGTGAGCAGCCCCAGTCGGGCTACAATGGACTTCAGCGACCATGGCGAAACTAGCAGACATAGCTCAGCCTTTGCTAGCTCCGCGAGGGGATTGGCTAAGTGGCAAAGCTGGCACCATTGTGATTTAATTGGAATGGTGTCAACGTATAAACATTTATTTAGACCGCCTCTCTTTGTATCCATAAGGGAAAAGAGAAGAGGCGTAAGGAGGGGATTAAATGTGACTTCTGTTTTGTCACAACTTACCTTCTCTATCATAAATGTCGGCTATTATATTTTCCAAATTTATGTGCTTTCCAATAAGAAAATAATTGATAATTAATCTCGACAATTCATTGTTCCTTTCCCCATTAACAAATCTTTTTTTTTTTTTTTGGGGGGGAGGGGTGTAATGTAAGGAACCAACCAGAAATAGGTAAACCCTCTTACTATACAATCCCCTCCTAATTATGATTCTTATCATATGTTACCTCAACAACATACATAAAGTCACATAATTTAGAAGGCGACGGCGCGCCTCCGACCTTTGTCACAAATTCTCCACTTCTCCCCCCTTTGCTTTGTTCCCGTTTAGGTTTGTCTGTAAACCTTTTACTTTTTACCTCAAGTTATTTAGAAACAGTTCTACAATGTCATATGGATTGATGTATTGAGTAGTTTGAAGGTTAGCTTTTAGGATTTCATTATTTTTAGGTTTAAACATAGAGTTAGCCTGTATCATGATTTATGATTTTTCTTTGTTTTTTAATCTGTATGCTTGAAACTTTTGGTACAGACTTTTCCACCTGATGAGCATTACAATCTGAATTTGTTTTTGACAATGCGCGTCTTTTCTTGTTTTTTTTTTTTCATATTTAATTTGTTGAAATTACATTTACATGATTGAAGGAGCTAGGGATGAATTATGAACTTATTGGCTTCTAACTTATTATGATCAGGAGAATATGGCATCTTCTGATCAGAATAAATACAGCAAATTGGAAAAAACTCTTCCTCCTGATGATGATGATTATGGAAAAAAGGACAAGTGGGAAGAGATTAAGTGCTTCATCTGCTTAGAGCAACCCCACAATGCAGTGTTGTTAATATGCACTCGTCACCAAAAGGGTTGTCACCCATACATATGCAACACAAGCGACCGACTTTCCAATTGCCTGAATCAATTCCAAAACTTATTTTCTCAAGAATCATCACCATCATCATCATCAGATATTTCCCAATTACTAGATGATCATAATGATGGTGGCGATGATCATCATCATAATCGACCAGGCGTGGATCTCGCACGATGCTCCCTTTGTGGCGGCGACATACTTGGATGTGTCGCTGTAGAGGCTGATAAGAGGAAGCTGATGGATTCAACAAGAAGAGTCTGCTCTGCAGAGTGGTGTCCATTTGTTGGAGATTATGATGAGCTAAGAAATGATGTTGAGGATTAACATCCCGATTTGAAACCGAATGAGGTTGATCCGACCCGACAATCTGACTGGAAGAATATGTTGCGGAAGATGGACTTCGATGACACTGCAGCTGCTGCCCATTTTTTTGATGATGAAGAAGAAGATGACTACTACTCTAATAGTGACAGTGAATCGGTAACATTTGAAACGTTTGCTAGTATTTGATATAACAGGATTATTACTTACCGAGTATGTACTTTTTTGTTCTAAAAATATTGTCCGGTTTAGATTTTATACTTTTGTTCTAAATCGGACAATCATTTAGTTTGGTACAGAAGGTGTGCAATATATCATGTCTTTACTAATTTTTGTTGCATTCTTCCCATTTTATTGCAGGAATTGGATGAATGACAGTTTGAAACATTGGATTCGTTATAGTAAATTGTGATAGTGGCGACTATGGTGTGTCATTCAGTTATGAAGCAGAACCGAAGTGTGAATGACTTACCCTAGATTGTCACTATAGAACAAAATTACGGAATGTTGTCTACTTTTTGTAGTTGTTGAAGTTACAGACTGTAATCGCGGGCACATCTATATTATAAATTATTAAATATGTTGGTATTATTTTGTTTCATTCAAGCATCAAAATATTTGTTTGTGATTTTCGTTTTTCCAATAGAAAGGAAAAATGTTTGTGTTATACTTCTAAATGAACGTCACAATATTGATCACCTGGTCGTCTAAGATGGTGCTTGGTGAGGAGCAGCTAAGATTTTGTCGAATCTGATTTGCTTGATCGTGTCTTTTCTGTTTTGCTCTGTTAGTAGTTTTAGTACGTAGCAATATCAGTATAAATTGACAGGAGGCCGGGTGCATGAAGCCATGAACTATAATGAACCCGCTGGCTTTAAACAAAAAATTGGAAACTTGTGCCAGCTATACTACCGTCAAAGAGTAGTCAACTAAAGTACTAAACGATGATCCGACATCCATATATCATGGATGCTGCATGATCATCATCGTTCGTTAAATATGACGATTGTTATGAAACAAGAGTGCAAAGCAACTCGATTGCCATCTCTGTCCCGGGCAGATCTTCCAATGGGTAGTTGTTAAGGCCGCAGCTCACAAGTACATGGATTCACAAATAAGAAGCTGTCCTGTAGAGTGTGTGATGAGTTTTGGTGGAAATTATAGTGGACTCAGAAAAGCAAGCGTTATTTTGGAACAGAAGGAGTATAATAAATGGTCAACAAGATAAAGAAATTACAAGATTACGATTTCAGAGTAAAGAGTGTGAGATTACAAAAATTTAGTACATTTGTATTAAATAAAAAAAATATATAAATAAAAAGAAAAACTCGCACCATCTACCTATCCTGTTACTTCGTCACCACTTATATTACATTTGGAATTGGATTTTGAATGAGTTGATTTTACAAGAATGATCATGCATAATAAATCTATCTGCAAAATCATAATAATAATAATACTAATAAAAATGTTACAAACAAGTGTTGCCTATGAAAAGGTGATGAACACAATAACTACTCCGAATCACGCTCTCAATTTCATCTTTGCACAAACAATATTTGTTTTAGACATTGTTCTTTCTAGAGCCTTTGTTTGATTTTTGTTTTTTTTTTTCCTATAGTTTGTAAGGTTTAATTTATGAGGTGCAAATTAATAAATTTTTTCATAGGGACACCTTATATTCAAAATTTGAATATACAACGTTAGGCCCAATTGCAAGGACGCCTTAAAGAAGTTTTAAAACGTTACTATTTCTAAATGGGCCGTTGGGCCTCAACCATCTCAAATGTGTGATCAGTCTTTCATCCAGTTCATCCTGACATAAATAAATACGTAATCACGAGGTCCGGTCAGGCGGTAACGAATAGAAAATCACGAGGCGGGCACCTGACCTCGGTGGTAGATTCTCTCTTCCGCCCCCCCTCTCTCTCTCTCTCGAGAAGCATCCATCCGAAGAAATTTCCCTCCTCCCAGACCAAAATTCAACCCTTTTCTTCCCTTCCAGGTTCGCAATATCCACCTTTCCCTTTTTTTCGCAGTGAATCCGAAGCTGTTTGATTTTCATTTGGACTACCTTTATGCGTCTGCGTTGAGGATTTTTTGTTTATGCTTCTCGATGTTACGGATTTGCTGTAGTTTCAGTCTTAGTTATGGAAAGGGTTTTGGGTGGTTTTAGCTCCCTTTGGTGTTGCATTCATCGGAAAAATGGACCATGATTCGACGTTTTGACCTTTGAATGTTTTGAGGAGAGACAAAAAGACTTGTGACAGTGAATTAGGTTTACAGTTTTCTCTCTTTTCTTTTTTAACAGTTCTCCTTCAAAGTTAATATTGTGGGATTTAGGTTGTGTTCTTATATGTAAGTTCTGGGATGGGAAAAGAGGAAGATGCTAGATCAGTCCTGAGGAGAGGAGAGTCGTAATTGGATATGGACCCTGAGATTTTTTTTTATTTTTATTTTTTTCCATTTTTGGTTTTTTGGTTTTCCGTTTTCAGCTATAAGTATATTTATCTTTGTTCAACTATGTAGCATGGATGAGAATTCTTTCTTTTTCCTATTATATGATCTATTCAGAGTTTTTGTTTCCACGTGTGTATGCTAGAATGCGTTTCAATTCCTGCTCTTTGGTGGATCTCTGAGTGCTTTGGCATGCATCTCTGTTAGTGAGGAATGGGGACGAGTTACATAGGCCTTCAATTTGAGATTGACCTACAAGTTTATGCTGGGAGAAGCTTGCTGCATGTTTCCTTTTTTTTTTTTTTAATTTCGTGTGAGCCACAGAAGCTCAAAAGCAATCGCAAACTCGCTAATGCTGATTATTCTGAGTGCTTAGACTACTATGATAAATCTCTGGTACGCATGAGTGTTTGAAATGCTGTGGAAGGTTTTGTTAAAAAATTTGGTTTTTGTAGTCTTGTGATTTAAGTGGATAGAGTATCGGATTGTTGTATGGAACTACAATATTGTCTGAGTTGTAATTTGTATTGTTTTTGGTCCCCTAGTTTCCACAGTATACTCAGTTACTTTCACAGGATATTCATTTTCACATGTACCTTATTTAGGGATCTCATCAACTGTTGACGGTTTTGATTGTTTTCCTTTGAGTGCAGTTTGTAGCATCATCTGAAATGTCTAAGGACTGGAGGATGAATCGATTGGCTCCTAGTCACGCAAGCACAGCTCCACGTGCTTCCCGTTCAAATGATTCTGATGCAAGTAAATTGGAAACTTCTTCTCCACCTTCGGCTGAGAGGGAGTGGGAAGAAACAAGGTGCCCCATATGCATGGACCATCCACACAATGCTGTCTTGCTGATATGCTCTTCTCGTGAAAAGGGTTGCCGACCCTACATGTGTGATACAAGCTACCGACATTCAAATTGTCTTGATCAGTTCCGCAAATCATTTCCAGAGGCGGCAACAGTTGGTCGGACAAATTTTGAATCTGCAGCTAGGATGCGTAACCAGTCAGTAACAGAAAGAGGAAGACATAGGTTGTCAATATCATCCTCAAATAGGTCTCTTAGGGGACAAGGTGTAGACATCGCATGTCCCCTTTGCCGGGGGCAGATCTTGGGATGGACTGTTGACGAGGCTGCTCGCAAGTTTATGAATTCGAAAATAAGAAGCTGCTCTCTAGAATCGTGCGAGTTCACTGGAACTTATGCTGAGCTAAGGAAACATGCTAGAAGTGAACATCCCTCTTTGAGACCATTCGAGGCAGATCCTCAGCGACAATCTGATTGGGCGAGGCTTGAGCGGCAAAGGGACCTAGGGGACACCCTTAGTGCGTACCATGAATTTGACCCTGACACTGGTGATCTTCTGGGTGATGACTACTTAGGCCCACATGATGTTCTCTTGGGTGACTTGACCCCAGTTGATCTTAACATGGGCGTGCAGCCAGAAGGAGATAATTTGTTTGATCTGCTCAGCGGGTTTGATTTGGAGTCTGACGATAGCCTAGGCGAAGGTGCAAGTGCACTGGTAGATTTGAGTTATGAACTCGAGTTTTCCTTTTCTTTCTTGAACGAATTGTCTGTGTGTCCTTGGGACATTGGCAGTCCTGTAAGTAGAAGTAGTAGCAGTAACTTATTTGATATGAGGCGTAGAAGGCCAAGATCAAGGTCAGTTGATCGTAGGGAGACCATAAGCCCACGTCGGAATGCATCTAGGCGATCAAGACATAGGCCATATTATTCACCTCGGCGTGATATGGATGAAGGGCTATGATAGTCGAAGAAGAAGTTGATTCAGCAGAGCATTTTGGTATTATAGTGTTCTTGTTTTTTGGTGATATAATCAAGTCTTTTGGTTACATCAACTGAATGATGAAGAAGAAAGTCTTTAATATGTTGGTAGAAATGAAACTTGCTGTTCTGCTATTTGCAGAAGTTGCGTTTTTTTTCCTTTTTTTTTTTTTGGTCATGTTGCAGAAGTAGTTAGTTAAAGGCTGAGAGCTTGTAGTTTTGCCTTCTGAGGGCGAACAGCAGCATGTTTTATTTGCCTTATTATTTTTGAAAAGGTCTTTGCCTTAGTATTGTTATTATTAATTATTTTTGTTTAAAAACTGTTCTCCAGGTAGTATAACAAAATCACTTATTATAAAAGATGCTTTTAAATATCATGTCTACAATTAGTGCATGTGACCGTAAATATCATGTCCTATGAGAAAAAGAAGAAAGAGTTGACAATTTAGAATAGGGTTAAACAAATCAACCAAGCAATGAATTCATAAGAAATCAACCTAATATTAGTCAATGTCGTAGATTATGTTATATGTAAAATTTTTTTTTTGACTACTTGTAACTTCTAAGCTCACTCAAAATAAATTAAATAATGACATACTCCTTCTGTCCCAAAATTAGTGTATATTTTGAAATTTCACTTTTAGTATAATTTGAATTAGAAATGAAAATCTAGACTGGACAATAATTATGGACGGAAGAAGTATATTAAAAAAAAAAAAAAAAAGCTCAATGGTTCGAGTTATATAAAAGCGTAAAGTCGGCTTTAGCTTTCAATTCATTCAAGTATTAAAAGCGTTCCAGTTTTAAACTCTGGTAAATTCCATTGTCCCTTTCTGGGCTTTTTGATCTCCAGGTAGCCCGGCATCATCGTCCTACCGCCCCGACTCTTGCAGAATCTAATTCAGGTTTTTTCTTCTTCCTTTCTTCCGGCTGCAATTTTCTTCTTCTTCTTCTTCTTCCTCTTTCTTTTTCTTTTTTTTTCTGGGTTGTGATTCTAGTTTGGTTGTGCTACACATTGCCTGTTGTAAGCTCCTTATACACCAAGGCTGTTGATGAGTCTGGCGTATCAGAATCTCAATTTTATTGTCAATATTCATTTTCAATTACCTGCGTAAATGTTGTTTTTTCTTTTTTCTGTTTGTTGTAGGGTTGGGTCGTGCAGTATGCTGGCTCTTTTGTCTCTTTATGATTCGTTTTCCTTGGGTTTAAGAATATCCCATAAGGTGTTTGATAAAATGATCCTAGTGAACGAGATGGGTGTTGGCGTCTAGCTTTGTGTTGATTAATGCTCTCTGTCTTTGACTTTTGTTTTTTGTTACTAGAATTTGAATTCTTTCGCTTCCCTTTTCTTAGTCAGGCTAGCCCGTCTGCATTTTCTCCTTTCTGCACGAATCACACAATTGAGTTAAAGATGAATGAACATACTGTATTTTTTTTTTTCCCCTTGTTCTCCAGATAAACTGTTAACATACCCTTTATGCCTGTTAGATTTAGGTAAAAAGAACTTTTTTCTTTTTTTATGGAACTCCAGTAAAACCTTGCAACTAGTTTAAGTGATTCTGCTGTTCTTCATTGGATTGGAAGAGGGAACAAGTTCTTAGAGGTGCACATTTTGTTTATTAGATAGCTCCAAGATGATGGCAAGGTCACTGGCTGCAGCTATACTTGGGAAGGGCAATGCAGCTTTCGCAGCTGCACGGACAACTACTATTGTAAGAACCTATAACTTTTATTTCTCTAGTGCTTCTTTGCCATTTTATAATCTATACTGCATTCAGCTTACATGAACTTTCTCTTTTCTATTGCATTGAAAGATTGTTTTTTTTGTTTTTTTAATTCAATATTGTGCGTTAATTTAACTTTGCTGCTTCTTGTCCCGGGTAGGCTCCTCCTTTGTTCTTTCAAAGTGGTACCAGATACTCAACGACTGGCTCAAATGATCCAGACACGCATGAAGATTTCAGGCCTACAAGTAAGGTTGAGAGCTCTGGCATTTCACTGAAGGACATTGTTGAACAGGTGAATATCCTTGGTCATTGCCGCCAGTTTATAAATTTGGTATGACATATGATAGAGAATCAATTACAGAAGTTTGTATGGGGACTTTAAAGAGGAAAGTTCTTCTTAGAGCTTGTTGGCTACCTTCTAGATATTATAAAATCCTTTTGTACATTATAAACACACCATGGAATGACATTTGATGTGATAATGCTTTTTGACACAAAAAACAGCTGTGCAAGTGTTGCCATGGGTGATATATCTATTTGACACTAACTTTATATGTTTACTGATATAGGATGTGAAGGAGAACCCTGTGATGATTTACATGAAAGGTGTGCCCGATCTTCCTCAGTGTGGATTCAGCGCTTTGGCAGTAAGAGTGTTGAAAGCTTATGGTAAGTTTACAAAAACTCAACTAGCACTGGAATAGTTTCTGAGAAAAAAAAAATTAGTGATTGGTTTGCTGGTCATGATATCAGTTTGCCGTGATACTTTGGCTTCAAGTGTCTGTCTGGGTTTAGTTTTGAATGGAAACAAATGCTGAGCATCATATGTTAGACTATAAAATTTAATCTCATATTACCTACGTCTGTAAGTTGCATTGAGATTGCTGCTAATTTTTTAATTTGGAAATGCAAGGATTGAAGTTTGTAATGGAAGCCCTAGGAAACAAATGGGAAAGAAGAAGAAATGTGCTAGAAATAGTTAATCGTTATTGTAGTCTGTGTGGTGGTTAATGAGTCAATGTTAGTGGCACTAGTTTTCCCCTTGAAATCTTGGATGACTCTTTTAATATATGAGATGAGATTCTTTTTTTGTTGAGCTTCCTATGAACTGATGTGGCTCTTTCAGATGTACCTATCAGTGCCCGAAATATATTGGAAGATCCGGAGCTTAAGAATGCTGTGAAGAACTTCAGGTCTCTTACTTGGAGCACTTGGATACATATATTTCTTCACAAAGGATGGGCATTTATTTGTTTTCTGATGGACAAAATGTAAAGAAAACCTTGTGATGATCTTCTTATTATTGTTGCAGTCACTGGCCTACATTCCCACAAATATTTATCAATGGGGAGTTCATTGGAGGATCTGATATCATCGTTAATATGCACAAGGTGGTTTATTTTAATATCCATCATCTTTATTTCTTCGCCTGGGACTATACTGAAAGCATTTTTCATCGTACAGACTGGTGAACTTGAAGGAAAGCTGAAAGACGTGGCAGATAAACAGGCCTAAGTGGAATAAGTAGCAATTCCGAAGATCGAAACATTCTCTCCGGTGATTATTGAGGACTGCTTATATAGTTTTGAGTATGATACGGTTTATATAACTTCTGCAGGAAATTGCCTCTACATAAATAGTCACCTCCTTGTTAAGGTTGCTTTCAGGAGATGTAATGAGTCAGCTTTATGGAAATGTTTGACCGTAAGACTAATAGTTCTTGAAGGGGATGAAAATTTTGTTATTTGAGCTTGATGATACTGTTTACGGTTATCTTCCTGAGTGTTGAAAATGAAATGGTTCTGGCAAGAACATATTAACTTTTGAAATTCCTGTTGTTTGGGGTGCAGTTCCCTTTTGAGTTGTCCCTCCATTCCAAAATTATTGTTCAATTTGGATTTTTAGTTTTCGTGCTATTATTTTCTAGTTTGGATTTTCATCTTTAGTTCAAATGTAAACTGGACAATAATTTAGAGAGAGGAGTACAATATTTGTCCGAATTGTCTGACTTAAAATTGGTTTTAAAATCTGCGAAGCAGTTGCACCAAAATTATTGTTCAATTTGGATTTTTAGTTTTCGTGCTATTATTTTCTAGTTTGGATTTTCATCTTTAGTTCAAATGTAAACTGGACAATAATTTAGAGAGAGGAGTACAATATTTGTCCGAATTGTCTGACTTAAAATTGGTTTTAAAATCTGTGAAGCAGTTGCAAGTAGGAAATGTGACGTTTATGGAATAAAACAAGAACCCTTTGATTGCTTTCAAGAATATACCTCCAATCAGCTTCTACAGTGAATTGCAAGTGAAAGTACAAAATTCAGGCTGCAGCACAACCTTTGTTGGTCAACAAATAATGTAAATGTAAGTACTTTGCTACAGAACAACACATTTCATTAGACCAAAGGTGAAAGAGGAGCTTATCATTCTACATCATTCTGTATGCAATACAAAGCAATTGAGCTATTTCCCTTCTTAAAGACTATTCCATTATCTCCCAAGTGTCCCATATACTAAGCGTCCAAAACTCCACAAGTTAGCCTTACATTGCTTCAATCAGCCAAATGAAAGCCCCCAAGATCATCTCTTGCTACTCACTAGACAGAAATATCGAAGTGTGTTTTCATTCGATGAGCACATATCCGCCAAGTCCTGATGTAGTCTAGTGATTGCTTTCTGCAAGGACTTGAGAGCAGGCAGCAAATTTCTGTTATTCTGGTGGATAGAGGGACCATGGACCTTGCAGAGCTCCTAAGAAACAACAAAAAGATAAACACAAAGCTCCATCAATGAGCATATTCTAAATCCTTTCACGCAGGATACTGGGAAACGATGAAAAATGCAGTTTAGCAGTTGCACCTGACACCACCGAAGAATGAACTCCACGTGTGGGCAGTTCTCTGAAAGATCTGACAATGTCTCAAACAACCTCTGTATATATATGAAAGGTACAGATGAGGCAACGGATGATATCTCGGCTGGATTGACGGAAAGGACACACTTCTTAATCAGGACATCTTCATTCAAACGCAAACTGAGTATCAGTGCCCGTTTAGGTTGATTCTCATCTAGTGCAGCATTGACAGCCTGAACATCATCACCAAAGCAAACCATCAGAAAGAAAAGCCAGAGGACAGACAAGAATCTATTACTTCTATCACCACAAAAGAACAGTGATATTTCAGAGTCCTTACTTCAGGTGTAACATCTATGTCAAGGTCTGTGGGATCAAATATAAAAGAATCATCCATGCTGTAAATTAAAACTCCTTCAGTTGTTGCAGCAGCCCAAGTTCGACCAGTTGGGGCAATCCTCAGACATTTTGTTCGAATAACAGGCCTCCCACGGTTAGGCATTGAACCGGGCAGATCATATGCCAACTTTCCTTGTGTTTGCCTTTCAACACCTTCCTCTGCATCACTGTTATCATCATCGATAAGATCTATTGGACCAGCTTCAGTCATATTCTTTGAGTTTAAGAAATCAAGCACACCGTCTAAGGAAAGATTGTGGGTTATCTGGAACCTGCGTAGTAATACCTGCAAAAATTCGCAAGACATACTCCAGGAATTAAGGTTAAAGACAAGAAGAGCTATACCAGCAATAAACCTTCACAAACGAAAAATGCACGCTACATCACATATTTTTACCAATGTAAAACTAACCTGGTCTGCAATGTCGTACATACAAATGTATTTACTATTTCCACCAGCCAATATATAGCTCCCGTCAGCAGAATAGCATAAGGTGGTAAAATACTTGCCAATAGTTGAATTAGCAGCTGATCTGCGATCAGTCATTAGACGCCCACCTGCAATATCTCTACGGCCCTCAATTGTATGCATTAGTAGGCCTTCAAATGGATCCCAGAAATGGATGGATCCATCTAGAGTACTACATGCCAACTGTTTTCCATCTGGCCGATAGACAACAGTGAGGACATCATGTGTATGCGCAAATGTCTCCACTGCACCTTTTCCCTCAAAAACATCCCACAAGCGAACAGTTTTGTCCCATGATGAGGAGGATAAGACGCCCTAGAGGGTAAACAGAAACAGTCGGATTGATTTCACAAGAAAAACAAGCATTTCACCGCTCAGAATCTCCGTTGCAAACAACCACCAGAGGGTTAAATTGATACAAAAGGATTCTCATAAACTACTCACCGTAGTAGGGGAAAACATCAACCCATGAACTGGACCTTCATGACCACTGAGAACATCAAGCAACCTGCCTGTCTTCATCGACCAAACATAAATCTATACCAGAAGATATAAAGGCTTTGTCAATACCAAATAAAAAGGAAATATACATTTTCAAACCACTGCAATAAATTATCAGACCTCAAATGAATCAAGAGTTCCAGCACAAATAACTTCACCGCTCTGATCAGCCGCTAAAGATACAAACTGCTTAGAAGTAGGGGTTGTGAATGTTCTGAAGTTTCGATATCGAAAGAAATCCAATGCACGAACAGTACCATCAAGGGAAGCACTTAAAAGGCAGTGGTTGTTAGCCATGAAATGTAGGGCAGTAACTGCATCGGTGTGGACAGAAGATGTGTAAAAACAGAAGCCCATTGAAACATTCCATACCTGTAAGGCACAGAATCAAAGCTTAGTACAAGAGGCAAAATAATGGCATAGGTGATCCGGCACTCTTAGATGTCACCCAACACACTAGGAAGGAACATGAGAATCAAAAAGTCAAAACAAAGCAAAAAACCTGAAGATGCGGTACTTGAGCCGTATCTAATAGTAAGATCAAGTCAAAAGATTTTAACTCCAAATCAAGGAAGTGAATGAAGTACATATGCAGAGGATAGAACACAATTTCCTTTTCTTTTCTGCTTTTAAAGATAGGGTGCTCAATAAACGTGGAAAAGAGAGGGTGTTTAATAAATGTGGAAAATATCATCAAACAGAAAAGAACGCAAGAGACTCCTAAGTTTTGCTAACAAAAAATAGGCCAATTTGGACAAGGAAAAGAAAGCCACCTTTATAATCAAAGAAACCAGATTAGATCCCACATACCTTGACTTTATGATCATCAGCCCCAGTAGCCAAGAACTGTGAATCAGGTGAATATGCTATGCAGTTCACATCAAAGTAATGACCCTGCTGCTTTAGGATGTAAGTATCAGATTCAAACGCCCAAACAGACAACTGACTAAGTTTTGCACATCCAAAAACCAACCAATCCCCACGGTCATTAAAAATGGCAGTTGTAATCTTCTCCCTTGATATCGATAACATTTGTGAACACACAAAATTAGGCAGCTGATAAAGCCCAAAAACTCCATTCGAGAAAGCCACTAACAGCATATCTCGTCCCTGGTGATAATCACAAGCAGTTAGCTTCGCTGGTGCTTGCATAAAATAATCCTTCTTTAACAATTCCCATTTCAGGTTATCCAGCAAAACTTCATTTCCTTCACCCAAAATTTCATCTTTGCCATCAAAATCCTTCCTTTTCTTGAGCATGGTCTGAGTGATGTCACCTTCTCCATTGGGTTCTACTCCTTGATCCGGAGTGCCTGGAGATTCTGGCTCTGAATTATGCAGTTGGTCTCCAATAATGTTATTATAATCCCCACTGTAGCCCCACCTTAAAAGTGCCCCATCACGTGACACGGTGTAAACATTTGTGACTTTCTTTGTTCTGTGATCAATTCCAAAAAAACAACCAACAATTGTATCTCTATGCCCCAGAAACTTGAATGTTTTACGGTTATCTTTCCGCTTCTTCATGGAAAACAACCTAACAGCCAAGTCTTTGGAGCCAACAAGAATGTAATTGGAGTCGGGGCTCCATTCAAGTGCAGTAATTTTATCATTACAGTCAGCAAATGTCCTAATCAACTCAAACGGGAAAAATTCCTTTCTAAACCCAGGGGAGCGCCATATTTGGAGGAGCTTACCAGCAGCAACGGCGATAAACTTGCCGTCGGGGCTGAATTTGGCGGTAGCGACGGGGTGTTTGAAGCTGATCCTGTGGAGCACCACGCGGCGGCGCAGGTTGATGAAGAGGCAGCGGTTGTTGTCGTCGATGGCGAGGAGAAAGACGCCATCCGGCGAGGCGGCGAGGCGGCGGATATTGGCGGAGGTTTGGCACGGGAGCGTGACGGTTTCGGACCTTTTGAGGTCGGTAACGGAGACCCGGTTACCGACGGGCGAAACCAGATTATCATCCACCATGACGGCATTTCCGCCTCTGTATGGGGCTCCGAGAAGGTTATGGAACCTGTAATTCATGGCGTTTGTGGGAGTGGGATAGTGAGAGAAAAAAAATGCCCAAATTTCAGAAGGCTCAGCTGAACCGCCTCTTTTAGGGTTTTGCTTCCTTTGCTTAAACCCTATGGAAGAAGGGAAGGGAGGGAGTTTCAAAAATTGTTTTAATTTTATTGAATTATTGACCTCCGACTCGGATTAATTCAGAAACTCTTTTTTCCTGTTTTCTTTCGGGGTACAAATAAGCTTCTCTTTTCCTTTTTCCTTTTAATTCACAAAGTATAACATTTTACTTTACTTTTAGTACAATTGAACTAGATATGACAATCTAAATTAGACAATAATTATAGGACGGAATAAATATTTTTTATAAGATACATTGTACATGTATAGACTGAGGGGTTTTTTTTTTTTTTTCTTTCCCGGGTAGTTCATAATTTTGAATCTTTGATGAAAAAAATTAATAAAAATTTTTAATGGAAATGACTAGGAATCTACCTTTTCTTATTTTAATGTCACAACGGTTGTGACTTATCAAAAAAGAACTATGAGAGAAAATTAGATACTCTTACCGTTCTGAAATAATTGTCTATTTTTCAATAATTTATTTAAAATTTTAATTTCACTACAAATTATAATAAAAATAAAAATTCAAACTCGAAAATTATTTTGAGACAGAAAATTAATTTTATTGTTCTATATTAACCCTGACGGTTCTACACAACCAGATTATTATATTAAAAGTAAAATTTCTTAAAGTCCATCACATGAGAGAAACTTGAAAGACAGTGCTTGTTTGGACGTCAATTTACATTTTATTTTGCCACTTAAAAGTGGAAAGTGTTTCAAATTGAAAACTAAATGGGAAATATAAATGTTGTTTGAATGTTGGTTTTGAAAAAAAGTATTTTGAACTACATTTTAAAATATCAAGTACAAGTCATCACTAAACAATTAAATACTGTCAATTATAGTCACTGCAAAAAAGAACTTTTCCAAAAATAATCACTCAACAGCGAAATCGTGCTAAATTTGTCACTGAACTATTTGTAGTTCTAAAATATTCATTACACTAATAAAAATTGTTTCAAGTTGGAATTTGAAATGTAAATCAGAAAGTTATTTGAATGATATGTTTTTTACATTGAGTTTTGTGTTTAAGAGGTAAAATAAGTTAAAATATAAAATGAGTGAACAAACAAACAAAGCCAAGACAATGTGGCAGGAGTTGACGGAGAATTGAGGATAATATGCACAGTAGTTTTTAGTAAATAATATAGAATTACAGAGAAATAATACATATTGACCTTAACAACAAACACTCGAGCTAGGGGGTAAATCAACCACCACAAAAAAACTTTTATTTCACAGAACAAAGAAAGCCAAAACCCCTGGGATGATTGACTAAATTCCTATAATCCATTCCACTCTCAAACATACCATTCAGATGATCTCTACTATCTATATACTCTATCTCATCTCCGTAACCTTAAAAACTCTTCTTCCCATGTTATTGCTTCGCCGCGAATCCCCTTAACAAAGGGTGATCAAGATTGTGCCCGCTGTTAGCTCTTATCGCGAACCCTCAAGCCCCAGTCGTGCATTTAACCAATGGCAGACCTCATCCATTTCCTTAGGCACGGTGTAGTGACCAAGCCTGCAGAATCATGTAAAATTGTTCAGCCACTGGTCAAACCAGCATTCATTCATATAATAAGTGAGCTCGGTGATGAAAAAGGCAGATACCCGTCATAGCTTTTGAATGTGAGGCATCGAAAGCCAGCTGAGCTCAGGACTTGGATTGACTTTTCGCCATATTTGTGAGGGACAACTTCATCACCTAAAACAGAAGAAAGCATGTCTATTGAAATCAAAGTTCAATGTTTCATATGACAACAAAGGGCGAAGGCGAATTAAGTGCCTTATTGCTTTTGGGAGCCAATTTTTTACTTGGTTCCTACTGCACAAGGGTAAAACAGCATGCAAGAGAAGACACCATCCATGACATTCGGAGGGTGTTTAGCAAATTTAATATGGTATACAATTATAACCCCATCCCGTGCAAAGAAGGAACTTCACATTTAGCAGATATGTTCAGGTTATAAAGTACATACACATGCCATGACAAAGCATAATGGGCAAAGATGCAGCCCGTCTAGCAGCCTCGTGTGATCCTTCGATCCTATGCCTCAAGTTCCTGAACAGTGTTAAATATGAACAAGTAGATAAGGAATTCAGCACCATAAACATGCACCTTTTTACCACAATTGCAAACATGAAACAATCTACATTGAGCCTGTAGAACAACTCAAGTGAAATGATTTGGTACAATGAAAAAGTTCCAATCAACTGAATCAGTTGATTGTGGTGATCTTTAATTGGAAATCATCAGGAAAACTCTTCTCATACTGCAATTATCATCGCACTAGTTCCCTGTACAGATTTCACATATGTTGGGCTGAGGTTTGTTTGGGAATCGACTTTTTTGGGACTATAGTTCAGCACTTACTATCCATTAGATGTCATGCATATAAACTGGAAATAGAAGTAAGAATTGTTTGTATATTACTTGAGCAGGGACTAGATGTCATACCTGGAAGCGGGTAGCCAGCCACTTAAACCAACAATAGCCCTCAAGTTGACAGGGTAAGGGTTTCCATTTCCATATTTTCCTTGTGCAAAGCAAGCAGCTGAGTAGAGGGCAGTGGCGGCGCCCATACTGAAGCCTCCGATACCAAGTTTAACTGTACCCCAAAAGAAGGAAAAGCTTACTATTTCACATTCACAGAAAAGACACTAACATAAAGTGAATTCCATAACAATGTCAACAAACCTATGCATAGTACACCAACAAGAACAGATAAGAGCCTTTATTCTACCGTGGGGTCTCCAGAATTTATTTTTTTAAAAAAAAGATGTATAGTAGTTATGGGAAATGGAAGCGTTCCATCAAGGATAAAGAGACCCCCCTTTTATAAAGATTAACTGTATTTGAGAGGCAAGAGCAGACAACTTAAAGGTCCTTTTTCGTTGTGGTGAGGGAAACTAGATTCTTAAGTTAGCAACCTACTAAGATGCCAAAACAACTTAGCAACTGCAAGGAAAAACAGGTGAGATCCATAACATTACTTGTGATTGCAGAGTAACCTTCTAATTAAACTTCAATCAGCATGGAGTTGCATAATGATCGAGTTCGATAAGCTACACACACATATTTGTACAATATCATGTCGACAGAAAAAGAAAACGCATGCACACTTTGATATAATCTCATGCAACTATTACCATCAGCAGGCTCTGTTGATAGTAAGTTTGCTACATGTGCTACAGAAGCATCCAAGCTTTCAAAGTCATCTGGACCATCTTCTGAAAGTTCTCCAACATCAAACCCTGGTAGAGGACCAAAATCCATCAGATGACAGTTTATATTAGTTATTGAATCTAAGTTTTAGGGTATTGTCTTACAAGCAGTGCAAAGAAATCCACCAAGTAATGCCACCGGACGAGTAGGAGCAGTAGGGCATATCCACTTAATCTGACAAAATCAACTCAAACTATTAGTGCTCAGATTGTAAGAAGCAAAGAAGCTGTTGAGAGTTGAAAGCTCAGAAGTATTACATTGGGTAGTGGAAGGCTCTCCAGGAGCTGGGACCAGCTGCAGGGGGAAAAACACCAACATTAAGGGGCAGTTTATTCCATCCATGCATGAAAGTTTGATTATGGTCACAGATGTGAGGATATTAAAACTTCTTAGAGAAGTGAAATCGCAAAAAAAATTTAAAGAACAATTCTTTCTATGCCATGCATTTTCTGATTTTTGCTGAGGCTTTGGTAATCTGGGAACAAGTCAAAGGTCTATACCTTTGTTGACTATGAATATCCAGTGCATAAGTTTCTCTATTAGCTAATTTGGCAGAAGCGCCATTTTGTGAGTGGTCCCAAATGACAATGCAAGACATATTTTACAGCCTCCAAGAACATATCAAAATAAAACAAGACATCAACTTGACACCAAAAAAAAGTTTCAATTTGTTCTATTGTTCCATGGAGCAGCGGCGCCCCACTTTTTCCCATCCACTCTACCAAAGTAATTAAAAGTGATCCAAAGTATAAACGTTAAAACACTGCCCCTTCTGTAGTAGTAAGGTAAGAATCTTCACAATTTTTAGTTCAAAAGCAGACATCAATATCTTGTAAGCATAATATGTCAAGATTTTGACATTCTCTAAACCAGTTTTCTTCATTTCTTTCAAAAAGAAAAATCAGTATATTCCAGGAAATCAAGTGAAATGACTAGCATGGAAATTTCATATTATTTAGGAAAACCAAATCAATTCATACAAATACTACGCTGAAATTTCAATGTGCATTTGAAGATTATTCCAAAACTGGAAAAGCATCAAGTTTTTTGACCAACAGATCACAACAGACGTTTCTGTTTCTATGAATGCAGAAGAGTTTTCAACAGGATGCTTGCTCTAATAATACCACAGGACGTGTCAAGAACAGGAATGACATATCATCAAATCTTCTAGGTCATGCTTTACACTCTCTGTAACCAGAAAGTACAATAAACTAATGTCCAAAAAGTTCCACGACAAAATGATAAGAGAAATGATATTCTACCTGGAGCCATTATCACCAAGGCCATGCAGCCAAACAATTGTAGCTTGGTGCTTCCCTTTAGGCCTCACCACATACGTCCTCCCAAATTCACAAGTCCTCCTTGCTGTTCGGCTACCTATAGTTATCCAACCAAATTAACTAGTATGCTACATATAGGATTACAGCTAGCTAGGAAAGAAAAATCAATCATGGTAGTGTCCATCAAAGCAAACTCAATGAAAAATCAGTTAAGTGTCCTCTATTCGTCATTTACAAAATGAGTACAATGATTACGCATAAAGCTGTCCTTAAATCGTGCCAAGAGAAATAGAGAAAACAAAAAATGTAGATACTAACCAGAGCCCATTGAAGCATTATTGTAACTCATCTTGACAACCGCAAAACGGAAAGACAGTCTCCAATACTCAAGACTGCTTAAAATGGTAAGATTTATAAGAAGCTGAGAAATGGTGGTAAGTGCTCTGAGGAACACCAGAAATTGGTAGTCTCTATTTATAAGCAAAAATAACTAGTGGTAGGTTGATGAATGGAATAAGAACAGATGAATATGCATCGTTAACACCAAGTATGTGAGAAACAGCTGCACATTGTTCCTAAAACCGCCTATAAACTGAAAAAGATGGAAAGAGCATCCATGAAAAGGAAAGAGGAGAGGTAAAGACAAGGATCTTTTGATTGAGCAGTGAGAAGGGAATCAAAAAAAACACAGAGCACATTCATCCATCCTTACATTCCCCCCAGAGACTCACAAAAACACCCAGCTCAAAAATGGAGGGCTCTAGATTTACTACAGCACATAGAGGAGAATCTTATGCTTGTGCGCAGTGTCCATATATATAAAGTAAACCCACGACTGAAAACTCAAGAATATTTCTGAAAAAACAACAAAGAATAAAACCAATTTGGTAAAAAGGAAATATCTTTCTCTAATCATTTATTTTATGCAATTTCCCCCCCTGATGATTGATAGATACCCATTATCTTCAAAGTGAAGTTCAACTGTCCATTTTAACATCATTGTGATACAGCACAAATCTGGACAATAATGGGAATAATCAACCTATTACAAAAAAAGGGCTCATATCACTTGCAGCAAATTAGCACTAATTAAACTTTCTGGGCCACATTTAATTCTTTCCCCCCCTCCCTCATGCATGTGGTACTGATACTGATAATGATAGTAAGGATTTTTAAGAAAAACAAATAAACCTGGAGTTCTGGTGGGGTGGAAGGGACAACATCGGAAAAAGCATAAGGACTTTTTATCATCTGCACTTTTCTCTGCTGCTTGCCACTTGCGCTTTCCTTTGGTAATGTGTTACTACCACCAGCAGTAATTCTTTTTCTTTCAAAGTCTTTGCACACATTCATTACATTCTCTCAATCATTTTTGTTTTTTTGTATGGTTTTTTACAGCATACACTCATGAAATGTAAGACTTTTCAGTTCATTCCACATCATAAAGTTAAGTCCATAAGTTGGACCGCCCACCGAACGATCCCTTGATTTCACCTTTCACCCTCTCTGCATTCCTGTTCAAATTTGACCTTTAAACTAATCCCTTCAAACTTAAACAAGCAACTGACATTTCTACAACATTCTTCAGCAAAATCCCTTCAAATGTAATCAATAAAGCTTCATAATGCGCAAGAGAGAATTCTCAAAATTACATCTAATGATTTGGGATTTTGCTTTTACATCTAAAGATGATTCCTTTTTCCCATTTCTTTATGTATCAAGTGAAAAATTTTCAATCACTTGTTTGCTATAGTTGTTATGAACTCTGTAATTGCAGCAGAAACGCCGCACCATCTGATAGGTTCATGACGCAGACCCGATCAGGGGTGGTCCATGGGAAATGGATCTTCTGGCCCTTAAATGGCCCACTATTTTTTCTAGTGACTTGGGCCCATTAGATGTTATTGAGAAATTATTTTATGTAGAGAAGATGACCTACCTCATGTATGAATTTCATTTTTTTTAGAATTTTCTACTCAAAGGGTGCATTGTTTAATTTAATGTTTAGCGTTATTTCTTTTTTGTATTAAACTTCACCAAAAAAAAAAAAAATGGTTTTCCTTTTTACACGATCCCTTCCTTCTTGAGAAATATTTGATAAGAACCTTATACAACCATAATTCTTGATGTTTCCCACTAAGCATTTGTTCATATAGTTCATAATCAATTTTCCTTGTAAAACTTTTTGAGGAGATTTTCTCTCTTAATTGTTATCAATCATATATCACCATTTAATGATAAAATGTTATTAGCATAAAAATTTATAGATTTTACGTTGTATTTCGATAGGATAATGATTCGTACAGGGAAAAAATAACAAGAAAAAATGACAAGAAATTAATCATAACTATTCATTTTTAACACTTTTTATTTAAGGTTTAAATATTTAAAGTTAGAGCATAATTTAAATGATTGACAACTCATTCCTTGTACTAGTAAATATAGTTCTGTTCTAACGCGATCGATGCACAATAAGTTGAAAGTTTACTGCACATGATTTGATTAAAGTATATGTGTAAAGAAGATCCCCCATGAATGACAAAATCACAATCCATCACTAACTCTAAGTTTTCTTTTTGTTTAATTATGAACTAGTTGACTTGAAATTTGCAATCATGATGACATGTCCCATTACCATTGGACCAATCAGGAAAATGAGCATCTCCCCCTTTCCCATTTTCCATCCTCTATGGGAAGTGATTGTGTTATCTTTTTAGTATGTCAACTCCCATTATATTAATAAGTACAACAGAAAGAGGAATCCATGACTGTTTAATGTTATTGTTATTCCTCCTCAAGTTTCTGTTTAATATATATATCTCTCTCTCTCTAGAGACAATATTTATGCTGTTACCACTAACTTTTGGGAGAAGAGATTAAAAACAAATTTTCAAGTTCTTACTACTTGTCAATGATTAAAAATTTGAAAAATCTTTGCACTGAGAGGATCAAAATGCTATCATTCCCTAATGAGGAACTGCCTTTCAACACCTAAATGATAGCTTCCTTTTAAATTTTTTTGCCATTATTTGATGCGTGTGTGCTCTACAAGGGATAAGTTTTAACCTTATCAGCCAAAATTCTTATATGATTTGATATCTCACTCCCTTCCACAGATTGAGCAAAGAATAAATCTCTAATCTAATATTTTGTGGGCAACAGCTGATCAGCAATTTATAACTCTACGCTTTGGCAATATTTTAGACCCTATATAGATAGCTAAAAATGTGGTAGTGTACAAGTCCTTTTACAATATTCTTATATGCCTTGTGATCATGCAGTAAAAATCGATGGAGGAGGAGCATGGAATAATGATTTTGTATGTTTTGTAGTGATTTTTGTGGAGAGGGTTTGTTGCCCCGTCCAATCTCTTTGAAATTTCTTCCCCAGATATTCTTTGGGGCAAAGGCATAGCCTTCTAGCTTGCATGCAAGCTGTAATGTGACTATGCGAGTGATTAAAAAGTTGCGAGGACCAGATGGAAATATGTTTCACTAGGATAACGAAATTAAAGTTAACATACTTAAGTTCCAATTCTGCATGAGACATTTCGTTTTACATTCGGATTTAATTGATTGGAGTAAAGAATAAAGAATATTAAGTACTCCATCTGTTTCAAAATTATTGTGTAGTTTGAGATTTCACTTTTAGTATAATTTAAACAAGAAATGAAAACTCAAACTGGACAATAATTATGGGACGGAAGGAGTAGAAAATAGTGATATCGATAGTTACATATAAGATTCTTGTGTTAGAACGGAATGAAAAGGGACGTGAAATTTCCACGCGGCTGGAGGAGGTGTTCTTGTAGGGAGCATCTCCGTGGAAACATTTTGGCTGGCGTTCTAGAAATTCCTAGCCAACATTTTCGCGTTAAAATTACAACTTTTTCCCCAAGGCAAAAAAATAAAAATAAAAAATTCCATGCAGAAAACCTCGAAAAGCCAGCTTCCAAAATATGAAAACAACACTTTTTGCCCTTAATTCTCTCCTTTCCCCCACTACTTTCAGTGCGAAGCAATGGAGATTGGAGAATCAATCCAAGTCTTACCTTTTGGAACCTTTTCTTCATTGTCATCCATTTTCTAGCATAAAAACTACGGTACATATTTACCGATTGTGTTTGCTTCTTCATAAGTTTATTAATTGTTCCTCAAACAAAGTCCCACGGACGCTTTGGACTTGGGAGTCGCTGTCGAGGCTCAATTCCAAAAGGAGAAATTGCAACAATTGGGAAACTGGAAAAAAAAAAAAAAGGAGAATTTTTCTTGATGAGCGAGTTTGATTGATTTAGACGTTGATAACTCTAAAGAGATTGAGGCCTTGAAGCAAAAGCTACGGCTGAATTGATGGCAATTTTTTATTTTGAACTCTCCAAATCTACCTTCTGATGAAAGAAGCGCGTCTTTGTTTTGGCTTTGGCATTTGGCAGAGCGCTATTGAACCGATTGTTTTCATTGCTTTTTACCCATTCAGGAAGTAGAGCCTTGTTACCTCTTCGTTACGGGATATCAACTGTGATGTTTGTCTAATCCCAACTATTAGAGAGGATAGAATGTTGTGTTAAGAGTTAAAAGAATGATTTTGGGTTGTACCCGAAAAAAACAAAAAGACTTTGGGATCTAAAATTTGCCGTGGATTGTCTAGCACCTTTTTAAATTCGACAATATTTTTCAGTTTATTCTTTCCTAGGGATGTGGTTGTTGCTAAATTAACGTTTATCGTTTAAACATTTTTTTTTTTACATTTTTTTTTAATATTACACAGTGTCCACCGACGACAACAGTGACTAATCCTCTCACTTATTTTTTTATCCCTCTCACTTATTTTTTTTTTCATCTCTTATTATTTTATTTATTTTTTCATATTGCAAGGTTTCCACCGTCGACAACAATGACTAATCCCCTCGCTTATTTTTTATCCCCCTCACTTTTTTTTTTCCATATTACAAGGTGTCCACCGTCAACAATAATGACTTATCTCCTTCGCTCATTATAGACACCTCGATGGATGACTAATCCCCTCGCTTATTTTTTATCCCCTTCACTTTTTTTTTCCATATTACAAGGTGTCGACCGTCAACAACAATGACTTATCCCTTACCTTATTATAGACACTGAGGGAACTGATCAAATGATTTAGGGCCAAAGGATTACTATCGACAAAGAAAAGAAATGGAATGAATGGATGTTTCCCAGTTTTCAAGTTTCAACTAAATAACTTTGAATACAGGGCCTCAGAGTTCAAAACCTCTTGGGCCAGCAACTCGACACATCGCATAAGCAATTGCCAGTTGGGCCAATTTCCGAGGCTACCCAATCTCACAAGCGACACGACAGTTGGTAATTTTTCATTTCTTCATTTCTCAATTTGCCCTAATTAACAGAAGAAACCGGGGAGAAAAAAAAGAAACAAATCCTGCAAAATTGAGGTTACATACACTCGGAAGAGATTGTTCATCAATCAATTGTAGCCATTAATTATTTGGTTATGCACTAAAGCAACTCATAAGTTCCGTAATTTTCTTGGATGACCATCCCATGCTTACAAAAAGTGTAAAGATTTATCCGACTTAAATGCTGAATCAAACTTCAGAAGAACATATCCTTCAAAAATGAACAAAAGAAACATATTTTGAGTCATCAAGCTGCTGAACAAACTAGATATCTTCATTTTCTCGCTAGATATTATTCCAGCAGATGCAGGATCCCATGTCATTAGTGATGCTCATCATCTGAATGCCCATCAGGGTCTCCTCCATCGCCAACTACTTCCAACTGTGTAAAAATTATTTAACAGAATTAAACACAATCATCAGCCTACTGAAATATATGCCTCTAACCTAAGTCTGCCATAGAGTGAACATGACGACAGAAGCTAAACAATCTAGGCATTATAAGAACAACAATGTAAGAGTAGAAAATATAGGAACTAAGTAATTGGGCACATAACCACTAAGGATGCAACCGTATTTCCCTACAGGCGATTCTGGATGTTTCAAGAATAAACAGTTGATAAAACTTGTTTAACAGGCTTCTCAATCTATTTAACTATATCCAAACATGAACCCCATAATCCAGATACGTGCTATTAATTATCTAACACATGCATTGGCTTCAAAGTCAATGCCAAGAAAAACAAGAATGCCACCAAAAAAAGGAGGTCTACAAGGGTGCAGGTAGGAGACGATAGTCTCCACCAGGATGAAAGAATCTAGGACTTGAATGAAAATCAAAAAATTAGCAAGGACTGAGAGAATAAGACCATTTACATCTAGTACTCACCACAAAATACTGCGAGCACACTGGACATTCATGCGGCTTATCCTTCTCTAACCAGAACCAAACCACATCGTGTTCATCCTCTGCCAACAGAAAATGCAAATCAAAGGTCCCCGAAAGAAAAAATTAACAAACAAAACCAGTTAAACTAGATTCTTTTTCTGTTCATTTCATGACACATAAACGAAGAAGATCACAGCAAACTTACCGCCTTCGCCTCCTGGGCATCCAACAATTCTTTTGTTGAAGACGGATTGAATGACAGCAGGTGATTCCTGCAAGAAAGCCAATAATTAGAAAGTGAATAGGACATGACAGAAGCAAGCATCAGATTAAATACCATACAGCCAAGAGCAACATAACGCAAGTCACAGAAGATAGATGTCTGGAAAAAAGCATCTTATTGTTAACCAGAATCCAACAAGGAAGAATGCTCAGGATAGGAAAATAGTGAAAGCGGCATGGGGCAACCACTATGAATTCCCTTTCCTAGGTTCATCAAGTTCATATGCTCATGTGATTCCATTTCTCATTCTTTTTCTGTTAAGGAAAACTTTGATAAAGTTTTACAGGGATTCCTGTAACCTTGTAGTAACCCATCATTTGAGGAATAGCAAGACAACAAGCTTGGTAAAGACCTAATAATTACAAATTGAAAGTTTAAAAGAACAGAAATTAAACTGAGAAACCAACAAACTATGGGCTCTCAGAATCAGGTAGTGAATATCAACTAGATACATGAAATTCCCTCTCTAATATCCACCAATTAGTGAGTCAGCAACTAAGTTCTAGTGCCATCTTTTTGCTTTTTTGCTAGCAGTATTGAATGTATACAAAGATGAAACTCAGATAAGACTATTTGTTGGTTGCTAAAAGAAAAGGAATTCAACAGCCAACTTCAAGCAACAGAATGCTATTCACAACCCTCACTCAAAAAACCAAATCATAGTATATAAAACCAAATCAAGCACGATGACACTGACTCAAAAAACTGATAAGCATTTCATCATATTAGTTATTTGCAACCCTCACTCCCTTCTAATCACAAATGCATAAATCATAGTTACTTAAAAAGGCAATCATGAGAATTTCATACCATATCAAATAGTCTAAAGAGTACAGGTTTTGATAAAATAATGTACATGTAATAGCAGTTCAGTAATTAAACAGCACATCGCAAACCAGTGCTCTGATGGGCAGGTAATAACAATAGAAACATTTAGGGATTACTGCCTCAAATAGCATAAGAAATAGACTGATAGCTGAAAATCAGACTGACCTTTGTGCCAAATGGACCAACAGGATAGTTAATGGCCAGAATATCCTTTCCCTGACATTTGACAAAAAGCAAAGCAAATGAATACTATCAATCTTCAACGGCAAATGCGGTCAATTTATCACTCTTAACAAGCTAAAATAAAATTCTAAAACCTAATAGAAAACCACCAAACAGTAATAATCGTAATCAGAAATGTGGAAAAGGAACTCACTTCGAGCTCAGCTTCAAGCTCTTCACGCTCATGACCAGTGGCAATTGGCATTACATCCTCAACCCTCTTTTTTGTACCCACATTTACTGTTGGAAAAATCAGGGGAAAAAAATATTAAACAATTCTCTCTATTTAATCACAATCTCGACGAGATTAAGACACGGAGATGGACAAATCTCATTCGCAGCAGGAGTAGAAGATCCAATTATAAGGAAATACGAGAACAGAAAAAGGGGGGGAAAAATAACAACTGCAGCTTGGATAAAGAAGCTACCAGATTCAGTGGAGAAGTGGCTGCAGAAGACGGCGGCGGCAGGACGAGATACGCCGGCGGCGGAGAAAGAATGAGGCTTAGGAGCCGCCGATCGTAGATTCGCGAGAGCCTTGAGCTGCGAAGAGGCGAGTCTCCTCCACATGATTGGAGTAACAGAAATCTGTTGTCTCTCTCCTAGGGTTTTACGCCGATGATGTGATGATCTCAGGTCGCCCCCAACTAAATTAGCCGGGCAAAGGATTTGAGAGAGCCGACGAGGTTTTTTTTTTTTTGTTCCTTTTCGCTACAAAACACTGTCTCTGTTTCTCTCTCTACGGAGGAACTGAAAGACGGCCAAAAACGATTCTGGGAGGAGAAAAGAGAAATGAGGGTGGGAAGCGGACGAGGCCCAAAAAGGGTGGAGGCTGCGCTACTGTCCACTGGGCTTTTGGGGTTTGACTCGCTCACCCGTGCCACATATTTTTAGACTCGTGAGGGTTTCTTTGTGCCATGTGTTTTGTTTTCGTTTCCATTTTTGTTGTTTTTTTTTCTTTTTACTCTCATTTTTCTAATTTGAAAGTAAACTACTCCTCCGTCCCATAATTATTGTCCACTTTGAGTTTTCATTTTTAGTTCAAACTAGATTCTTGACCCGTACATTCGCACGGGTATGAAAGTTTTTATGAATTTATTTAATAATATTTTCAAATATAATTAATGAAAGTAAATTTTTATTATGGCCCTTTTCAGAAAAAAAAAGAATTAGTATTGCATAATGATATAGTCAAAAATATTATAAATTACTTCAAAAAAAAACACCAAATAACCACCCAAAATGACTATGTTCAAGTATGAATATTCTTTTAAAATAAAAATTAGAGGACCTAAATTAGGCAACTTTCCTAAGTGGGAAATAAAACATTTATACCCACTGTCATTAACTTTTTAGACCACATCAATCATTGATGGTGTATTGAAATTGACTTTTTAAAGCATTTTTTATTTTTATTTTTTGACCACCGCGGATTGCCCTTAGGAGTTCTTTATAGTGTATAAAACTGTCATTCATATTTTTTTTACTTTATTTTTAAATTTTTTTTTTTGTTTTTCTTTTTGAAAAATTTGGAGAGGAGACTTTTAAGGAAATAATGACACTTAGATTTTTAGAAAAAAAGTAATTTTTTTTTATAATGGGGGTTATTATAGATTAGATAGGATTTGACCCGTATGAAACTTTTTATGAATTTATTTAATTATATTTTCAAATATAATTAATGAAAGTAAATTTTTATTATGTCCCTTTTTCGAAAAAAATAGTATTGTATAATGATTTACTCAATAATATTATAAATTACTTCCTAAAAAGTACACCAATAACCCAAAGTAGGAAGTTTCTTTTAAAATAAAAATTAAAGGACCCAAATTAGGCAACTTTCCTCAACGTGAGAAATAAAATATTTATGCCCACCGTCATTAACTTTTTAGACCAAATCAACTTTTTAGAGTATTTTTTATTTATTTTTAATATTTTTTTGTGTTTTTCTTCTTGGAAAAATTGGAGAGGAGATTTTTAAGAAAATAATGACACTTAGATTTTTAGGAGAAAAGTAATTTTTGTTATAATGGGGATTATTATAGATAGATTATAGATTGTACTAAAAGTGAAATCTCAAAGTGGACAATAATTTTGAGAAAGAGGGAGTAAATCTTTGAATTACACACTCCATCTAGTAGTTTAATTAGGATCTATAGCCGCTTTGGAGTTTTCTTTTCCCCTTTTTCAATAATTCGTTGTTTAGATCTTGACTGAGGTGTTATTGATAATGAATACCAAAAGTTGGTATGATTCGGTGATTCCTAATATATATTCCTTTTTTGGTAATAAATTGTTTAAGTTGCCAAAATGCATTTTATTTGAGACTAATTTAAGTTGGTTGATACAAAAGTATGCATATATTGAAAAGAACAAAACGAATAACGGAGTTTAGAGCATTGTGATGAATATGTATCTAGCAAAAGTAAGCAAGCAATTCAAACGAATTAGTACTTTAAAACAGAAACCATTAGTTTGAGAGGAGACTATATTCTTGCGAGTAGGTACGTAAATTTCTCAAATGATCATTGGTACCTTGTTTTTCAGTATTATTCTTTCAAGTATCCTATAATTGTTGATTCGTTTAAGTTTATAACCGGCAAATCAAATTTTTAGAGAGGCGAGTGAATACCCTGTATTACTTGGTTATTTTAATACTTTTCAACTCATTTCCGCACATAAGCGATAGCTCGTTCCAGTGATCTTAAAGTACCAAACTCTAACAGTGCTTTAGCTAACATACATAAGCAATCTTGATCCCAGAAATCATTAAGGAATAAGGATCCATTTGTCTATTTGATTAACTAGAAAATAAGGCTTTTAGATACAAACGCTTCCCACAATATTTTCTACTCTACTGGAAGATATGTTACATTCTGTTAATCAGGAAGAAACTACGCGAAAACTACTTCAACCACAAAGCATATGTGGCCCTTGAAATTTAGATCTGCTGTCACCAGTCACTAGGCAGTGCAAGCAAATAAATCGTGGCTCTTTCTGAAGGAGTAACACGAAGATTTGTTTACCTTCTTGGCCTCAACCAAGCAATGTTTGTTTTAACCGTTTCGATTTTGAATCCTGGACTTTTTCTTCGTCTAGTTTTCTTCTTAACTTCTTCAGATCCTCATCAGTCACTGCACCATTCAGCTTCTTATTTAGCTCGTAAGCTTCACCTAACCTCCTTCGGCACTCTTTACTCGCGGTTTCATGGGAAACCACTACAAAAAGTTCAGAAACTGCCAATCAGTGCAATCTAAAATGATGCTGAAAGTAGTATCCAAATAGCAGATAAGCAGATAAGACTGTTAAGGGTAAGCAGCAAGATAATATTGAGATTGTAAGCATGAGTCTAATTTTAAAGGAAACAACCATAGGTACGAGCCAAAGTAGGATCCGCATGTAATATGAAGCACTGACTTTTTATTCCACGAGAATAACATTAAGTACTTACCTGGTTTAGGGTAATCTACACCAATAATGCATTTGGCTTTCCTTTGAATACTTGGAGGAGCTGTCCAAGGCTCATAAATATACTCCTTGGGCATGTCTGCACGAGCAAATGGTTTTGCAATTCATGATACAGGCTAAACCAAGACAGGACAACTGCAACTGTACTATGATTACTAACCTTTCAGGACTGGAAGAAAATGCCTAATGTAATTTCCATTCGGATCATATTTCTTGCCAAATGAGATTGGAGAGTAGATTCTGTTATACTGCACGGTTTACAATTTTAATAGCACCTCATGAGTTTTGCAGAACGAAGGAAAAAAATAAAAATAAAAATTGAAGGCACAGTAACAAGCATGTTAATAAGTTGCTCAATTGCGTAGTTTCACCGGCATTATATTCAAACATGCATTTCCTGAAGAAAATAGAGGGAACAACTATGTGCAATTGTTCTGTTTTGATCCTGAATGAAGTGTACATGAAAGGCGAAACTCAACCCTTCAAATAGTATATTACTGAAAAAAGACACTCATATGGCAAAAACAACAGATTGTGGCATACAAGTCACAGTACTCCTAGATATGATCCAGCCATACCTGGTAGAAAAATGATGAGCATGATAGCCATAACCAGTTCCCATTATTAATCGCCCAATCAGAGTCTATAAGAAGTCTCTCAAAAACATCACGTCCTTTTTCCCAGTGCTGAAACTGTCAGCACAATATCTATCAGACCAAAAAATTATATGGGTGAAAAAAGGTTGTATTTGAAGCATTACTACCATGTCTCCACGAGTAAGAAAGCATGCAACACAGTGCCTTGCGAGATGGTGCATCCAACCCCATTTTCGAAGCTTTAAGACGAAGTGGAAACAAGTTGTGTATGATTAGGAAGTTTTCTTGGAATAGTCACAGCCCAGGTAACAGATGGAATCCACAAAATTCAGTGTGAGAACCCGAACCTGAACCATGTTGGCATCAATCCAAGGAAAACCTGTCTTGCTATCTCTCCAAGATGCTATAAGGTCATTATTATTATCCCATGGTATCTGTGACAATAATCAAACAAACAATTCTCACTTGTCCACTTATCTGTATTCTTAGGTCTGAGTGTATACATATATTACTCCCACAGTTTCTGTTTTTCTGAGGGTTTAAGAATGGGAATTCAGTCATCAATTTGTTTACCTGCTTGCATATTCGATTGCCCTGCATCCTATCGAAATTGGGAGTTCCAAAAGCAACTGTGTAAAAAAATTCTCTCCATAGCAACTGCAATATTAGTTTCAAGACAAGCCAATTAAGTACTGTATCCGATAGTAGCAAGGTCATTTGAAATAGCATATGAAATTGGCGCATGGACCTGTCCAAGAAGGGAAACTGGTGGAGATGTATGCTTTTTAACATTTCTTTGAACTTCCTGAATACACAGGTAGAAATACCTGGATGAAAGACAACCGAACTTCCAATATAATCCAAGAACAGTGATGAGATTAGATCATCAGAATACTTCATGAAAGAAATAAATGAAAAAAGTGATTTCAGTTGAATTACTTTCAAGTAGGGTGACAAAACAGTTGTAGCTGGTTTCAGAAATGCAGATGGATCACCCTTGGGTTTCTCAAAGTTTGCCACCCATTCCTAAGAAACATAATCACTATTACTCAAATTGCATTTTTAACAGAACAAAATGAAAAGTAAAAAGACAGGCTATCTTGAGACACATGAGACTCGTTCTAGATATTTAAAATTAAAAGCAAGGGATCTAAATCAGGCCAACTTGTTTGAGTTTCGATAAAAAGGAAGTGTCATTTATTGCCAGGGAATCATGCACTACACTATGGCTTGGATTAATGTAGCAAAGTTCATAACATTGTAATGCTAGCTAGGCCTTCAAACAGTATTACACTCAGCATCCCAGGTTTCTTCCTTAGCACAGTTGCATAACTTTTGAACTTGCATACCTTGTTAGCCATGGATTCTTTTAACCGCCTTAAAGCCTCTGATTCACCACCTTTGAAAGGGGTCCTTTCATCCTACCACATGATATTTGTTAGAAAATTTAGCTAACTTAGCTGCATCGAGGCAGCAGATAAAAAAATGATGAGCATTAGCAGCTTACCTCTTCAGTTTCCTCGTAACCAAGGTCATTAACCGATGCAACCTCTGCGACTAAATCATGTCCAGGATTGCCAATAGGAGGAAGACAAGAAAGTGAAATTGAAAGGGGAGTCGAACTCCAGGATGGCTGACCAGCAACTTTAATGAATGATTGATAAGTTAAAGGTGGTCTTCCTCCATTCTTCGATGTACAACAATTCGCATACGAACCGGGGGCAACCGAAATTTTAGTTAGTATCATACAGATGCTAAATAAACACCTAACCCAATACAAACATTAAAAAAAACCAAAAAAGAGCAATATCAAAGAGGATAGAATAGTTAAGCAATACATCAATTGTGTAGACATTTATTACCTTCTGGATGATCTCTGCAGGATTAAATAGTGTATGACTCACTGGAGAAAATACCTCTATTCCAGCTGTAGAAGCATAGCTCTGTCAAAGGAAATTTCAAACAATCTTCAATAACAATACTGTTACAAAGACATCAAAACACCATAAATCAGGAAAGCGCAACAACCTTAACTATTTATAAAAGAAACTGTAATCTTACCTTCACTTTATCATCCAAAGCTAGATAATATGGATCAGTGTCAAACTCAAAGCACAGCTTGCTTATGTCCCACTAAAGGCTCCCAAAAAAAGAAAAGGGATAATACATCCAAGTTAGATATCGAAACCACAACTTCGGTAACAAGAGAAGTTTCAGAAATAGACAAAAGCTCTGCAATATGTTACACAGACAAAAGGGTTTTGGAAGCAAACTAGAAGTTACCTCCTTTAAGTAATGCATCAATACTTGGAAGGGTTCTCCCTTAAGCACGATTAAACGGGAACCAAGCTTCTTGAAACTTGCATCCAAATCAACAAGGCTCTCGAGAAGGAACCGTATGCGGTTCAACCCAGCACGGGAAGAACCCGGACTAAATGCTGCTGGGTCGGGCTCCATGTAGTGCGGGTCAATCACGAAAACCGGATACAGATGCTCGGAATTTTTAGCAGCGTATTCGAGAGCCGGGTTGTCGTGGATCCGAAGACCCTTCCTGAACCACATTAGAGCGTTGGAACGGGAACCCATTTCCGGCATGGAAGTGTTTACAGAAATGCCTGAATGAAGTTGAACTATGGAAGGAAAATTGGCGAAACGATTTGATGGAGAGGGGAATTGAGAAACTTGCATTGGAAATTGGGATTCGGTTTGGATTAGTTAGTGGTTTCAAATGAACGTACGTGTTTCCCGCCTTATTTGGTTTAAGGGGTTCTGTCTAAAATGCGCCATTAGCGACGTGGGTAGTTGTTCTGGCTTCTTGCAGTTATCATCAGGCGTATGTTTAAACTTTAAACTTAACTTCACAGTGAAAAAGAGAAGCAGGATGATTGGTTCAGAATGCGCCACGTCTATGTAGCGTTGTACCTCGGCCCATAAAACGTTTGGAGTATTCTCGGCCCATTTTTCCTGACCCATTTAGTAATCTTTCTTTGCTTTTGTTCTTTTGTTTTTCTTCCAGTTTCTGAAGATGTAACAGCCAACAAGTATACATATTTTGACTTGCACAAAGTTCGGAATATGTTCCAATAGTAACATTTGTACTCGTTTTTGTTTTCCCGATTTGTACATTACCTAGCAGTAGATGAATAGAGAAAAAATTGGCGGTAAAGCGTAAAAAGTAAGCAAATTGTGCAGCGTAATAACTCAGAATCCAAAACCTCCGACGAGGAGAGTCTATTATCTCCTTTTCATGTTCTGTATCAAAATTATGTCACACTCAAATGATATTGATTCTCAAGTTAATGTAACTTTGATAAAATTGGGATTGCGCTCGAATAGCGAGTTTAATTTATTACGCATCAACTTACTTACTCTATTATTGGAACGTGTCAGTTCTCTAGTTAAGATGAGAATTGCATTTGATATATGAAGAATGTTACTCCTTCCGGTCCAATTTATAAGGATATAGATTTAAACTAAATATAATGGAATTTATACTCTATAAATGCAGCCAGTGATGATAATGTTTAAAAGCAATACAAATAATGTATAGTACCATAGATGAAGTAGTTCCTAATTTTATTTACTACGCATCAACTACTCGCTCTACATTGGAATTTGGAACATGTCAATTCTTCACTACTAAAAGTTGAGAAGGTAAATCTCATTTGAAATATATCAAGGAAATGTGGAGAATGGAATTTCTTTCGGTTGAATTTATAAGGTGCGGATCAAAACTAATTTACTCTAAATTCATATTTTATCATTGTTACCCGCTTACCGATGATAATATAAAAAACAATACAAATAATGTTGTACTATAAATGAAGTAGTTACTAATTTACTACATTAATCAATTACCTAACTGGCATCACCTAGTGTCTTAATTCACAGTCTTTTGGCTCTACATCAAGGAACGTCAATTCTTCATTGAAATATCTATAATCTCATTTTCTACAATTTTTGAAAAATTATGGGGGCACCATATTGAGGGTACAACAGCATCTGAACAGTCGGGGCATGTCGATAATTTGGCGAAATTTCAAAGGAGAAAGATTGCAAAATCATGGCAATAGCTAATTTCGCTTGCAGAATCGCAAGATTTTGACCAATGCAACGTCGAGACCCTAATCCAAAGGGCAAGAAAGCCATCGAATGCTTTGCTGCATGGCACACGCCTTTGGAAAATCGAACCGGGTTGAATTCGTTCGCATCGGGGCCCCAAAGTTCGCGATCATGATGAACGGCCACGATTGGAATGAGGAGCTCAGTTCCTCTCGGGATGTTGAGTCCTCCTAATTGTACGTTTGCTTTGGCTCTTCTGATTGTTGCTACTACCGGTGGATAAAGTCGTAACGACTCATTGATGATCATTCCTAACTGCATTACACAGAATTAAGGTGAAATGATTTTGAAGATGATGCTGTAAATTGCAATAAAGAATTCCTTAAAACAATGTAGGGTTTTTTGTTTTAGCAAGATAGAGTATGCGCATGTAATTAATTACATACTAAAATACTACATACAATCACGTAAGCATGAATAGCTAGCTAAAGGTATCGGTATATGTAATGTAAGTCTCAACATAGATTATTTTTCTGGGACGAGAAATATTTTTTAACAACAAAAAAGGTTAGTTCAAGACTATTGCTTGATACTTCTTCCATCCTAAATCAAGAATATAGATTGAGCATGAGTCAACAATTAATAAATAACTAAGTTTTATCTAACTGTATTGTAAAATCAAGGAAAATCATTCAGGTATAAATCCTGTTTTCAAAATAAGTCATATTTGTCGTAAGAAAAAATAGAATATAATAAACACGACTTTTTAATTTTTCAATATCTTTTCAATCTTTAACTTGGAGAAGCATGCCATGCAATACTACTAATCTAAAGGACTCGCAATTGATAACGTGAGGTTACATAATTATGTTCAAGTGAATTGTGAAAACCCCAGATTTTTTTTTTTTTTTAAAGACAAAGCAGCAAAACTACCAGAATAAAGTACGATATGTTTTGTTTTTAGCTAAAAATAACTTAGGCAGTAAGTGAACTACTTTTTTCCACTTTTGATGTTTTTCCATATTGGTTGAAAGACAACATGAAAAGATTTCATGGCCTGAGCCCTGATGGATAAGTTTTATATTGTCGGCAAAAGTTTCTTCTCCATGGGAAAAAAACATGAGAACAGCTTAGAAACGCGTCTGCTTAAGATGCTGGAAAGTGCTCAATTTGCTCAATTTTCTCGTTGAAAGCCAAAAAGGTAAGGTTTTCTAATTTTAGTTCAAAGACAAGCTGAGTTTATCAACTCAGGTGTGAAAATCACATCAACACTCATCATTTCCGTGGAGACTTCTCATGAATGAAAAAAAAGCCAATGCATGCATGTTATCTATAACGCAGAAATAAAAACCAAACTATCAAATTCAAGAAAATTAGTTAAGGTAAAATGATCAATTTTTGATAGATCACCTTCTCATTTAATTAGTTCTTGTTAACAAAATTATGCAACATGATTGAAGATTTAATTTTGAAAAAAGAAAATAAGATCGGGGGGAATAACTCAAATTAGAACCAAGCAAACACTCAAAAATTGTGTATTAGAAACAAGATCCAAGTGAAGAACTCATTATAGAAGATTTTATATGTGATATGTTCTTTAATTAATATATAGTACTTTCCTAAAAAAAATATTTTATATATTTTGACTGTTAGTTTAACTAAAAATTATTTTCTCCTCCACAAAAGAAAAAGAAAATCTTTGCTGAAGTGAAAAAAGAAAAATACAATGAAGCACTATTTTCTTTTTGGGACGGATAGATTATAAAATAAAAAGAAAGGAAATGAAGGAAATTAGGATGAATTACCGTCTTAAGCTTGGAAATGTCATCTTTAGTCGGGACGTCACGTGCTCCGCACACCCTCAAGACCTCCTCACGTGCCAGTTCCTGCCACTGAGGATGCATTGCTAATAAAATAGTCGTCCACGTCAGCAGGTTCGACGTGGTGTGCTTCCCGGCGAAGAAAATTGTTTTGCATTCCTCTACAATGTCGTGGACGGTGATCAGGGCGGAGGCGGAGGCGGAGGACGCCGCCGTCGAGGACCTTAATGATGATGAGTCGGTGTCTGTGTTCATCATGTTGTGGTACTTCCAGATGCTGGTTTCCTTGAAGCTGGTAGCTTTAATCATTAGTCCCAACAAATCATTTGGACATTCCTCTGACAACATTGTTCCCGTACTACTATTACTACTACTATTACTACTATTCCAATTCTTTTGCCTCCTTTTTTGTATCAGTTTCATTAAAGATTTTCTAATCTCCTTGTCCAATCTCCAAGAAATTCTGTTCTTTTCAGTGGGCATAAACCTGTTAATTTCATCCCATAACAAAAGAAATTCAAACATTAGTAAGATCTTATTTTTATTTGGAAATGTGACAAATTTCAGTTAATTAAATTAATAATTCTATATGTCACGTCATTCACTATTTTATGATTAATTCTTGTTGAAGAGTTTCTAGTTGGTACCTGTAACCTGGAATGATGACTTTTTGATAAGCTTCAGTTGCATAAACCATTTGTTGAGCTTGCAGGTTGTAAATGGCTCTTCCATCTTCATAGCTACTTCCAAAAACAGTTTGAGTGATGACATCTTCCGACAAGTTTTGGAACCATTCCGAGACCTCAATTTCCACCTTGCCATCATCATCCGATGACATTTTGGACCATCGTTTCAACATCTTCCCCATACTATTCCCCATCATTGGTATCATTAGCTACAGTACACAAGCAATATGGATTCCGTCAGGTGGTATATAACAAGTGAGACAGAAACTTTTGTTCGACCAATCTCTTATCACTCTTATGTATGTACGAAAGTATACTAATTACCTTAAGATTATCTTGGTGGAAAGTTGGTGTTATAATCTTTCTATGATGAGCCCATTTTGCTCCTTTTAGACTTATGAGGCCATCACCTTCCAGCTTCTTAACAAGTGGATGCAAGTCATTTTTCTCGAAAAATTCGGATTTGGTGACGAAGATGTCTTTGATGAGGATGGGATCAGCTATGGTCAGACGAGCTGTATTTCCAAACCATACAAGAAAGCTTGCGCCTGCAAAAAATGATATAATTGAATTACCATTTATAGCTATCATATTTTTAGAAAACTGCTTGACCAAAAAACACAAGAAAAACAGATAGCAGTTATATATGGATGATATGTAGTGAAATGGCATAAGAATAATACAATAAGGGTTTCGTTTTGTGTTGGTTTTTAGCACAGATCCGGAATGAACGAAATTTTTTTTTTTTTTTTCAAAAGAAAATGTTCAAAATGATGTAGTTGCTGAGATGCCAGCAATGACTCCCTTTGTGCAAGGAAGTCTACAACTTTCATTAGACAAGAAACATTTTCATAGAAGCAGACAAAATCATGAGTATACATCAAAAGAGAAAGAAATGAAATTCTGAGTACCGTGTATCTTTCTCCAATGATGATAAAAACAAAGGACTCTGGGAAGAATGTTGTGGGAGAAAGGCATGGGTGGAGATGAAACCCTAGACATCAAACTCGCAATCTCCTTTAAGTTTCCCAGGAAGAATTGATATTTTGGGCCTTTGATTCCTTGCGCACAGAAAATATGCTCAATTCTTCTTGGTTTCCACCAGTAATCAAACCAAACTTTGAAAGCTAACATCAATCCAAAATATAGCATTGTAAGCCAGAACCACTGAAAACTTCCATCCATGCTTAAGAGTATTACTGTATCTTTTCAATCTCAAAAAGGGCAAAAAGAAAAATGGTTTTTCTGTAATGAGAGTTTGAATGGGGGAAGAGGTAATGGATGATGGCTTTGCTTAAGGAAGGCAACCAAGCAATGAGGAAAAGCCAATATATATGAAAATCCCAAATCCCAAGTCAACTAATTTGAGATGTCCAACTGGCTGGGACTACAAGGCTGACTAGACTAGTTTTTTTTTTTTTTAGTCTCTTTAATGTTCTACATATTTTATATATATAAAATTTATATAATTCAAAAGTTTGAAACCTTTTTCTTAATTATATGTCAGGGTGCACCATTTTTTTTTTTGATAACCAATAAAAAGTTATTTTGATACTATAGCATCCTTGTTTAATTTTGTACACAATAAGTCACGTTGGTGTGAAAACTACCGTACATGTTATGTTTTTTTCCCTCTTTTGTTTCTCATAACAGTAAAAGAAGTAATAATCTTTGTTGTACCTCATAAATCGAGCTTTTAAAAAATTGACTTAAAATCGTACGCGTTATATTTTTTTCGCGGGTTTAAATAATCGATCCTAGATTTCTAAAAGGATTGATTTAGAACCGTATGCGTTATGTTTCCTCTGGCATGTTTGAGTACGTTATTGAGACGTTCAACATAGAATTAATCCTTATATGGAACTTGAAAATGAGTATGGGAAAGTAAAAAAAAAAAAATGCATAAAATATTCATTACTCTAAGAGTTACTAATTTGGATTTATCAGTTGTCATTTCGTAATCTCTTGTGTTTATGCAAATTCGAACATCTCTCTATTCAAAGTGTATGCTTATTCAATATTCTTTCTTTGCACTCCTCGTTTCTAACAAGGGAAGTTAATTTGACAACGGGGAACACTCTGTCAGAAGGAGAAGAGAAAAACTTAATCAGACGCATTTTCAACGTTTTTATTGACTAATTATGGTCCAGTTGGGGGATCCTAGCTAATTGACAAGAAGAAATTAAGATAAGAAACAAGTGAATTTGTTTGGTGTAATTTCAAAAATTGAAATTTTGACTTCTATATCCGGCAAGTTTCACGAGCAGTCTCTAATAACCATGATACAGTAAAAAAAAATTAATTACAATATAGTTCGATCATAATTCAAACGAAACTGCAAAAAAATGTTCAGTAATTGAGGTAGGATTAATGGGAAAAAAAGGTTAACATCGCATGCCAATGTTGCAACATTTTCTTCTTGTCTTCCAACCCAGCCGCCACCTTTGGTCCCCTCAATAGGCTAGCTAGTCGTCAAATTACTTATTATAAATCAATTTTAATTATTGGTTTCATTGTTTAATTTATAGAATCATATGATACTGCTTTCTTCAATATTTAGATTAGTTGGGATAGTAATTTTAACAATACACAATAATAATATATAATATAACAGCAAAAAGTTTTATTGAATGAGAACGATGTTAATATATGGTCCTCTTTGATATCCTGTCTTTGATTGGTGAGACAAAAATCACTGATATCTGAGTATTATTTCGAGTTTCTATGTGGTACAATGACCTGAAATAAAAAGAACAATGAACTGTAAACTCAATTGTTAGGCATCCAAATCGATCACCATCGTCAACGGGTCATCATGAATAATGACTTTAAACCTAACTTGCCTCCTCCTCCTTCAATTCAAATAAATGTCATCAATTTTATGTCTCTTTAATTAATTTGCATAATCCTTCAAATCTTACGAGTCCGGAATCATGTAATATGTTTATAATTTCAACCAGCTAAACAAATGATAGCGGATGAGTGCAGTGTTCCATCTCTGTAACTGCTGAGATTTAAATTGACGATTAAAACACGGAAAACGTCTCATGCATTTTGTCGAAAATCATTTTTGTTTCATACATTTTAAAATGTTTATTTTTGTCTAATTTCGTCCGCGCAAAAACCTGTTTTGAATCTTTGGAATGGAAGAAAATAAAGTTGGGTTGAATGAATAAATGGATAGGACAACTTTATGTCCAATTAACCCTCAAGATTGAGGGGTATTTTTGTCATCTTACATGTGTTTTGGTTTTTCAGTAATTAAAAAATAAAATAATAATTAAATACTAGTAAAATCATTCGTGCATAAAACTGGTTTGGGATTTTATGGGAGTTCACATTGTGCCTACTCTTTGGTGGCTACCTTTTAGAATACATTTTTCATAACATCTTTATTTCATACCATAAACGTATAACATTCAGATTGTAGTCCTACGATGATTGGGTATTAGGAGTGTTGTGTAGAAGAGGGAAAGGCACCCGGGGAGTTGGTGTGTTGGTGTTTTGGAAGGTTGCTATTGAATTACAGGCACATGGAAACAAAGAGAAGGCCTATTCTATTATATATATAATGCTTTTGATGAACTTTGGGGAGGGGCATATGCCTTGTTTGTCCCCAAACCATAGGAGACCCACTATAGTCCTCTCCTCTTAGCTTGTCTTAATACAAACAAAGCATATTGGGGCCATCGATCAAGTTTCATTTTCCAAATTTAATTTTTTTTTTCTTTGAAAAGGTTCCAAATTTAATGGTTAATCAATTGATCATATCGATCCAAAACGTAATGTTTTACCCTACAAACCCCTTAAAAAAGATTTTTCTCCCATCACATAGTTAATTATATACTCTCTCCATTTCAAAATAATTGTTCAGTTTGAAATTTTACTTTTAGTACAAATTGTACTAAATATGAAAACGAAAACTGAATAATCATTTTGGGACAGAATGAATCTAGTATAACAAACAAAATTCTTATTTCGAAAAAATGAATGTTCTTGGAACAAAATATTCCAGCTATCAAGTTTGAGATCTCCATCATATCATGCCGAGGAAAGAACAAAATGAATCGGGAACGTGGGTTATTATAGTGATCCAAAATGGACTTAGTTTTGATGTTGTACTCGAAACTGACCGAATATATGGGGTGATCACAAATCACTTATTGATTAAAAAGCCAAGCCAAATTGGCCATCTGAATATTCCTGAATCAGTAAAACCCATCACGTTGTGGTAAGTTTAATGCGGAAAAGCGTTGTCACAAAGCCAACGTAACCATCATAACTGTCCATCGAAGGGACTCTTCACAAAAGTGGTTTTGTATATTTGCATGTGGTTTTAAAGAGAGATTGATAGAACCCAGCTTGCATCTTAATATTTCCCACTCGATCCTCAGCTGTTTTGAGCTTCTCATTTAATAATTAATCATTTGCCTCATTTTTTTTAATGCACAAATCGCATGTGACAAGTATAATAACCTTGGTTTTATTGTAAAAGGAAATCCTAATAAAAGATCTAAAATGTATGCATCGCAATGTCAACGAAGTTACATCGTATCATTAGAATGACACACTTGAGAGAGCTGGGAAAAGTTTGCAACAAATTCAGGAGGTGTTTGTTTGGTTGGAATCGGAATCGGGAAATGGATTCACCACCTCTGTTGGTGTTTGGTTGCTGGGAATCGGAAACGAGGAATTGGATTTGTAATTGAAAATCGAATCCCTACTCCTCCCATGGGATTCGAAGGAATCGGAATTGAATGATTTGTCCTTTTTTTTTCCCTTGACTTTCCTTCCGTACCCCTTTCTTCTTTGTCTCTTTCTATCCTCTTTGCAAGTCCCACCATCCCTGTAACCAAAAATCAAGATCAAGAAATTACATCTGACCACCATACTACCTCCTCATATCATCCTCAAATCTGAACATCATCGTATTCGTCTTTCAAGAAATTACAGTTACCCTCATCATCAGATGTAAACACCACCTTCTCCTATCATCTGAATTTTTCAAATCTGAGTCATCATTGAATTTTTCTTTCAATCTTCCTAAGATTGTTGATTTTCTCTTGTTTGTTGTTTATTTGATCAAGAAGAACAGAAGTTTGATATTGATCATGAAATTTGATTTGAAATTGATAAGTTTCAATTCAAAATTTTGAAATGTACACTGTTACAATTGGTGCAGATAATGATGACACTGATGATGATAGCAGATCGTAAACGGAGAAAGGTGAATCTCGATGAAGAAGATGGAAGATGGTGGTGGTTCTTGGTTGGGAAATTGATGGGGCGGCCAAGTTTAGGTGGAAAGAGGGGAAAGACATGAGGGATGTGAGAGGAGAGAGGGGAAAAGAGGAAAAAAAATTATTATATCAATAGGGGTAAAATTGACTTTTAATAGATTTTTACCAAATGATATAGTGAATCCATATTTTAAACCAAACACATTATTCGAATCCATGAATCCGTGATTATTTGAATTCATTCCGCCATCATTCAAATCCGTTTCCTGAATCCGTTTCCAGTTGACAAAACAAACGGCTCCTCATTAGGCATTGAGGAAGCACAAATTCACCTTTTAGATCCTAAGTTTAGGTTTTAGAATTTTAAATTATCAATAAAAATGACGAGTCCAATATACGTGACCCTCAATAGTGGACGACTCAAGTTCGAGAAACGATCCAACCGACTATTTGAAAACTTCTAGGTCGGTTCCTAATTACTTTCCCACCAAGAAAAAGTTTCATAACCTAGCTCTATAAATAGGGATCAACCCCTCACATCAAAGGTACGCTCTATGCACCACAATTCATACCCTATTACAATTATTTTTACTGACTTAAGTATCGGAGTGTCTACCCTCGAGAGACCCTGAGGCCTTTTTGCAGGATTTAGGATTTTGATTCCACATGGCCGCCGATTCAACCAACCGGAGACGTTGGTGCAGATTCATACTGCGTCCAGTGGCACACCCGATGGGACCCAATTAGGGTTTCCTTCGCAACAAGTTTTCTCGAAAAGAAGAAGTTGACGAATCCAACGTCTCCCTTCACTTGATTGAAACCAAAGATGTTGAACTCACCACGTTACGACGTCCAGGTTTCATGTTCTTAATTAATAATAATTCTTTAGTCCCCCTTTACATGCTAATTACCACTCCGGGCCTTGAAAATTTAGTGTTCGGCCATATTTTTCCTACTTGAGATACATGTTAATTGATCGTTAAGCAAGTGTGGACGGCATCGGTTTTATATATGTTATCACAACTTATATGTTAAGGCAAGTTTGGCCAGGA